TTCCTCTATATATTAGAGCAAAGAATTTATCACATTGTAACTAGTAATTCTCTTGTTTCTGCGAAAAATTTCCTCATCTGCTGCTCATATCTTATTGCCAGCAATAAAATTAAGTAGCCATCAGTTATGAATAGTTACTCTCTTATCTTATAGTTTCAAAAAAACTAGCAGCTTGTCCAGCATTTTAATCATGAAACTTGCAAAGCAAATATTTTTATGTGTCAATATGTACACACAACAGATATCATAAATACTTAATCATAGTTCAACATGTAAATTGATGAATAATACAAACATTAAGAGAAGTCTTTCTTCCAAAGAATTGATAAGGAACCTGTTTTATTGACAAATATTTCATTCATTCATTCATGGAAATTCATTTTGTATAAAGAAAGTTCTCACTAATTATTCATGAACAGATGGAACCTTCTATTTCTTATGATTAAGATTCTTATGCTGGTACATGTATTCATTAATTTACTTCACAATTAAATGTTTTCAGTTGAAGGAAATAGGCAAGGAATTTATATTTTTAATATTTCATGTGAATTTCTAATGCATGTATCCTAGGAACAATTATATTTATGACAGAATATGTGTGAATGTTATATTTCTTCAATTTGTAAAAGTGTTGTCAATTCTCATTTAGAACCTGGCATAATTAATTCCTAATTTCATTCTCAATTAAAATCAGAGGAGTCGTATTGAATGCAACCATATTGGGTATCTGTCTAACCTTTAACCTCATCCACAACCTTTGAACTGTTTGATATAGAATAGATCATATGTGATCAATATGAAGGTTACATGTAGAAGCAGGGAAGGTTTTTTGCTATTTGTAAACTATTTCTATATTTATAAATGTATACATTTAACAACAGGAGGAGGTAGAAGTGAGTAGTTTTAGAAACTTCATTTCTCTGTAAACGTACTTTAAATTATTTTCATGATAATATGTTTATGCCATGTAGTTTTATAATGACTATGCAATACTGTCTTTAGTTTATGTTACACAGTTTCATCCTTCTTAATTATATTGTCCTGTGTAGTACATATATAAGTATGTATTATATATGTAGCTCTATAAAAAGATTGATCTAACTGTTAGGACCAATCTTCCAGTCTTTATATGTAGGTCTATAATTAGGCATCACTGGTATGCATATCATGTGGAGTTGTTTATTTGAGGGGGAAAAAATGTTGGCCATATGTTCAGTGTTCGAAATTCAAAATTATTTTCTATGGGTCCAATGGACCAACAGATAAAGGGGCTACATGAGTCCTTCCAGGGCAGTGTAGGCCCAAAAATAATACCATCAAATATTTTGGAAAAATAAACTTTTATTGATGATCTCGGTAAGTTTATCAGTTCGTATAAAATATGTCAATTTAACAAAGGGTATCTACAACTCACAAGTATTAACAATATGAAACGGTAAAACATTAAAAGTCACACAGTCTTACTTGGTCATATGTAACACCTAATGAGTTTAAGATGTGTTTATATTTCTGTAAATGTACTCTTTTCATGACCTCAAACTCTGCGGAATTACAAAATCTGTTCTTATAAATACACATGTTTCTTAGATTGCCACAATATGTTAATAAAATATGCTTTAAGTACACTGGGACAGATTTCTGTGGAAAGTTTGTAACGCGTAATATAGCATAAACTTACACCACGCGGAAAAATTAAATCTTCAGTATTTATTTAAAAAGCACATGAAAAGAAGAATTGATAGGGTCTTGATAAAAGTAACTAGTTTTACTAATCTCAAATGTAATTTAATTTGAAGATGCTCATTGGTCACTTTGTTTAATATATCCAATCAAAATGCAGGAAAGATATAAAAGTTACAATGTAAATACATAAACCAACATATGTTAACTTCATTCTCAACTTCTTGGGCCGTTCAGTTCTGACAAGCGGTAAAAATTTTCTGAGCTTGCCGGAAAGGTTTGAGAAGATGCGGTTGACATTAACTTCATCGTCGGCCCAAAATTATTTCAAGGACCCATTTAGACATACTATTCATGAGTCCTTCTGTTTGTACTTCGGTGCAGGACCGACGGACTGACTCTAATTTCGAACACTGCATATGTTACTTGTACATGTAATTCAAAATGCTATATAAGCCTAATTTATTCATACATATCAGATAAACTTATCATAAATTTGCACTTAAATGATTTATAAACCAGCAAATTTGAATTTTTATGAAGCATAATGCCAACCAAGAGATGAGTAGTTTTGCATTTTTTTTTTTATCAACATGTTAAACCTTGTATCATAATAATTTGATATTCTGAGTGTAATGCCAGTACTGTAACAATGTACACATCTATATAATAGATATATTGATTGTGTCTGTAAGGAACACATCACTATATATTCATAAATCTTCCTTTTCATATGACTAAGATCCTTATATTCATTAATTTACTTCTTACGTTTAGATTTTTAGTTAGCAGAAATAAGCATTTTAATAGGAATTTATAATATATGTCTATGTATTTTTAATGCATTTTCCCTATATGCAGAATTTCCTTGCAACAAATCTCCCCTGGGTATGTGTATAAATAAAATATTAATAATTTAATATTTCTTAAACTGGAAAGCATTATCCATTCTCAATCAGAATTTTCAATGTCATATGCCATTAAAATCAGGGGGCTGTATTGATAGTGTGACCACTTTGGGTATCTGTCAAACTTTTAGTTCCACCCTTTGAACTGAATATATCATATTTGATCAATGTGAAGGTATTGATTGAGGCTTTACATATAGAGGCAGGGAAGGTATTTGTTATTGATATGTCTAAATTAAAATGTTACTGTATACATTTAACAACAGGAGGAGGTAGAAGTGAGTAGTTTTAGAAACTTCAATTCTCTATAAACATACTTTGAATTATTACTTTCAGGATGATCAATAAATATGCCATGTTATAGTTTTATAACAACTATGCTGAATACTGTCTTAGATTATATTACACAGTTTCATCCTTCATGTTCATATATTTTTCAGTACATTACATTAGTATGAATTAATATACAGCTGTAGCTTTATAAAAAGATTGATCTGACTGTTATTAGAACCTGAGTATTCCAGTGATCTGACATCTGTACATTTATAATCTGTTATTAGGCTCAGGCTCGTATATTATGTAGAGTTATATATATTATAGAAAAAAAATATTGATCATATGTTACTTGTATTACAAAAAAGTTATTGAAGCTTAATTTTTATAGATATCACATAAACTTAATTATTTTATCACATGTTTACTCCTTTAAACTGCAGTGGATATCAGTTATATGATATTGTTAGCTCACCTGAGCTGAAAGCTCAATTGAGCTCTTCTGATCATGTGTTGTTCACTGTCTGTCTGTCTAGCTGCTCGTCCGTCTGTAAACTTTTCACATTTTCAACTTCTTCTCAAGAACCACTGGGCCAATTTTAACCAAAGCTAATACAAAGCATTCTTGCCTGAAGGGAAGTTTAAATTGTTAAAATGAAGGGCCAAGCCCTCTTACAAGGGGAGATAGTCAAGAAAAGACAAAAATTGGGTGCGGTCATTTAAAAATCTTCTTCTGAAGAAATACTGGACCAGAAAAGCTGAAACTGATGTGGAAGCTTCCTGAGACAGTGTAGATTCTAAATTGATCAAATCATGGCCCCTGGGGATAGGGTGAGGCCACAATAGGGAGTCAAATTTTTACATTGAAATACAATGTATGATGAAAAAATCGTTTAAAATCTTCTTCTCAAGAACCACTGGGCCAGAAAAGCTGAAACTTATTTAAAAGCATCATGGGGTAATGTAGGTTCTAAATTGTTCAAATCATGGCCCCCAGGGGTAGGGTGGGGCCACAATGGGGAATCAAAGTTTTACATTGAAATATAATGAAAAAATTCTTTAAAAATCTTCTCAAGAACCACTTGGCCAGAAAAGCTAATATTTATGTGGAAGCTTCCTGGGGTAGTGACCCCAAGGGGTAGAGTGGGGCCACAATAAGTATTACAAGGGGGAATATGAGTAGAAGAACAGCAGGGCAAAAGTTACTCTGGTGAGCGTTGTGGCCCATGGACCTCTTGTTTTCATTTCAGTGATTGTGACATCAAACAAAATGGATTCATACATAAAAACAGTGTAAATCATGTGATACATGCAACTATGTTTAACATGTGATAAAAAGAATCTTACAAGGATTACAGTTAGATATTTTTTTTTTATACAATGAGTGGTGTATTTTCTATTCCCTCGCCATAGAAAATTAGAATTGGGATAGAAAATACACAACCCAATGGTTAAAAATCACATCCAACCACAAAACATGAGAGATATCCCATATTTTAATTTGCACATAAACCAAATACATATTTTTATGAAGCATGTCGCCAACAGTATATTTTATCAACATGTTAAACCTTGTATTTATGAATTTGATATTCATGATGTAATGAGTACATATGCACATTGAACATATATATATCATCATAACAGTAACTTGATCCGAAGAGCCATATCATGTGGAGATGACAGATGGGGATCATCAGATCTAACGAGATGCAAAGTGACGATATGTGATATGGCTCTTCGGATCAAGTTACTGTTATGATGATGAATTATTATATACCCCTCTAAAATTAGCAAAATATAATAATTAAAAAGAAAACTTTTGGGATCAATTATACAACTTTTATCCATTAAACAAAACATTTTTTCAAGGAACTTTTTGATATGCAAAAAAAAAAAAAAAAAGTCATGCATACTATGTACTACGTCATCAGTTTCAAATAGGGGTGATATGGACTTGGAAAACTACAGTGTGGTGAATGTTGTATCACACCGTCATGTGGTTGCCTAAAATCAACAGTAAAACTGAGTGATACACAGTTGGATATATAATAAATGTGCTTATAATTATGTCTGTATGAAACGTACTTTCCTCTCATAAGAAATAAACAATCTGTGTTTTTTTTTAATCTTCAATAGGATCGTACACAGAGTCAGAAGAAAATCACGTATTTTATCAAGATCCATGCTCCCTGGGATGTCCTGTGCTTTTATGCAGAAGACCTGTGTTTTAGAGCACCCTTACAGGTAGGTTAAACAGCTAAATAGGCAAGGGAATATTTAAGGTTCATTGATACTCTGATAAGAGAGATAACTCTCAATGTAATAAAAATCAATTATTCCTTTTAAAAAAGCTGTCAAGTTGAAATGTCTTTTTTGTCCAATTTTGCCCTGCAAGCTTTACTAAAATTATTTACATTTTATTTATGAAATAGATTACATTTCTTTTGGAAAATCATAAGCTTAGAGCAAGAATTATGTTAGTGAACTGAGGAATTATGAACCTTAATGTTCATAATTTAAAAATAGAGTTTTGAAGTGACATCAACACTAAAGATCAAAATATTTTCCAAGAGATAAAAGACGTACTAGTATTTCAGTTATCTTCAAAATGAACATACATATAAAGTATTGATGCATAATTAATTTATTCAGGGACTGTATGGAAATACTTTGATTTCATGAGTGAAGTGAATGAAGATTTTAAATTTTTTGATGGATTTTAAAATTACTAAGCTGGAAACATTATAAATGATAAACAACTTCATAATCAATGCAAATCCTGCGTGAAAAACTTTTGTGTGAATCTCTCTGACTTATGTTTTCAAGATGCATGGCCAATTGTTCAAGTTTTCAGAGAAGGATCATTCATTGTTACTTAGGGTCAGACAACATATCCTCAAAAATATGTAACTTTTCCCAAGAATTTTTGATTAATATATTACTACTTTTAAGAAGTTTCCTTACAAAAAATTAGGGTACATTACCAGGCATTTGTGCAAGATTCCAGAGGATGACAATTTTCCTATATAATCCTATACTGGAAATCAATTGAACAGCTGACATCACAATTTTCGGTTTACCGGGTATATATTTTTCAGACATTTTGAACATAGTTTAGAAATTAAAAAAAATAATGATAATTATAGAGATTTTTGGTATATAATAAAGAAATGCAAAAACAGATATTCCAGGAAAGTGTCATCAGACCTTAATTAATTGGATCAAACTTGCATGGATTTTGAATCTAGAGATGCTTACTTCCAAACCTACTTGGAATATACATGTATATTCTATTGCTGAGTGACCCAGTGCCAGTTAAAAGTTTTATGAAGGAGGTCAAAACATTTGTCCTCAATTATGTTTTCCTTGGACTAACTGGCATTGCTGATGAGTTAAGTATATTTACTTGCAGAGGAGTTAAGTGGTTTCTCGGGGCTAATAATTGATTTAACAACTCTGGGAATCAATTTAATTCTCCAGCCCAGAAGCAGCTTATCATTAATTCATGTTTAAACATTAAAGATGAAACTTGTGTAAGAATACATAGGAAAAGTCTTCCTTTAGTTTTCTGGAAGAAATCCTGGTCTGATAGCTGTGAACAAGAAAAAGTGGCAAAAGATCTAGAAGTATAAATATTTGTTATATGTAACTATGCCCTTCTATCCCCTCCTACCCCCCACCTCTCCCACCCCACCCAACAACAACAATTTTAAAAGAAATTGCATTCTTTTATGTTCCATGTGCTTTTATCTGTTTTTTTTTTCAATTGTATAAAGAATATGAATTTCTTGGATAATTTAATTTCTTTTCCTTGGTTTAATATGATTTTAGGAATTGATACACAGTAAGGTTTGTTGCATTTTTCATTTATTTTGTTCCCATGCATTGGAAATTTCTCATATTATGCATAAGGTTACAATATCTGTCTCTGTAAAATCAAATAGATATTTCCCACATATATTGATCTTATATGTATCTGCATATCAAATGACTGTTACCTCAGATTGTACAGGACCATTGTTCTACGAGCCAGGGAGTATATTCTTAAATGTTAATTGTCTTATATGGTCTTGTCTTGGAGAGAAGGATTAGAGGCATTTATGCCTGCTGTTCCATCCAATTAATGTTTGATGCATAAAATATTTTTAAATTGAATATATTCTTATTGTCAGAATTTGAATATATATCTGTTTATATCATTCTTGACCTTAAAATACTTACTTTTGTTTACTTCCATGGAATGACTGCATGCTAAAGTACATGTACACTGTATCCCCTTAATACTGTACACCACCTCTTCTGCTTTCTTTTCCAATGATGTTATTTTATGATTCTGTTTACCTAAGTTTTCTCTGCTTTTAAGATTTGACAATGAAGTAATTATGAATATCGACTGACTGAAAATGATTTTCTCACCCTCGCAAAATTTATAGCCAAGTGAAGGATACTTGAATTACAATATAATAGGTATATTAAAACATCAGATAAAATCCAGATATTTTATTCCTATGACATATTTTTGGATAACTTACTGATCTATATTTACCATTTAGAAACAGGACAAGATTAAATATATTTGACATTTGCAAAATAAACAGTAAACAATGTGATAGTTTTTGCTATTAAGGTTCATTGATACTCTGATAAGAGAGGTAACTCTCAATGGGATAAAAATCTATTATTTCTTTATAAATATGTCAAGTTGAAATGTCTTTTTTTCCAATTTTGCCTTGCAAGCTATGCTAAAATTGTTTGTATTTTATTTATAAAATGCATTTTTTTTTGAAAATTTTGTAAGCTTAGAGGAATTATGAACTTTAATGAGTGTTTCTGCTATATTTAAGTAATCTGAAATTTGTTTCTGGATTTTGATACATGCTTAACTTGGTAATGTCTGATTATGGTGAATCAAGATATGTGTTAATTAAGAAGGAATATCAGCTGATATAAATAGTATCCTACATAACTGAAGGCCTAGTCTTCAGTAAATGATGATGATTTGAAAACCTTTAATTACAGAGACAGGTGTTTGAGTGTTTTTCATTAACTTTAAATCACTTTTTATTTGCAAGGAATTTATTTTTTGGTAATTACAAGAGACAGTTTGCTCTTGAAAATTTCATTCTTGCATGTATTCTTAAAGACTATGTAGAGCAAAATCCAAAAATTCTGTCCCACAAATAAAGAGTAAATGACTATCTCATGAAAATAAGCTGTCGCAAAAAATCTGGTAATCTCCACCCCAGTACAGTGTGTATTTACCATTTCATTTGATTTGTTGGTCAGTGCTTCCATGATGGAGGAACAAATCGGTTTCTTGTTCTGTCATGCCTCCTTGAAGGCAGTAACAATTCGGTTTGTTGTTCTGCCTTCATGATGAAGGTAACAATATACATTTACTGACTGGGTTCGAGGGCAACATGCGTTTTGTCGGACCCAAGAACCAAACTGTTTGCCTGAGGCCAGTTTCGTTCGAGGGGTCAACAAAACGCATTTTGTCCGAGAACACAGTCAATAAATGTTTTGTTATACCTTTTATTTATTTATTTTATTATTATTTATTTTTGACATACACCAACGAATGCAAATGAGATTTAGCTGACCCTGCCCATTATGTGACGTAACCTGTCAAACATCTCATCGACAGGTCCAATATCTCACTCCGCGGTCAAACATCGATTTTTTTATGCCCGCTCAGTAAAACATTGGAAATGTTAGCCTTTTATTAGTATTGATTTATATAGGAACAAATTTTTAAAGGTATAACAATTTGGTTTGTTGTTCTGCCTCCATGATGAAGTTAACTATTTCGTTTGTTGTTCTGCCTTCATGATGGAGGTACCAATTGGTTTGTTGTTCTGCCTCCATGATGAAGGTAACAATTTGGTTTGTTGTTCTGCCTCCATGATGGAGGTACTAATTGGTTTGTTGTTCTGCCTCTATGATGGAGGTAACAATTGAACTGTTTTATATACAAGTGTTTAGTTAAAACTTTCTTAGAAGATGAGACATGAAATTTAATTATAATTCATTTGTGCTGTAGCAGCTACATGTGTATTGATGATTGATATTATCTTTGACAATGTTCATATGCTGTTTGCATTACAAGAGAAGACCTGATAAATCAGCCTGGCAGCATCTAATGTTTTGAATCTGAATATAATTGTGGGCTTCAGACTGTCATAGAATGAAAATATCAGACAAACTAATGTAAAGCTAGCCCACTCAAAAGAAAGTGTAAAAGAACGTGGGCTAGGGAGCGCTTCAGATGCTTTTAAATGTAACAGTTAATCTTAATTGTTATAAACAGCCAATAGATGGACTTCATTTCTAGACAGGCTATATCATTTCCAGTTTGTTGCAGAATTAATGGCTTATAATTATTTTATATAAGATTAAAATGTTCATCTCTTTGCATCACTACTGTTCTAGTCAATTTTTTCTTATCAAATAATGAAATTCATGAAACAGCATTGATTCAAAATTCATATTCATTAATCAATATTCATTTCTTTCCATCCTTTCTATCTCGAGTCACCCTGTTTCTTAAGTGATGAAATTGGTGTAACAGAATTAGTAACTGTTATATTTCCATGGATTTTTCAATGTAAAACTCCTTTATACTGAACATTGTCACCAGCGTGAATTGACAAATAAAACGAAGTATCTTTACTGACAAGCCAGTTATTGTATGTCAGACATTCAATGGAAATGTTCATATTGCATGCCAGCTAGAGAAATCTATTTTCTATCCTATCATTAAGAGAAATGGAAGACAAATATAAATTGGCTTTGTTCAAAAGTCATAGTCTTTATTTTCCCCATAGTCAGTGCAGATTGTTAAGGTTAGCTTTTTCATCTGATTTATGGCTATTGTTTGACATAAAGATTTTGATTTATCACAAGTTTTTTTTTTCCAAAAAGAATTCAATTCAGTAACCAACATAAACACTTGGGAAATACTGAATGTTTTCATGGAAAAACTCATTTTGGCTACCAGAATGATTGAGGCATTTTAGCAATTCTCTTTTTCTATGGTATTGAATTTTCAAAGATGCCATACTCAGATGGCTTGAAAATGATAAAAGCTCCACTACAAACTAAAACAAGAGCAGAGTCTCTACTGCAGATCATGAATAAATTTATTGTTTGTTAAATATTTACATTTCCAATGTTTTTGTCCGAGATAAGATTACAAATTGTAAAAATACTTTATTTCTACATAAATCTACTGGTTCATCGATAGGCACGGTTAAAAAAAAAATCACGTGCGGGGCGGGACAAATAGACAGAAGCGGGGCTATTAGCACGGGAATTTGCAGAATCAGGAGCATGTAAATATAAGGAATAACTGTCTTATTTTTTGGATTCATGACGATGATCAATCGATTGGCTTGCGTGATAATTTTATGCATAAACGCCTTCGGCGTTTATGCAAATTATCACGCAAGCCACTCGATTGATCACATCATGAATCCAAAAAATAAGACAGTTATTCCTTAATTAATAGCCTTTTAAAAGTATGTGTATCATTATATTTCATATACATTTAATATGATTTTTTATTATAAATGTTGTGCATTGGAGATAAATTTTTACCCTTGGTTACCACATTATCATTGATCATGATGTTTCTTTATTATCCTTGTTTGTGTCATATTTTTGGCATTTATACAATTGATATTATATGTCTATAGGCACATCCCAATCCTGCAGACAACTGGTCAGAGAATGTACTCCGAGCTCTACACATACCAAACCTTATGTCTGATGATGTACCTAACCAGCCAATGGACTTCTACACATGCCAGTTCAAAATGTCAAAACTGGATAGGTAAGTATAAAATTTTGTTTGTATGTGTTCATGCATGGGAGTGGAATGGAGGGAGGGGAGATAACAAAGTAGGTGGGAAAACTCTTGTCAGCCCTCTAGTTAGACATTTTTTTTTAACTTAAAGTGTGTGATATAGTCTGATTAAAATCAATCCTTTTCCTCTGCACAAATATGGTCAATAATAATAAATACTGAAATAACTTTTTTTGCAGATTTTTGGGAAGTGATAATAAGGACACATACTTCACAAACATTCAGAGACATCGAGTGGTGTGGGAGATTTTGTCTACCACTGCATACGGAAAGAAGAAGAGGGCAGAAATAGGGATAGAAAGGCTCTTAGAAGAGGATGTTTTCAAAGCAGCATTCCCCTTACATGATGTGAGTGACTCTTTGGTTTCTCAGCTCCCCTGAGTCTATCAGTTTTAGTTAGTTATTTTACAGTGTAATACATGTAATTCATCAATAGAGTATATATTTTCGTGACACCTTATTTACACGAGATAGCTATTTGTTATTTATAAGCAAGACAAAATTTTAGCGAGCTGCGGTTACTGCAATATTTAATCCTTTACATTACAAATATATGTGAGAATAAAATATTCGCGAGCAGACAGACTCGCGTAATGAAATGAAAATAAAGTTCTCACGAATAAAAAGTTATTTACAGTAGTACAAAATTCACATCATAAAATTTAACAGGAGTAACCCTATTGTTTCAGATCTTTCCCAAGGTATGTCTTTTGAAGTTCTTCAGATATTTTATCTTAATTGTGATATATATATATTAATTCTTCTGTAGGGTCCATATGAGAAACCAGATCATGGCATTAGTCCTGAAGATATGAACCATCGGCAGGTCTTGTATGAGTACTGGGCCCGATGGGGAAAGTGGTACAAGTACCAACCATTAGACCATATCAGAGAGTACTTTGGGGAGAAAATCGGCATATACTTTGCTTGGTTAGGTGAGAACTTTCAACTGAAGCATAGGAGCTAGCTTGTGTTATATAATCTGGTAGTTAGAACTCTTTAATAACCTACGTGTACTAGAGGTTATATTTTACAGTAAAACTAGTCTAATGCGAACACCACTGGTTCTTAAGAAAGTGGCCAGATTAGACAAGATTTCGAATTAGACAACTTTTTAAGCAATTGAATTAACTGAAAGAGACTAAATAAGTTTACATCATAATAGGCAATATTGCAGAATACACAACATCTGGATTAGACAGATTTTACTGTATTTATTTTTTTATAGGATTTTACACGGCGTGGTTGTTACCTGCTGCTGTTGTTGGGATTATTGTGTTTGTTTACGGAGTCATTTCTGTGTTCCATAATGTCCCAGTGTGAGTGAAACTATTTATAATATGACAGAATTTAAATATTCATGATATTTATAGCACAAAATTTGAAATTTATTGACTGAATTCTGTAAAACTCAAAGTGCAATTTGTCCAAACATGAACAGTTATCATTATAGAGTATATGTTCTCCTTTTGGTGGGTTTTTGTATTCAAAGTTTATTCTCATAAAAAAAAAAAATACAGTGGTAAAATAGTTTCCTGACTTCTGATCTTTGTCATAGAGAAATATAAAAGCCTTTGAAGGAATATAAAAACTGAACTAAAAGCATTCCCAATACTATTTATTTTTCAGAAATGATGTGTGTTCAAGTGGCAAGGACTACAAAATGTGTCCCCTGTGTGATGAGAAGATAGGCTGTGCTTACTGGTACCTTTCAGATGTCTGTACTTATGTCAAAATAGCCTATCTGTTTGATCACCCAGCTACTGTGGCTTATGCTGTGTTTGTGTCATTCTGGGGTAGGTCTTTTTTCTCTTGGTACGTCTTTTTTTATTATCTTTTTTTTTTTTTTTTTATTAAATTGCAGTTAGCACTTTCTTTATGTGTATATTTACATCAAAGATCACAGTGGTATGATTTGTAGTGGTCAACAAGCACTCTGCAAACTTGCAGAACACAACTTTCTGCAGTGTACTGTTACTGAAGTCCTAACATATTTCAGAATGCTGTGTTTTTAACATTTTGTCATTTTTATTTACGATCAGCTGTAACCTTTCTGGAGTACTGGAAAAGAAAGAATGCTAGCTTAGCTCATCATTGGGATGTCCTAGACTTTGAAGATGAAGAGGTTACAGTTTTCTTTTTCAAAGTTATCAGTCTCTTATTAGGATTATAATTAAATGTTGTGGAAATCTATTTTACAGTGGACACTCTAGCTGTTGATGGCTATTGTAGAGTTTATCATATTCAAACAGAAAGGAATACATGATTAATATACACATGCATATCAAATGCATGTTCATCTGTAAATTTGGATTATTTTTTGTTTTTATACAATTTAAGTCGATAATTCTTAGTGCATATACCTTGGACTTAATATTTTGGGTATTGGCCACCTAAGGTTTCATAGAAATATAACTATAAATATATTGTATTTAGCATGTACAATATTTGGCAAAAATTGATTTTGAACCAGTTAGTGTATTCTGATTTAGCGCTTTCTGAATGTGCTATATACAGTATACACCACAAGATATTTAGTAATGTACTTGATCTAGCGGAAGCTGTTTTCTATGAAAGGCGCTAAATAATACACACCCAAATGTAATAGATTTACAGTAATTCATTTATACAATCTACTGGGTATGTTTTCTAATACTCCAGTATATGCTGGAATAGTTTAATGAAAAGCCAAACTTCAACTAATCTTCATTTCTATAATATGGCTACATGTAATTTAATATATCTACCCATTTTCAACTTGTCGATAAATTTTTGCAGGAGAGACCCAGACCAGAGTATGCTGCAAAGGCTCCAACATACGAGAAGAACCCCATAACGGGGGTTAAAGAGCCTCATTTTCCTCCAAGAGATAGAATCCCCAGAATTTTATCAGGATTTGGAGTCATCATTTTAATGGTTATGCTTGTTTGGTTTCTTACTTCAAGTATTATGTTAATTTAACGAATTCTCTTAAAAATAAACAAAAAAAATCAATGCAAAATCTTGGCATGGGTTTATGTTTGAAACACATTCAAATTGATTTAGGTACCAGTGCTTTTAATTGAATATAACTTGTACATCAATATAAAAAATTACAGTACATTAATTCTTGTATTTGTGGATCATAATGGATTATATTGTATTAATGAATATATGAACGACTAATGAGAAAACATTTCATTATGTTTTTGAAGTTTTCTTCCTTTTTTCCTCATTCTAGATGTCGCTGGTCCTGATATTCATCGTTGCCGTCATTATGTACAGAATTTTAGTTAGTATACCTTTGTTTCAAAATAAGACACTGCGAGGCCAGGCCAACCTTATTGCCAGCACCAGTGCAGCTGTGGTCAACTTGATTTTGATTATGGCTCTTGGAAAAGTTTACGAAAAATTAGCATTAAAACTTACACAGTGGGGTGCGTACTTGTTAGCATAAAATTTCACCATGTATTTGGAGCATAAAAGTAAATATATATTTTTGTGTATGATCAGAAATTATTGGTGATATGAATATAATACTTAAATTTAAAGAAGACAATAAAGTACTTCTTTCCTGATATTTTGAAATTGATGTAGAATGTACATAAATTTTAAAAGTCTTGTATGGGAATAGTTATACATGTATTAAAGTTTAATTTTTATTTTTAGAGATGCATCGAACTCAGACTGAATTTGAAGATCAGCTGACCTTTAAAGTGTTCATTTTCCAATTTGTGAATTTCTACTCTTCAATTATTTATGTAGCATTTTTTAAGGGAAAGTAAGATTTTTGATATTATTCAGTCTTAGAATTTTGAAATCAGTATCCAAGTTAATAGATTTTCAGATATGTAATACACTAACAATTTTTTGTCTGCAGGTTTAATGGTTATCCCGGTCACTACACAAAGTTATTAGGTTTAAGGAATGAAGAGGTACATTTGTAGTCAGATTTATGTATAACTATCTGAATAGTACAAGTTAAGGAATGTATTTACACCCTGAGTTGAAAAATTTGCCTTAACAAATGGCCACTACACACATCATGCAGCAGAAATACCCTGTAGAATTATATATTAGAGGATTCAAGTTTTATTTACTCATTTAAAAAGTACATTTGGGTATTGTAGTGTAATAATGGAGGCTGCCTGATAGAGTTGACACAGCAGCTTGCAGTCATCATGATCGGCAAACAGATGATTAACAATGCACAGGAAATCATTATACCGTAAGGAAGAGTCTCTGAAGAGATGAGCCGCAATTCATTGTTTTTGATATCTAATTTAAAATAAAAGAGAATTTCTTTAAAACCAAATTTTCCCACATTCTACAGATATATGGAATATCAAGGGCCTTCATTCAAAATGTTTAAATCATTGATTATCCTCATTGCCTTACTCAACATGCATTGTAAACTGTATCTTACTCTTTTTCTCTGGAGGTCATTGCTTTGTAACCCTTTGGGTTGTTGCTATAATCATGTTTTCTATAATTATGTGCAAGCAAGTTTTATTCTTATTTGATAGTTATATTGATAATTTTTCTGATGAAATGATTATTTAACAATAATAAGAGTCCTCCTCTTTTAACAGAAAGATGAAAGCATTTTGGCACAGATGTAAGACCAGCCTGGATAAGAGTGCTGTCAACAGTAGATGGGAGGAGGACTATCAGCTGATTGAGAATGAGGGACTGTTTGAGGAATACTTGGAGATGGGTAAGATTTGATGATATGCTGAAAAGTACATTTGTAACTGAATGTGTATACATTTGACTTTAAATTATCCATCTTGTTCAAATAGATAATTACCCAGCACTGTCAGTCTTAGTTTTTCAGTGTAGTTTGACCTATTTCAGTGCTACAGTTTGGATTTATCACAATATTTGTGGCTGCGTTTCCCCTGGCTCCTCTGTTTGCTCTGCTGAATAACTGGGTGGAGATTCGACTGGATGCCCACAAGTTTGTCTGTGAAACCCGTCGACCTGTAGCCGAGAGGGCACAGGATATTGGAGTTTGGTTTAAAATCTTGGATGCACTTGCCCAGCTGGCTGTAATAAGCAATGTAAGCAAAATTTTCAGTACCATTCTATAGATGGTATGTAAAGTTTACACAAATTATCCTAAACATGAAAAAAAAAGTAATGAGAAAAAGAAAGACAGGTCAGTTTTTAAAGACTATAGTGAATATTCATTGCGGTGAAAGGTACTGTTGGAGTCCTACCTGTCAGTGTGAGTGACACAGTGATACCCAAAAAGTATAAGATGTTACTGTAAATATTCATATTTTTAAGAGGATACATATATTTTCAGGCTTTTCTGATAGCGTTTACATCTGAGTTTTTACCTCGCCTCCTCTACCAGTACCAGTATAATTGGAATCTGGAAGGATACATTAATTTTACTCTTGCTGTGTCTCCACCGGGCACCATGAACCAAACCTGCAGGTTTGTTTATTAAACTGACAGAAATTAAATCCTTATAGGTGCTTTCATATTGAATTCGTAAAAAAAAATTTTTTTTGATATTATCTCAATGACCAAGGTCAGTACTGAGAAAATTTAAATTAAAATTTAAAAATTTAAATAAAATTATATTCATTTCAGGTACAAAGAATTCCGGGATGATGAAGGACATTACACACTGTTTTACTGGCATTTACTTGCTGTCAGATTAGCATTTGTCATCTTATTTGAGGTAACTTTTGAAACATTATTAAGATTATTCATTTCCGATACTAAAATCAATTTTTGTCAGTAATGTAAAATGGTTTCATTATGGGCAGTGTAAATTAAGTGTTCATTAAAGTTAATGTCTTATAATGAGCAGTGCTTGTTTAATGTTAATGGCAATATTTAATAAATATGAAAACATCTGAAAGTCACCTAGAAATGTTAGATGTTTAAGTGCACTTGTTCAGCATTATTGCAGGGCTTAACAATTCTTCATTCAATATTCCAGCATGTAGTGTTTGGGATATGTAAGTTAATAGATTTCCTGGTGCCCGATGTACCTGAAGCTTTAGAACTGAAAATCAAAAGGGAGAGATACTTAGCCAAGCAGGCCCTGGCAGATACAGATACCATAATGAAGGTAAGGCTCACCTGGGAGAAATAAGTTGCCTGTAACCAAGTACATGTACATTGGGTAACTGTACATTGTTTGGTTTAAGTAACTTATGCTGCCGCTGTGTGTTTGGTGAATTGTGCTTTTGCATTCTGTGAAGATAATTTAACCCGTATGACAAAAAAAAATGCTTTAAAAAAAAGTTTGTCTTGTTTAATATATATTTTGCTGTTTCTTCAAAAGGTAGACTACCTTAGTTGAAGTGATTACATATACTGGATGACAAGTTTCTTATAAGCATGTCCAGTATATTTATTCCAAATAAGTTTGGATTAGAATTTGGTATTTCATAAAAAGCAAAATTTTGTTATTTGATATTTATAATGTTGATACAATTTGTGTATAGACCATACATCCAGAGGATGAGGTATGAATTGTCAATGTTGTTCACAACGTGTGTTAGAATCTGAAATATTGGTACAGAAGCATGGATAATAAAGCATGGGATTAAATATATCACAGTACACATTTAAACAATAATTTTATTCAAATGGAGATGATTTATAGTAATCATAATTTTTGACAATCACCCCCTGTTTACCTGTGTTGCTGCAGTTTTCAAATTATACCAACAAACAGAGCACTGCACTTTTATATAGATATTCCCTGTGTCCACTTAGTAAATTTTGTATGAGAAATTTTATAACCAAATTCTCAAGATGATAAAAGTATTTTGCGAAAGCATTTGTAATGAATACATTCATTTGCCACAAGCGACATATCTATTGTAACTTTTGACAGTTCTGAATATAAATAAAGAATCTGTGCTGATAACTAGACTCTGCCTGTTAAAAGTACATATTCCATAAATAGTCTGTCTGACACAAGTACAGTCAACATCCTTACTGAATCTCAATCTGCCCTGGAGTCATGATTTATTTAGGATATAAACATAAAAAAATATCGTAATGGACAATATGAAGCCTTGTTCAGGTTGAAGTATCAGCTTTTAAAAGTGAACACAAAACTAAATAAAACAAGCATGCCTGTGTAAGACCGAGTCTTGTGATGTATATAATATGTATTGTCCCTGTGAGTTGTGTTCCTCCATTGTTGTTGTTCTAATAGATACGTTGTGAAACAGTGTGAAAATTTTTAACTGACATAAAATTGTAACTTTCTTGTACTAGTATGTGTTCTTTTAAAGATTAACTCTAACTGACAGACATGGAAAGTTTGATTTGCTGTGTCTCTTTTCTGTCAAATCTTTAGAAATAACTAGTTTATATGTCTCCAATGTTTGAACCCATTTAAATTTTCTTTATGATTGGAATCATATTACTTAAATTAGAAGTAGAGGTAGTAAGAAATATCCTTCTATGCTTGGAAATATTAAATACACATATGAAACAAAAGGTAATTCAGATGAATACAAAATTAATGTAACATTTTCTAATTTTTTATTTATTGGTTTATATATTTATTTATTGGGGGGGGGAGAAAATGCTAACTTTGGACAATACTTAAATGTTTCTGGCTAAATAAACGGTATTCATACTTGTATTTACTTCCTGTAGATTGCCCGTGGAGATGACGAAGATGATGAAGAAGGTGTCCTGGTGTCGACCGTACCAAAGGGAGGTTCAAACCAGCAACCTGTGGAGGACAATAAGGTCTAGTTACTCCGACATTCTGGTGTCGATTGTCCCAGAAGAACGTTCAACCCAGCAAAATGTGGAGGACATTAAAATTTATTTACTCTGACATTCCCTCATCACACTTTAAGATGTCTCAAATTTAAACTCTGTGGGGAGAGGAGAACAATATCATGTCTTTCTTTCTTAACAGTTGTGTGTGTATTAGATTTTACATTGGGTTTAGATGCAATACATTAGATAAAAATGATAGTTAAACTATTCCTACATGTTAGTCTGTTACACTTCTATTGGTTTATCTTCCTCTTAAGTAGTTGTACTAATTGTTTAGAACAGCTTTTAATAAAGGTTTGAGCTTTATGATATGATAATGCCAATTAATACTTCCACTTTACATTGTTACTATTATATGTCTGTATGTGATTTTTTCATTCTGCTAAATTTGTGTTTCAAATATATAAGGACCAGTTATTTCACTTGTCTATACTTATTTATTTTGTAGTTTCTTTTTCAACATAATTTCAATTTATTTGTACATCATTTAAAATTATTACATTTTACTTAATCTTGCATTCCTCATACTAAACATACCGAAACAGTAAGGGATTAAATTATTATACTTACAGTGTATATACAACAGAATTATATAAGAGCAGCTGGTGTTATGAAAACTTTATACAAATACTGTCCATGTATTGGGACCAACTTAAGGTTTTTGTTTTAAAAAAATTAATTTTATCTCACTTTTAGTTTTCAGACTCCGATGTTTATATTTTCTGATTGCTAAACTATTGCTGTAGACAGATAATGTTAAAATGTCATGATAGACAGATAGTACTGAAAAATGGCTGAAATACCATAGTAGACAGATAGTGCTAAGATTTAGCTGTATAGACAGTGCTAAACTGTCAATGTAGAATTGGTCTATTTAAGTAATATGCACATTATTTTATTTGCTTCATGCACATTTACTAGTTGAAAATATATATCATTGAATGCTGTGTTAGCTACATGAACTATTACATGGTTTTGTTGGCTACATTTATTGTATTATAAATGCACGGTGGGATTGGAAAGGAGTCATATTAACACTTACTAAGCTCTCTTCCTTCAGATGCATTACAAATATGTATATCAAATGTATATTGGGTCACAGTTAAAACAATACAAGTAGTGTGCTTAAAACCATATGGGTATATTATGATAACATTTTATAGACATGGTGTATTAGACACCACCATTAAGTTCAGCATGGTATCAGCATTCAGCTTGTTATAAAAACTAGAACTGCTTTTACATGTAGCAATGCGTGATAATATATTAAAACCTGCAATTATTCCTTAAAGCAATAATGAGTATTCTACGTCTGTATTTATATTAGGCAATCCAGTAGGAATTTTATATTTAAATGCTGCAACACAAATGCTTAATGCCTATGAAATGGTATATGGTACTTAGGGAAGTTTTCTTCCCCTGTGTAATGAGTAAAGCTATTTTTCATGGAAATATTCTTATCCATTGAAAACCAGTTAATTCCTACATACTGTTGCTCTTATCAATTTATAATCTTACGATATTGCATTTTAAAAGAAAATATATGCTTTAATTAATTTATATGCAATGCTTTAGCAATTAGCATATATATTAATGTTCTTATACATAACTAATGGAGTCTGATCTCTGTGACAATCTTTAATGCTAAAATATGTCAGAACAGAATTTTTTGTTGGCTTTGATCCTATAAAGTGAATTGTTTGTTAGATATGAGTAATAAGTCCTCACCATTGACTGCTACAATAGACAGATGTTGATTTTATAGGGTACACCTGTTACTGTATACAGTTCTGAGATTTTCACTTTATCTCTCTTTTGAATTCTTGGTTCATTTATTTTATCAATGTTAATATCACTAACTTTACTTATACAGTGTACATATATGTCATGAAGCTGAGCTACAGTGAAAAACTAGGCTGCGTGTATACATTACAAATATTCACCTGTGGACCTTTTGTATTTATTATAATCAGTCTTGTGATATGACATGTATTGTTCCCTTGTTAAAATCTTCCTATTTTTGATATTTGTTGTGTATTTATCTCGCAGATCTCCCTGATTTTTTGTTATATACTGTTATTATTTGGTCTGTTGGACTTCTATGAAAGTGTTAGAAGACAAGGACTACGCATAATGCTATGATTGAATCTCAAATGTTTATTTTATACTCTTAAATCAATTAAACACTCTTTAGCATGTGTGATTGTTGTGTTAATTAATAATAGTGAGAAAGAAAGTTGGAGAAGATGGGAAAAGCTTATGCAGCATTCTTCTATAAGTTTATAAAACCTCCCGTCTGTTGTCATTCAAAAATGACACAAAATTTACAACGCATACTTTTTCGAGAAGTTTTCCAAATGAATTATTACATCTGAGTTCTAGGAGGAAGTGCATATATACTCCCTGAACAGCTTGATGCTGCTACCAGATATGCTTGGATTGGGTGTAGTAGCGCATCTATAAAGTCATTTGAATTTTAATTGGCTTGTGTGGATGTTTATGGTTGATTTAGGAAATAACTAGCTATGTTGATTCCATTACCAATGTCATATTATATAAAGTCATCTTTGTCTCTTTCAAAAAATAACTACATTCTTCTATTCAGAGATGTGTTAATGCATATATTCACATAAGCCAAAACCTATAGTGTTGTCTTTTTATGCCAGAAATATATCGATATTGTGTTGATCTCATCACAGTGTTTTTTGCCTGATTATGACACATTTGCTCAGACGATGACCAGTTCATTACGTAAAAGTAACATAGTTTACAAATGCCAATGGCATTAAAATGCTACATGCAGCTTGTTTCCAACGGGGGCGTTACTATGCTCAAGTAAACCGCCTGTTCCTTAAACAAAAATACCCACCCACAATCGACGCAGTAAACATTAGTAGATAAATACCACAAAGGGTCCAGTCTTGTTTTTCGTCATATATCAGGTTGAAGTCCACACCTTGTTTCTCTTACAAATACTGTATTCATTGACTATTGCTTAAATTCCTATGTTTTAATAACAAAAAAATGTAGTGCTTAGATATCGAACATCTGAAACATAATCCCATGTTCGTCCTTTATACAACCATAGTCCTGCTGGACTGCGGGAACCCCGATTTTTCAGCTGGTGTCAAAATTTCATAAATATTATAAATTCTGTCGCAGATTATACCAGACGATGGGTCAAATATTAAGGAGAAGACCTTGACACTTTGTCAGAATGGATTGAAAGTACAAGATGGATGCTGAAAACTCGTATTAAATGTTTGAGGGGCAATATGAAAAACATTCTTCTGTCTTCAAAAATTCAGATGTGCAAAAAGAATTAGAAAGATGACGCGATCAATATGTACTGGTCTCAGCTGACAAAGCAGGTAACAACATTGTCTTTTTCGATAAGGCTCATTATAATTGTATTTTAGAGGAATTTGGATATATTCTACAAGTGGTAATCCAATCTATACCCATAGTTCCCTTTTCTTCAAAATCATATGCCAGTTTTAAATATTTTCAATATTCCCAACAACCAAATTGAATCTGAATTACCATACCTATACTGGATTCCCGAACTGCTTAAAAAATTTCACAAAGATACATTGTACGAGGGCCGTTCACAAATTACGCGGACTTATTGCATAGAAAAAATATTTGACGACATATTCGATGAAAAAGTCATACATAATATAAAAGAATCCTTACTTATATGGTCCTAAAAATTCCATATCAAAATGTTGTCAATTGAGATAAATTTTTAGCGATTTAACAGGACATATCATGAAGTCACGGTGCAGTAAAATCTTCGACGTCACGGGCATTATAAAAATGTGAACTTTCATTTTTTTTTCAACATTTTCTCTCTGAGTTTATACTGGATAGTTTGGTTTCCCTTATCCACTCAGCATAAACATCCATATACCATCTCTGGTCAAGCTTAAAATATATAAATATGGTATAGTATATTTTTCTTCGTTTTAAACCCCACAAATTGCCGAGATTTCTGAAATATTGTGTGACGTTGGTCACTCTCAATCACGTTATTAACAGTTCAGATAACGTTTTTGTCGATGATCTTCCTCCAGTCCCCCTCCCAGATTGCCTTTTACTGAGGTCTAACTGTCTAAAATTCCTCTTTGCTATTTGTAGACAGATGTCGGGAATACCCTGGGTCACTACATGTTTCATCAAGCATATTTTGGATCTATGTTGGTGTTATCTCGAACATTACATATAATTTGATAGAAGTATGTTGTTCCGTCAATTCAAGAGACGTCATTTTAGCAGTTATTTTCTTAGGAATCGCATAGGAGAAAAAATACTATATTTCCTTTAGTATTTCAAATATTACTTCAAAAATCTAAACACAAAAATGTAGAACGATAAAAAGATACTTCGAGAAAATTGTCGAATAATATCCTGAATTATAGAAAATAAATGAGTACAATTTTGGATTCCGCGCGTTTGTTTTTCAAAATTTTTGTCGTGCTCTGTACACCTCCATCAGCGATATCAAAACAGCAATAATTTTAAGAAAAATTAATTAAAATCCAAAAAATTTACTAAAAGTTTATTGAAATCTTTAAGAAATATGTTTCTGTGAAATTTTATTACTATTTGACGTCCGCAAGAGTAAATAATAGCAGAGTCCGCGTAATTTTTGAACGGCCCGCGTACATAGAGGGTTTTAGTAAATTTTCTACCAAGTCCGTCTCTTCTCCTTACAAAAACATTAACAGCAGCGCAAGAGAAATTTCAGGAGTACTGTAAAAAAAAAAACATATTTAAGAAGTGATGTTAATCAGATGTGAATGCTTATAGTTAAAAACTCCAAGGAATTTTAAATTTGAAATCATAAAAATGAAACTCGTAAATTTACATACTTCGTCATTGGTCATCTGCAAACTTATTTTTTTAAATACATTCGGATTCAACTCTCAGATACTCCGAAATTGATATTAAAAAGATGCCTGCGTTTCTGATTGACAGTATCTATTAATATATTGTTTTTGGAGACCAGATTTTCCAACAATGTGTTGGACTTGCTATGGGTAATAATTGTGCTCCGTTATTAGTTGACCTGTTGTAGTATTCATAAATGAAGTAGAATTTATTCAAAAACTTCTACTTCAAAAGAAGTGTCTTGCTTTGCCCTTCAATTCGACATATCGATGATATATTTTATCAATTAACAATATTCAGTTTTCATTCCTGTGTTGATTCGATATGTCCCTTTGTACTTAGAATAAAAGACACTACAGAGTATGACAAATCTGTTTCATGTTTGGATATTTTACTAAAGAAAGACATTGATGGAAAACTAACAACTAAACTTTATGACAAACGATGACTTCAACTTTTCTATCGTCATCTTTCCTTATTTCTGTAGATACAATGTATAGACAATATTATCACATGCATATGGAGTTTATGTCTCTCAGTTGATTTTATTCGCAAGAGCATTTTCTATGTGCGAACAATTTCTAAAACAAGGCAAGCTACTGACAAATAAGTTGATGATACAAGGATATCAGCAGTCTCATTGAAAGTCAACATTTCGCAAATTCTATGATCGAAACAATGACTTTGTTAGCAAATACAATCTATCGTTAAGTCGAATGTTGACTAACATTTTTCATACAAATTGATAGGCCATTATTTTCACACTGAATTGTCTGCAGATTTTTCCGTTTATCCGATCATGACAAAGAGCACACGGCGGATGTGCCCGGTCGACAGGGAATGCTTACTCCTCCATTGAACCCGATCTCGCCTCTAATGTTTCTAGAGGTCCATGTTTGCTCCGCTCTCTCTGCTCATACTCTGTATTGTTTCAGTAGACTTTAGAGCTTGATTACTGTTCGTTATCTTCAAATTTCATAAACTAGTTTATAGTTGCTATCCATAGTTCATAATTAAGTAGTGAAACTATAGTTATCAGATAGATCATATTTTACAATTGTAAACATCTCTTAACTATAGATTAAGCTGTAAACTTTAGTTCAGAGATGATAAATATAGATTTATGTCAATAACTATACATTGTATTCAAGATTCGTATATTTTACAATTGACAGATCTATTTTATTGAATACAAAACTATAATTTACTCTTTTTCTGATGAATTTGGCTTGTATAGGTATTGCCCTTTTAAATTCAAGGAATTTTTTGCAAATTAGACGAATTTGGTCTTAGGGGAGAAAAAAACGTAACTGTTTACAGTCGACAGTCACAGACAAGCAAGGGACCAACTCTGCCATTTAAAGAAAAAACTTATTTGACCCTTTTGCTAAGCTAAGTTCATATGACTAACATTTAATTAGCTAAAACTAGGAAATACAAAACAGAAGCACGTTATATATACGAAGACGCTATTTATTAAACTTAACAATGAAATGTCTAAATCATAACAATATGTAAGAGTTGGTTAAGGACTCATCTCCTCCTCCCACATGACTGGTGACGTGCTCAATGAATGTATCCCGGATGTGACGTCAGTGGTGTAGCCCCCAGATGTAGAGGGGAAGAAGAAAGAACTGTTTAATGAGGATTCAGGTGGTCTATTTATATTCCGTATTCCTTCAAGTTGGTAAATGAATCCTACCATTTTCATACAACTTTCAATCTGGTGATCATGAAAATGGTATGCCATCACTGACCATGGTAGAAGGGCGTTCATTAATTCTTTCCTGACAGCAGTTGAAACGCAAGCGATAATTCTTTCTAGCAAAGACAAATAGGGTGACAGAATTTTGTTCATTTCTATATTTTTCAAACTTTTAAACGTACAAGAGGCACTACAGCGATGAAGAGAACTATGAAGCTCTTTAAGTTGAACCAGGTCCTGCTGATTTTCGCACTTATCAACAAATGGTGCAAGCTGAAAGAGCAGATCGATTTTCTTGCTGCATATTGCTGGGACTTTTGCAGTGAAAACTTGATGAAAGGGTGTTGTCAAAGCCGCCAGATTTACTGAACCCTTAATGTTTTCGTGAAGTCTCTCGTACACTAACCAAGGAATGTTTGCCCTAAGTGACCACGCAAAAAGTCCGGCCAGGGCTTGGTCCCAAGGTGCCCCAAAATATCGCATGTTAAAATGATGTTCCCTGGTTAAATCCTCGGTATGATCATGGACTGATGAGCGACTGCAGAGTGGTTTGTGCGTCACTGACGATACTTTACACATCGGCCATGGGTCTTCTTCAAGGATCAGTTCTACTACGTGTTCCATTGCTTTGCCTTGGTAACTCTGACAAATTTTCAGAAAGTAGTAGGTTTCTGATTCTGTCCCTTCCTCATTCTTCTCCTTTTTAATAAAAATTGGTCCGCCTGGTTTAAAGATATCATACTTTGGAAGTTCTGCGTACGTTTCTTTGGTAATGAGGAACCTCGACACCGATTTGTCATCGGATTCATAATCCAAGACCTCAAGGAAGTAAATGTTCATGTTGCTTAAGAGATTTTCTTTCTCCTGCTCTGGGAAGGTAAAGGAGAATTTGATATTTCCAACAACAGACTCGTCGTCAAGTCCAACGGAATCGGATCGATCAGGTCGGAACCATAAGCCCTTAATTCTAGGATAGTTTCGGAGAATGGAGTAATCCTGAGTGGGCAGCAAGGTAGTGGCTTGGTGAGTAATAACTGGGACTGCTTCATCGAAAGGCAGAACACAACTAACACAGTCGAACTTTGTGTAGTAAAGTTGAAGAAGCAGTGCCCATTCTTCTCCTCTGATAGTTTCAGGTATAAGATGATACTGTTTGCTGTCAGTTGCTGGGAGCCAGAGTGTCAGGGTTTCGTCCTCTAGATAAACATCTGTAATCTTTGTCGCTACATGGGGTTTCTGGAAAATAAAAAGAAAAGAGAAATCTTTTATATGTGCAATTTAATGGCTAAAAAGACAGAATTTTCGAAATGGACAGGAAGAAAAACAGTTAATGCAGTGAATTGCTGTATGTATAAGATCAGGGCAAAGTGAATGATTTAATATCTAAATTAAAGAATTTATCGTCCACAGAAGACATTTTGCTTCAGAATTCGTTTCTATTGCTGTTATTTCTGATAGTATATATTTAGGGTATAATCTATGATTTAGCTGTTGGTAATGTTTGGTGAGGACAGCCTTAAGACTAATCAAGCTAAGAACACTGATATACATGTATTTCACATAACTGACTGTTGTAGAGAACGAGTGACTATTATCGTGCATGGATCAATAGTTATGTGTAAATTAAGTTATTTCAGTCAAGTTTTATTAACGTGTCGACAACTGTTGACTGACCACAACAATCATTATTTATCGTAATGTAGTCCTGCAATCTGTTCAGAACGTTGAGAGACTTATTCTTCTACTGCATAATTCAGTACGTTGTTAAGGTTAACAGATATCGATACGTGTATTGAACACCAAATTGTGTATTGAAATATACTGGTATGTAATCCGATTGACTGACAATCACATTTTGACAGTACATGATGTAATCAATTAATCAGATAAAGACTAAATATTTGACGCTGGTCCAGTTCAGATAGCTCACGGTTTAACAATTCTAGATCTAAGGTTAAATCACACACTCTGTTGGCCATCAGTGTCCTATCAAAGGATGCTTAAATCACTTAAGTTTTAGGACAATAATTGTTGAATGGTTTGATTTTATCTGTGATAATCAGTACAGAACTAATTTATCATTACAACACTTCATATTTCACATGTCATCCAGAATTGGAATAGTTTGCTTAAAAAAAAAACGGTGAACGAAAAAAGAAAGTAATGAATTCGACGATATTGGAGGAATCTGAAATGCAACTATTGATGCAATACGCTGCAATCCCCCAAGGCTTTCAATCAATCTTCCTTTTTTTCTGTAGAAAGGATTCATTGATGCCAGTCCTTTGTTGTCGATCGATAAAACAGCGACAATAAAATTTAACTATTACATGTACATGATGGGTTGAAAACGGAGCATTGCACAATATAACAGCTTCCATGTGTCCGAATTGCGTAATAATAGAAATTATTTTTGTACTAATTGAATGCATAAAATACAGTTTATTGCAAATAAATGTGTTTAACTTTTGGCATTTATTCGTCTGCATAAAACTTCCATTTTTACAGCGTGACTTTAACGAAAAAGCAGTTTTTTTTTGTCAGGAGATATGGATTGTAGCTATATACTTCCTCATCCTCTCCAATCCTCACTAAAAATGAGGAAACAAATGGCTAGCTGAGGGGATAGTTACTGAGGAGTATCAGTATAAAACTGATGACGTAGAATGTTCTTTGCCTGTATAAGGATACTAGATGAGTTGTTTGTTCTCGAGCTTCAAATACAACTGTGTTAAACCCAAAAGTAAACCCTACGTACGCTGCTCTTATCTCTCTGTTTAGACAACGTTTTTCGTAATAAAGTTAAACTTCTTCGAAAAACTGTGTCTGTATGACTTTGTAATTTCCCCTATCATTTTTCAACCCCCGGACCGCTGTTAAACTGTTTATAAGCTGATCTTTAAAGGCACTACAATTTATGTGTTTGAGAAGCTTTAATTTAATCATGCAATGTGTATACGTAAATGCGTCACGAAAAGACAAAATACTTATATCGAAGTAAAATCATCCTTTCTTAAATATGTTTATGGGTGAGGAAAAAGTCCAAATTAACAAAGCGGCAGCTGAATACTTCTAGCATCAATGGTCAAAGTAAGAAAATTTAATCTTTCACAAAATGAATTTCCATTATGTATAACCCGACCCCCAAAGCACATTGGCGCTTTTTTGTAGGAAATTGGCATTTACTGAACTTTAAATTGACGATAATGTTTTATGGGATCACATCGTAAATGTTGATCTTGTATAGTTCTAACAGATAAGCTGACATAAGAGGTTCTACGATCTTATTTTCATTTAACAGCTTTCAACAGAATATGAAACAACTTGAAAATTTCGTGGGCTTTAAATTGTTTTCGTATTTTTATTGGAAGTTTAATGCCCCTCGATACATTGCATCGATAGACATAAATCATTTCCCAGTTTTGGGTAATTTGCTTGATTAAACTCAAGGCTCTCTTCTGTCGATTTTTTTAAAACTATTATACAAAACCATTTAGACAATTTGAATTTCAAAACCTTGCCTGTTGTGAATCCACGAATATGCTGAAAATGATCTGGTAACGTGAAAAGGCTGAATTTCAACAATACTTACGTAGTTTTAATAAGAAAAAATGTTTACATTTCGGTTTAAATAAATTCACGGTTATAATGATTTACTGTATCATATTACTGAAGGTTCTTTAAATTCGTGACCTTATCGAATACATAAAAAAATAATACAGAACCAACTGTGGAGCTTTTATAAGAAAATTATTATTCATTTCAAAATTCCGACTTGAAATTTACGCAATTACTAAAAAAGAACCTTGTCTTTTTTTCTTCCGTAAAACCAGTATCGTATAATGAACTTTATTTTTGAAATTATTTTGATTAAACTACAGGACTTACTGTTTTTCTCTCTTGAAAAATAAATGTTAAAGATAAAGCATTCTCCTAACACCCCCACCCCACCATCCCCATCACTCCATCTTCTAGCAAAATTCCTTCAAAATCAAATATATGTATCGAAACAATGAAAACATTTTGAAAACAAACTTTAAATAATTAGTGCCAAAAAAAAAAAAAAAAAAAAAAAAAAAAAATACACACTTACCTTTATGCTAGAACTTGATCGATCCAAGTTGTTATTTAAACAATCCGTTCTCTCCATCGCGTATTACTTAATTCATCGTATAGAAGCAAGTTTACTCCAAGTTATAAGTACAAGTTGTTCGTGTATATAGATCGCAGTGGATTACTGTGAATTAAAGTGTCCACTGTTTGAATAACGTAAGGTCCATGTTTCCTTGCAGACTGTATTGAGACAAGGAATGTGATTCCAAAGTGTTTAATGCACACGTCACTGGCGATTGATTGGTTTATCTGATCAGTGTACAGGTAGTCTTCTATCACCGGCATGTCAAGGAACTTTAAAATGCCCACAAAAATTGATTTTTTTTTAATTTTAAAAATACTTTACCATTGCTTCTTGATAAGACTTTAAAGCTGTATGTTGAAACTCATTGCTGTAAAACTTTCGTCTTTTCGAATACGTTGACCCGAGTGCTGGAATTTGTTTTATAGTGCATATCTACAAAGTATAACTTCATATTGTTTTGCGGGTTACCATATGAACCTCTTTCAAACCAAATCCTGAAATACTTATATGTAGTTCTTTTACGTGAAGACCCCCCAGCCTTCCTTTAACATAAACAATCAAAATTTTCTTCACAATTGGGTAAGATTTTGAATGTTGGCAATATATGTAAGTATTTTAATCTTCCGCTTTTTCTAACTTGTATTTTCAAGTTCTAGCAATTTGAAAGGCCCAGTCTTAGAGGAATAATGGTAAACTATAAATTCCGGAACCATTAACACACAAAATAATATATGTATACTCAAAATGAGCAAAAGCTAGTCAAAAAGTGATAATTTCTACGTCTCGCCATGTGTCTTTTGTTCAATATCTGCCAAATATCTCGCTGATTTTTGCAAAAAAGTTATGCCCAAATATGACGCGGAACAATTTGTTAAATTCCTGATTTTAACAAACAAGTCAAGACCATTCGCTTTAAATGGTGTAATTTTTACAATTAATTCACATTATCAATTTTTGAATAACCCAAACATTTGTATTTATTACTTACATTATTGTTTATTATTCCTATTACCCGATTAATATGTCTAAACAAAAAAGTTCTAAATTTATAAGAGATTTAAAATTTTCCCTTTTATATCATCTTTCAAATTGTTTCTTTTCATCATTTTAAGTTATGCTAATTTGAGACAGTACAACGTTAACATTGTACGATTTACTACTTTGTCGTTGTTGTTTGTTTGTTTGTATGTTGTTTAACGTCCCTCTCGAGAATTTTTCACTCATATGGAGACGCCACCACTTGCCGGTTTGTCATATGCTCGGCACTTACGGCCATTGAGCAGTGAGGGATCTTTTTCGTGCCAACACCTACTGCGACACGGGACCTCATCCGAAGGACCGGTCTCCACGTCCCACAGTGGGATGCGAACCCGCGACGTAAGGATTAACTCCTTACTTGCGACTCTAGAGCAGACGCTCTAACCACTGCGCCACGCGGGCGACTTGTCGTTGTTGTTAATAAGCGATAATTAATTCGTTCAATTATGTAAATCGTACTTCACCAGAGTACACGAGGTCGACCGGACGTACATGTATTTCATAGAGGTCTGGAATTATTTTATAGCGATTTATATTGGTTTTCAACTTTTAAATTAAAGATGTAAAATTGTAAATATATAATCTATAAACATAAATCTGGCAAACAAAATAGTTCTAAGTGAAAAAATGTTTGTCCAAAAAATATCTTTCAAAATGTTAACAAATAAGATTAATATCATTCTCAAATTAATTAGTGAAGGAAATTATTGTAAACATAAATGTTGGTCTTAGTCGTAATTTAAGTCCTTTTGTAAAACACATCCCTACTGCTGTTTATTATCATTATTTAATGAAAATATTGTTATTGTTCTAACTAAAAGGTTTGTCGACTGTCGTGATAACGGCAAGGGTTACTGTGTATCTTTAGCCATGATTTTTGTTTGATAAAGGGGGGGGGGGGGGACTTTGCATTTTGAACATACATGTATCATGGCATTTAGCTGTTGGTTTTATCTGAACCGAGTGACAGAATTACAAAAATCCCAACTAAATTAACATGAATTGACATCACAGCTTGTGCTAGATTTTACTTAATTGCTTCAATTACAGAACATCTGCAAGGGCAATATGTATATTTATTGCCTTCAGACAATGTGACCTGCGTAAATTCTACTGAGGATAAAGAGTCGCAGATGGTCAGTTCCATCACTTAGAGCCAACCAGTCCTACAACAAGGAAACAGAGAAATCCTGTAAGTATTTTGTTATTTTATTTTATTTTTTAAAAAAATATTTTATTTATTTGCTTATTTTTTTTATTTATTTATTTTTGCAAAAGGTTCTGTGAAATATTTTGCGCTTTAGCTTTATGATGTGATATTAAACTTAAGCATTTTTACAGACTTGCCTCTTTTTGAACCGTAACTAAGTTACAAAATATATCATCTTCAGGAAAAATTAACTATGCACGACACAAGGAATCCAACGAACTATATACAATAGTACTAGGATTAATCCCCTATTGTCATAAAAAATGATATAAACAGGTATCAGAGAGCCATTCTCCTTTATGTCTAATACTTCAGTATTTTACATTTGGCAATGTCATAAAATGAAAATCCTGTTATTTGAACAATAAAATGCTTTCTTTGTTTGTTAATGCTGGAAATAATAACGGTTGCAGCCGTTGTAAAAAAAATAATAATAACCCGCTCACGCGCATTAACAAAGAAATACATTTTATATTTTTATTATTTATATCTATGATATATAATTGTATAAAGTAGGTTTAAGTACGTTAAATAATATTGTATTATCGATCTGAATATCATGGTAACTATATTTCTAGATCCCACTGCTTCAGATTTTTTCTTCAAAAATCTGTTCTTTCTAGTTAAGAGTAAATGGATTTACTTGGGGAAGTGGATTTAGTAATAATTAAAGGAGAAAATATTCCCTGGATGTAAATGAATTTCCATTTGAAATGTTGTATGATGAGTGAACAGGTGGGTGATGAACTTTATTTTGTCACTTAAATATTTGATGGATAGGATTTTATTCATATCCAAAAAATAGTTTTAATCTCTATCTGTTTCGCGGATACACATGTGTCGTTTATCAAATCTCAATATCATTTTGATTATGATTTGTCAAGGATACTCACTTCAGATTAAAAATATTTTGAAAACGACACATATGTAACCTATTAAAAATTGATAAGTATACAAAAATTATTCAAACCTATTTTTTTTCCCCAAATATAGTCAATTGCGTAGATATACGTAATAAAGTACGGTATATATATGTTACCATTAGGGTCAGTTTTGTGTAACTATAAAAAAAAAATTAAGGTTTTCATTTCATCAATATTGTCTTCATATAAAACTAAAAAGTAATTAAAACGCACTCAAAACAAATTGTGAACCGGAGAAATTTAAACAGGATAGTCATTAAGGTAAGTATATCAATTCTGGTGTAATGATGACATAAATAATGTATTGTAAATTATATTTTTGAATTGTAAAACACTGAAGCGTTATTACTGGGTACAAGGGGGAATAGTTGAGGACTGTTCGGTTATGAGTGAATTATGTGTTTTATAACTTATCGTTGTCAAGCACTTATTTATAAAATTCTATTTACTTCTTGCTATTTACACGAAGGTGTGGGTTATGAGTAGCTATTTGTAACAACTTTCAAAGTCGATTTAAAATCTACACAATATAGAAATCTTCTAACGCTCAAATACATTGTACTATGTATAGTTTTTATACATATAAAAATTGTCTAATTCTGATTCTGTCTTTAAACTCTTAGAATGACAAATTAACGATTTTATGTGTCATTTAAAAACCAAGATTATGTATGAGTCTCATATACAATCTTGGTTTCTATATGACATCTACATTCTCATAGAAAAAGAAACTATAGAGAGAAGCGATCACCACAAAAATGCAACTATTCATACATTTTTTCAGCGTTCAACAAACATGCAGGGCCACACTGGTGTTCGAATCATTTTCTTGCTGCTATTATTGTCAGTGGTTGGAGAAGCCTACCACACGGGAAAGAACCACCTCATCAGAAAGAGAGGCACCGTCTGTAAGGACAAAGAGGGGCATATCTGGTACGAGAACGAGTGCGCTTGCGTAGACCGGAAATATAAATGCTGTTGTGGATCTGGATCTCTTTTTTGGTGCGAAGAAATGCATTCCTGTTATTAACAAATTTTTGTTCTGAGAGTTATAATTTTACTGATAACAGTGATTCCGTTTGAATATGATTCATTTCATTGAATATTAATTTGTCTGTTTTCGAATTAAAATTAAGCTTGTAAAGGAGGAGTTTTATTTTTTAAGAGTTGTACTTCTTTGGTACTTTTATGCAGTTGGAATAACCTGCCCTTAGATCTAAACGAACGTAAATTGAAATCTACATGCAGGGTATAACTTAATTTGTAATTAAGTAAAAAATTCTTGACACTTTAAAAAGGCCGAGATAAATTAAATGTTAACTTTAAGCGGGTTGTGTATTTTTCTGCAACAGCTGCAACGTTAATTCCCGTACCGTAGTTAATAACCAAAAAAAAACATTTTATTGTTAAATGAGTTTTATAGGAGAAATGCAAAAATGGGTACCAAAATCTAAAATTTAAGAAAAATTAAAAAAAAAAAAAACAACTTCCAAAAGCAAAATAAACTCAATAAATCCGCCTATGAAATTTGTTAATGAATGTTGAAGACCCCCCTCCCCTGATCTTTGGGGATCCAAAAAAAGGAAATGCTTGCAATTTTATGCCTGCAGAGACTATGCATTCTGTGTGTACGTTAATTAACATACCTGTATTTCTGAACCTCTTCGGGGTTTTTTAAAATTTATTTTGGGCATTATTAAATCATTACAGCTATTCATCTAGATGTTCAGTAATTTTATTTTACTATCTTTCATCATATTACTAGATCATCTTTACTTCCACCTCCCACTAAATGTTGTAGGTTTGTTTCGTCTCGGTCCAAGTTTTCTCTTTGATGATATCGGACAAAAATATTAGTTTGACTGATTCTTAAAATGGAAGTTACATCTTGAAATTATACCTTATTATTATATGCCACTCAAACTTGGCACACCCCTTTACCTCCTACTGATTACTGTTCACATCATCTGTGTATAGTACAAATGTATTTGTAGAACAGGAGAGATTCCCAGATGTTTGGATGGTGTCTTACGCATTAATTGTAATAAAAGAAATATTTTCAACTCAAAAATCCCATTTGGTATTCGATTTCACTTCTAAATTAATGCTTGGGGTATTTTAGATAAAATGCATGCAATCAAAATTTAAAGTAATTACCTTAAGTATATTCATATGTGGCGGTCAGAAGATTCAGTGGTGCTTGGGTTCAAATTTTGGTATGGTCTGTCGCATCTTTCTACCTTCCTGTTACATTTGGTGCCGGGTTATGCATGGAAGTGACAGGTGAAAGACCTGCCAGGGAAGAGTCTGGTTTGGTGTCTTCAGGGGCGAAGACCTGTAAGGAGGGAGGAATGTGGCGGTCAGGCAGCTTCAATCACCAGTGGCCAGATAGATCAGTTGGTTGAGCACCTGACAAAAGATTAAGGGGACCAGGGTTCGAATCTTCTGTTCTGTCGCATTTTTCTCTTTTCCTGTTACACATATTCTCACAAATATTTGGGGGGAAAAAGATTTCTGTTACCGCAATTGCGTAAGAAACATTAGCATGACAGGACAATTTGGGATATGACGTTATTCAATTATTACGTCAGTTATTGTGACGTCATAGATAGATTTTTTTAACAGTGTGGCATTTTACTACACAAAAAGAACAAAAGTACAAGACAAGACGCAAAATGGGTGAGTGTTCGCAAAATTAATTGAAACGACATTATGATTTTTCACAGCTTTTGACTACGTTACGAATTTTGACAGTGAAACGTTTTATGAATATTCATCTTAATTTATCCATTTATTTTATTTCATAATGTATATACTACAGGATTTATAGTCATATGATATAGAAAATGATGGAATGAAAGTTTTTTTTAATATTTGTGCCAATTTGCAATTTCTTTTGTAAATTTGAATATCTTAGTTAGGAAGAGCAGATGACAAGAGAAATGCCCAATATGAACCAATGTTTAATTTTAAGGGAAATATTTTTAACATATACTTAGTACTTGATTAACAGAAACATTTGTATAAAGGAGATGGGCGAACATAGTGTGCAGAAAGCCCACAGCTTCAGAAATATAGAAATCATGCTCAGTTTGTGAATTCAATATTAAGAGTAAAGTTCTCATTATTGAAATTTATGAAATTGTGATAAACAAAACTTCTCTGAGGAAAATTTTTTCGGCAAAATTTGTTCTTTTATTAAAAAAAATAATGTGGTATTCGTGGGGTTCGAACCCTAGCAATAAAAATCCTGAGTATCATTTTCTTTCGAGACTAGCACGCTAACCACTAGACTACACAAGTCCTGACGAACAGTGACGTTTAAATCATGTTTGTGATATGACCCTTGACTTAATGGACTTCAAGTATTTCTCGAAAAGATGCGAATGTTGTGTCATAAAAGTATATTTTTAAGGTATAGTGGGTCATTGCTCCATATTTTTGGTAGCCAACAAATGTATATTTTTATGCAAACTTTGAGGATTAACTTTCAAAAAGGTGGAGCGAAGACCCACTCATATCGAAAAATAGTATTATAGTATGAGAAAATGTCTCTTTTTGCCCGCTTTTGTGTGTGTCTAATATTTCACAGGCAAATAATTTCAATCTTTGAGGGATTTTTGCAAATTATAGAGATTTTACATTAAGTATATTTTAATGTCAGACGAAATATCAAGGAAAATTTTGATATAATTGAAATTTAATTTTTCATCTTCATGTTTGTCACACTATAGGCTTATTGCTCGTCATGTTCACCCATCTCCTTAAATATAAAGGTTATATTATATTTTTATGTGTTTTTGATTTTTTTTTATGATCTTTTTTTTATGCCAAAGTAACTGTGTGGTACAACAGGCACTATTAACGCAGTGCATCTTTGACCATATTAATGATGGAAACTAGGCAATTTGCACATACATGTATTATGAATTCCCTTTGTAAACATATTAATGAAGCGGTCATCCATCCGAGGGATATACAGGCTCCCCACAGCTTTACTTGCCAGAGATCGAGATAGACTACCTCATTAGCTAGCTCACTAGGGAATCAGTACAAGTTCCCTATATATTTTCCAACCCCCCAACCCCCTTCGCTCAGTAACGACAACCTATATGTATGCCTCCACGGAAACTAGTATTAAGTTCGTACATGGACACAACGTTCTAGCCCTAAGGCTTCCTGAAGCAGGTCACCAAATACCAGAGTCACTATCATACTGCCACCATTTTTCTTACGTAAAGCGGTCACCTATCCAAGAGCTCATCATGCTTGCTGCAGCTTAGCTTGCCTGAGATCAATGGAGAATTTGCTTCATCACTAGAAAAGCTAGATGGCTCACTAGCAAGGCAGTATAAGTCCCTCATAATACTGTCCGCTACATCAAAGATGTGTAAAAGGGATACTTTTATATGCTATGTACGTCGTTGTATGTTTCATTGATTGAACAGCACACTGCGCAAGAAATCTTCAACAGGTTGCTTGAAAAACCGAGTAGCGGTGTTCACGAATTGCTAAATGACGATAAGAAATGTGAATATTATCTTGTGAATTCAGCTATTTTGCTAAGGCTGTGTTCTAAATGTGTCATTGACATCGTATAGTTCATTTGCCAAATACCCGGTATTTTGGGTTTATTCTACCTATTCCCACTTTTTGAAATTCAGGTTGGAAAAGGTAAGATTTTATGTGGGAATAGGTGGAATTTTTGTGTAAACAAATAATTAATTGTATAAACATATATCCAATATATAAACAGTGATTATTGAACACCTGTTGGAATAGAGAACAGGTAAATTGGCTTTTTAAAATTTATATTCACGTAAATCAGACTTTTTACTAATATTTGAAAGAAAAATTAGAGATTTTTAACTGAATTAAATCATATTTTTCCCAATAATCAATTTATTGTATTTTCTAAAATTCAGCTATTAAAATGCATTTTTTCATAAATCTATTTATTTTATGTAAAAAAAAATCAAGATATTAAAGTGTTTTTTAATAACTCTTTTTATTTTCTAAAATATATTAAATTGAAATAAATCATTTTTTCATAAATCTTTTTATTTTCTGGCTTAAAATGTACAAAATACAGGTAAATCTAAGATGGGAAGTAATTAGTCTAATTACTATAAAAACAAATTAACTACTGTCTAAACATCTATTGTTATTTGCAAGTGGAAATAAGTGGAATTGAGATTTTTAAAAAGTGGGAATAGGTAGAAGACACCGTATTTTGGCACCCAAGTAACCTCTATACACAGAAGCAAATTTATTTGGACATAGAGATAATTCTGTAGTATAAAGGTGTAAAAACATGAACTTATCTATTTCATATTCAACATAGGGTACCTGGCAATTACCCCCAGGAAAAATGTTCAAAGAAAATTAATAAATAATATCAACAGAAATCGCTCGTGTTTACTTTAGTTGGGAGATACATGTGGGAGAAGAGAAGTTGTAACAATGTGCCACCCCTTCCCCCTTTTATATAAGTTTACACTCAGGCATGATTTTTTTTTTGAGGGAAAATTGGTTTTGGAGGAAATCGCACTCTATAACAATTACAAAGAGAAAGATTCACCCCTCCCCCACCCCACCTCCAAATAGAATCTGGTGTGGGATTTCCGTGGAGGAAATCCTACTTTAGGGTAAAATCCTACTCTAGAGCCAATTTTCCGGGGGAAAAGATTTTAGAGGGGAAAGCCTACTCTACAAGACTGGTATATGCAATCATACTCAGATTGAATTTTTTGCCTTAAAAGATTAAAGGTTATATTGAGTCTGGTTTGTCTATCTGTCTGTCCATCCATAACTTTCACCTTTTAAATTTACAGACAGGTTATATTTTGCTCAGATAAAGATCAAAGTGGAAGTTCGCTATGAATTGTTAGGTCAAAGATCAAGTAATACTTTGTAATGGAGGATTAGTGATTATAAATTAGGTAAAATAGCGTATTTTGTTTTCTTTTCCAGAGGACTACTTGCGTAACATGGGGCACAGCAACTTTAGAGGTATACGCTGACAAAAAAGTTTGATATGCACATGACACTTTTGACTAAGTATGTATGTATCTGTGCTCATACCTAAATATGGACAGATTAAATACAGGAATATGGAACATACATGTAATTTTAGACAATTTGATTTGAAAAAAAAGATTCCCCGCTTTAACTGAAATTGGGGGCATTAATTTTAGTCTATTTGTCCATCTGTTCATACTGTGTGTAACACTTTCGTTTCCGGAAGGCATCTCAAAAATGCTTTGGGTTTTTGCAATGCAATTTAGCATGATAACTCCCTATAGCTTAAAGAAGACCCGTATTGATTTTGAGGTTAAAAGGTCGAGATCAGAAATGCATATATTACAAAAATATTTTTAATTTCCAAATAACTTTCGTTCTCCTTGAGTATTTGCAATGATATTTAATACTACTAGTCAATTTGAATTAAAGAAGACCCTTATTGATTTTGAGGTAAAAAGATCAAAGGCCAATGTAAGAAATTCATATACTATATTGCACACACAATTTTCAGATGTTAACTAGTCCTCTGTAAGCCTTCGAATGAAACTTAAGGTCACGAGCTTTTTTGTTTTTCAACTTAAGAAAGACCCCTGTTTACTTTAAGACCAAAAGCTGAAGGTCATGGTCAATCTTTTTTTTTCTTTCTCCATCTGCATTTTTTAAAAGGTCTTCCTTCTTAAGCGCGAGACATAAATTCCCTGATTTAGCTTGTTTCCATTATTAAATGCTTAGAGGACTTTTTGTGAATTGTCATTTACACTCATTTATATTCTAGTTTATGAAAAATTACTGAGATTCCTTGTACTTCCAAAATATACTTTTCCTTCAAAGGAAACTACAGTTTTATGTCCCATGAAACAGAAATAGATGAATATTCTTTCACAATGTAGGAGTCAGAATATTATTAGATTCTGGGGTTTAGATTTAGAGCTGCATGCAATGATTGACTGCCAAATTGTTTAGACAGAGGCTTGTATCTTTCACAAATTAACAATTTTCAATTGTCAACGAATAATAATTGTATCTTTTTAATTTTGTAGGGGCCCTGAAAACAGAATATGGGTGTCAGACCAACTTTCTTGAAATGAAATCTCTTCGCAGAAGGTTCAATGACATGTATAAAAAACGTTTCAGAGAATTAGATGAAGCAGCAAGTCATGGGAAGGATGAAGTACAAATTTTAAAAGTTAGATCATTGGCTTTTGATTTATATTTCTTCAAAAAAAAGAGTGATATCCTCCATACTTTAAAAATACTCACAAAATTGCATATCAATTTCCTTAACTTGTTTATTCTACAAAAAATTAGTTAATCAGTTTTAATTCAGTGTTCATATACAATTATTGCTGTTTTTTGAGGTCAATACGATGATTTAGACACCTTCAAAGTATAATAAATGTCTAATTCATCGTATTGACCTCTAAAAAAATAGCAATAACTGTTTTAGAATATGATTATCTATTTTTGGTCCAATGTAGAATAAATAATTCCTTATATTACCCGGAAATGATTTCTTATATTGACCTGGAATGTCACATGCAGGTCAATATAACGTAGTATTTTTCTAACATTGTTGGATTTCAGCCAATCAGAGAGATGGGAATTATTCAATCATATAATAATTCCTGTTATCACTGTATAATTTGCATATTGCTAGTATTACAAAGACTGACAAAACTAGATGAATAAATCAGATTACATGATGTAATACTATGAATCAAAAATATTCTGGTGAAACTCCATGATATCAGCTGTACTTATAAAGAGTGATGCTGAATATTAAAAGAAATAGAGACATTGTCCTGTACAGTTGCTTCTATTACTGATAGATTCATGATCAAAATAAGTTCAGGATCAAGAATTCAAATTATAAATGTTTTGTTACAGCCTCGAGTTCAAGTTCTAGAGCGATATGGCGAGGAGCTTGATGAACAGAACAATGTACTTTTATCAATATTAGAACAGACTCAGCAAAAAATGGTGGAGACCAAGGTAAAGTATAATAGAAAGAAACTAGTATTGTAAGACTACATAAAGTTGTGTTCGTTGTGTTCAATCAACATGGATAGTTTAAACGTGCTTTATTAGACCAAGAATTTGTTACAAATGTATATATCATGATATCATGATTTATTACAATTGCAACACTGAAATACTATCAGATTTTATTGAATGAAAGTGATATTTTTTCACAGTGTGAATAAATATCAAAGTGATAAATATCGAAAGTGTGACAAAACTCGAAATTTTCCTACCCTTCACGAAGCGGTTATGAAGAATACTCCCCTAGTCTGTTATGAGAAGCGAGAGTAAATAAACCATCCTGACAGAGACTGAAACATACAAAGTTTATCCAAATTATTGTTTAAATCCATGTTTACAATTTTCAATCTCACAATCGCTTGGCTATGACATCTCAGGACCACTCAATTATAACGTCACAGCCTACAATACTTCGTTATGAAAAGGTTAATAAAAAAGTGAAATAAACACCATAAACTATAAAACATTCATTATCCTCTTCCTAAAAATTGTAGAAGATTGATTGTATGTTGTTTTACGTCCCATTCGAGAATCTTTCACTCATTTAGAGACGTCACCATATATACCGGTGAAGAGCTTCAAATTTAGACCTATACTTGGCACTCAGGGCCGTTGAGCAGTGAGGGTTCTCTATCCATGTTTGCAGTAAATGTAGATTGCCATTAGAGTATCATGCATCAATTGTCCTGCATGAACTAAACTGACTGATTACTGTCCACCACTCCCCCATTCCAAACAAACTGACACGTCTATATTACTAGTCAAACACTCTATCAGTATACTATCCAGGCCAATATCCACAGTCCATATAGCTCAACTTAATACAATCCTCCCTCTTTAAAATTATCTTTGCCTTGGAGGACACACAATCCAAATCTTTAAGCCCCTGACAGAACTTTCACCTGTAAGTCCATGGGAATATAAGATCAACAGCACCAATGTAGTACTTAAGAAAGGAGGAATGAACAAATGTACATTTCCCCCGTTCTTTTTAAAAAGTCGAACATCACTGAAGCTAATCTTGTCATGCAACAGTTACATATACAGCTCCTCTTTTTACTTTGCATGCTAACACCCTCTTTTTAATAATGGCAGTGATTTTCGTTTCGCTGAATCTAGAAGACATGTCTCTAGCTTGACTCTATGATAAAATAATGATGGATGTATATATCTAAAACAGTTTCTTTATCTATTCTACATAGGAAGAAAGAGATAGCAAGATCCAATGTCTCGAGTCCCAAATTGAAACACTAGAGAAACAACTACATGATACTGCTAGCAAGGTAAAAGATTGATGGAATTAATGTAAAATCTAACTCGTACAATTCATAAAATTACTGAAATATTGCAGGATCCAGTAAATGTTCAACCAAGCCCCTATCCTTATTCCTCATCAATATACATGTATTAACTGCTGTGAAGGAGAAACTTCAGAAGTATTGTGCAACTACATCAAAAAGTGGTGTAAATCAAATGTGGATTCTAAAAAACTCCAAAGAACTTTTGGAAAATTTAAAATCTCAAAACTTTTAAACATCATTAGCTTGGAAACGTACTAATTTTCTACATTTTATATAGCCATTCCTTACGATAAATTAAAGATCAGTCTTTTTGACACCATAGAAAACTGCTTCCTCAATAAAAACGGAACTCGTAACTTTTCATATCTGTGATTGGTCTACAAAATTACTTTGTTCAAAAAATTCTGATTCTATATATATATATATATATATAAGTACTCTGAAGTTGATATTAAAAAGATGCTCGAGTTCCTTATTGACAATATCTGTGTATTCTTTGGGGACCTGGTCTTACGGCGATCTGTTAGAATTTCGAGGAGCAATAATTGTGCTCCTTAATTAGCCAACCTGTATTCATATTCTTATGAAGCAGAATTTATTCAAAAACTTCTACATGAAAAGAAAACTCTAGTTATGGCCTTCGTCTCGACATTTAGATATATCAACGACGTTTTATCAATAAACAATAGTACTTTCATTCATATGTCGACTGGATATATCTCAGTGAACTCGAAATTAAGGACGCCACTGAGTCTGCCACATCTGTTTCATATTTGGATGTTTTACTGCCTATAGACGATAATGGCCAACTAATAACTAAATTGTATGACAAACGGGGTGACTTCAGCTTTTCCATCGTCATGTAATAATATTCCAGCATCACCTGCATATGGTGTTTATGTCTCCCAACTGATTTGATACGTAAGATCATGCTCTGAGTACGATCAATTTTTAAACTAAGGCAAACTACTGACAAATAAGTTGATGTTACATGAATACAACTTAGCTTTTGGTCGTATTTTGTCTAACATGTTTGATACCATTTGTTAGGTCATTGCTTTTATACTTAATTATACACAAGGATCACAGCAGGTGTGACCGGTCAACAGGGGATGCTTACTCCTCCTAGGCACCTGATCCCATCTCTGGTGTTTCCAAGGGTGTTTTTGCCCTGTTAAGATTCGTTTTGTTTACCAGATTTATGATTTTGATCACTGTTCATTATATCTTCACATCAATGTAAAATCTAAGCCTTATAAAGATAGGTAATTTTGATTACAGATGGATGGGAAGGACGGAATGATTTATGATTTGAAGAATGAAATTGCTGATTTAAAATTCCATCACATGGTCAAATCAGGAGAGGCCCAAAGGCAAGAGGAGAGAATCAAAAGCTTACAAGAGGAACTTAACAAAAGTCATATCAATGCCGAAAAAGAGGTTATTACAATTACTTTTTGTGACAAAATGACTCAAAGTGATAGAGTTTTGGTAGATTTGTGCTTTCAATAGAGTTTTAATTACAGCAAAAAAGATTTAAAATCCTACGCAGACAACCTTTCAAACCTTGCTCTTATATTTAATTAATTTCACAGATGTATCAATGTGTACATGCTAATTTATATGGTTGGTCTTCTTTTGCTTCCCACAATTCTTGTTTTTACCAAAATTCACTGCAGAGAGTAGACTTGAGTGAGTTGCAATAAGATAAACTCTACTAATATGGCCTCCCAGACGTAGCATTTTAGTATCTCAGCAATTCATGTATCTTATGTTTAGTTTTTCAGATATTGATTTATTTAGGTGAATTGGGCACCTAAACTTAAAGCTGATTTATCAAATTACTCTTGTTATTATAGATGGACACTTTGCGAAGCAACATTACTAACCTAAAATACAGGCTAGAGGAGTCCAACAGGCAAGGAGCACAATGGAGAGAGGAGAAGAGTGCACTGGAGACGAAGGTCAAATTGTTAATAACGCAAATATATGTAAAGATAAGAGAGGTTGATATATTAACACAATAATTTGATATAATTTTACATACATTTTTAGGGAAGATATTTTTTTAACCTACTTTTTTTGTTGGTCTGATTGTATGTTAAATTTAGTGTGATATAGTAAACACATCATATTAATAAGCTACTAGGGCATTAATTCTATCAAACTAGTAAATAAATTTGAAAACCTAATTCATATGCGTTTAAATACATGTGCGAGTGTATTGATGTCATTATCTACTTAATTTTTCAAAATTGAAGCAAAAAAGAAATGTTCATTTGTAAAACACCAGTATATTTAGCTCAGCAATAAAACAAAGTATAACTCTTATAAATCTTCTAAACTGGAATTATATTCAATTCATAGCTGATGGAAAAAGAAGAAATTATCAAGAAATGTAATGAAGAGTATGGGAAGTTAGAAGCAAAGTACCAAGAAAAGGAACTGGAAGTTCAAAAACAAGGGAAGACAATCAAAAGGTTACAGCAGGAGATTGAGAAAGGCCATCAAGAACTTAATGCTGCCAATAAAAAAGCAAATAAAGAGGTAAGTGGCATTGTCGTTCTCTTTATTTTATGAATCAATCCTTATTTCATCTACTTATTTGAGCAAAATAGAAGATTTATGTATTTCTTATATTTTAAATATAGATTATAGCCAAAAGAGATGACAATATCAAGAAATTAGAGAAAGAAATCAAACAGTTGAAGGTCAAGAATCAGATAAAAAAGAAGCAGTTTCAGAAACAAGGGGAGACAATCAGGAAGCTACAGGCAGAAGTTGATAAAAGCCACCAGAAGCAGGATTCTGTAAACAGAAATTCGGACAATGCTGTTGGTGTTAAAGAGGTTGGTGTATTTTCTCCATTGTTGGCGTTAACTTTCATAGTTCCTTTTCAGCTTAGATTATAGGAGTTTATGTCTCCCAGTTGATTCGATACGCAAGAGTATGTTCTACGCTCCAGCAATTTCTAAAAAAGAGCCAAGCAATTGACAAACAAGTTGATGAAACAGGCATATCTCGTTTAACGTCAACATTTCGCATGTTCTATGGTCAATACAATTACCTTGTCAGCAAATACAGTGCAGAATGCCTATAGTTTCAGATATATAAAAATCATATTCAATTTGCGAATTAGTATTTAGAGTAAAGTTCTTATAATTGAAATTTATGAAATTATGACAAACGAAACTTCTCCGCGGAAAATTTCTCGGCAAAAATTATTCTATTATTTAAAAAAAAATAATGTGGTATTCTGGTTCGAACCCTAGCAATAGAGATCCTGAGTTCCTTTGAGGCTAACACGCTAACCACTACATTCCAAAACTCCCTACATAATGCCCTTGACTAAATGGACTCTCGGTATTTCTCGAAATTATACGAATGCTGAGTCATAAAAGTGTATTTTTGAGGTATAGTGGGTCTTTGCTCCATCCAAAAAATGTATATTTTTACGCATACTTTTAGGATAAACTTTCAAAAAAAAAAAATGGAGCAAAGACTCACTCATATAGAAAAATTGTGTTATAATAAGAGAAAATGATCCTTTTTTCCCTCTTTGATGTGTATATGCTATTTCATAGACAAATAATTTCAAGCTTTGTGAGAGATTTACATAAAGTATATCTTAATGTTAGATGAAATATCAAAGAAAATTTTGTTATAATTGAAATTTGATTTCTCAGCTTCATATTTGTCGCACCATAGGCATTTCGCTCGCCTTGTTCGCCCATCTACTTTCTATTGCAGCTTGAAAAATATATTGCCTTTTTGGCATAATTTCAAGATGGCAAAGGATCTGATTTTCTTGACATAATTTTTACTTCATAGATATATTCAACATTCAAGTCCAGACTTTTCCGTTTATATCCTTTTTTCATGCCTATTGTAAAACAAACATGCACAAAAGTTTTTACTGAAAATAAAAATCATAATTAAGTAGAGAATGATGATTAACTTGTCCGTCTTTCAGAGGGATACTCAAACAACTGAAATTATTATAAATTGTCTTAATGTCAGTCTGTTACAATACATGAATATAGAATGCTAACCTGCTTTAAACTCTAGTACCAACAGGTCTTATATTTTTACAGACACCTGAAAGTTATGCAACTATAAAGGACGAGGTGAGCCAGTTACGTTATGATATTGCCAGTTGTTTAGAAGAATATGATAAGGCTCACAGAGGTGCTGATGAAGAGGTTGGTAAATATATTTATCCGATAGTTTTATATTTCCGTGGCAAAACAACTTTTTTTGTCAAGTTGGAAGACACAATTTGAGTTTCCTTTAAATTTTTATCACAGATAGCAAATAAGGATGATACCATCCAGAAACGGACTGAGGGTAGAGGGATGAAGGCCATGTGCCCAGAAAATGTTGTTATACTGAGACAGAGGGAAGCAATCACGATGTTACAGCAGGAAGTTAGTAAAAGTCACCAAGAGCTGGATACTGCCAACAAAAACGCAGACAAAGAGGTTAAAAATCATTTGTATCCAGAGTTTTTTTCTTTTGTCTATTTTAATCAAGCTAGTACAAAGTTAATGCAAAAGAACATATGTGACAATACAAGGCTGTGGAAATAAATAGTCAAATGTGGAATTTTGCATGAGGCAACAAAAACTGTTGGATTTTTTCATTAAGGAATATATTATATGACTGTAAACATAAAGTTGAAGGGTGTTTTCTTTTTAGAACATAAGAAAACGAAAAGCAAGAAGATACCTTGCAATTACGACCTTTTAGTATTAATTATTATATTAGGTATGAATTGTCGTAACTGTCACGTAAGACCTTATTTCTGAAAGATTATGCGCTAAATTAACAAGTTTTAGGTCGTAAAAGCCATTTAGTGGTTAGAGCGTCTGCTCTAGAGTCGCGAAGTAAGGAGTTGATCCATACGTCGCGGGTTGGAATCTCACTGTGGGACGTGGAGACCGGTCCTTCGGATGAGACCGTATAAACCGAGGTCCCGTGTCGCAGTAGGTGCTGACACGTAAAAGATCCCTTACTGCTCAATGGCCGTAAGTGCCGAGTATAGGACAAAATTTGCAGCTCTCCACCGGCAAGTGGTGGCGTCTCTGAGTGAAAAATTCTCGAGAGGGACGTTAAACAACATACAAACAAACGATGTTTCAAAATCCTTTAAGAAATAGAAATTTACGTGGAAAAATCTATATAAAAACTTTTGCGACGTCGAAAGTTATGAGATACCCAGATATAATTCCTTTTATGAAATCAGGCATATCAGCCATTTGCGAATGCCCTCTCTCAAAAAGTTTGCTACACAATAAGTCACGTATTGAAAAACTGCAAATTTAATTGTTTGTCTTGTTGGCACAGTTATCTGAATCATCTTAATTTAACATGCTCATAATTTTATTGAATTTTCTGTATTCTACACTAAAATGCAGCTTGAAACAATTTACTGCAGCCACTTTTTTCCAGCTTCATTCCATACAGAACACTGGAAATACTTTGTACAATTATCATACGTTGTAAAATTTTACGTCGATTACTTCCTGCTGAAGTGGAATCGATCGCTAAGGAATACTTTTTGGTGTTTTCAGGACATTTTTAAGTCAGAATTTGCATTTTTAATCATTGACCTCTTTCTCTTCCTCTTGTTCCTTGTTCTGGTTGCTATTTTCTCAGAGACGTAATTGTATTTTTCTTTTTTCTCTTTTCTATTTTTACATTTTTAATAATGTTGTTGTGAAGTACTCCTGAAGTTTCTCCTTAACTGCTTTTAATATTTTTGTGAGTCGTAAAGAAAAAGGTGAAAATAAGGAACAGTGATCGATCTCAATAACTCTACAAACAATACAAATCTGTTAACAAGGCATAAAACACGGTGGGATCAGGTGCCTAGGAGGAGTAAGTATGCCCTGTTGATCGGTCACATCTGCAGTGAGCCTATATATTGATCAGGAAGACGGAACATTCCGTAGTCAAATTTAGTATAAAAACAAAGGCCTAACAATTGGTATGAAAGACGTCAGTCAAATTAAATACGACCCAATGATAGGTTGTGTTTGCTAACAAGGTAATTATAACGTCCATAGAATTTACGAATGTTGAAATCCCTGTAACATAAACCTATCTTTCAGAAGCCTGCCTCGATTTAAAAATTGATCGTACCCAGAACATGCTCTTGAATATTGAATATGTTGGAAGATGTAAACACTATATGCAGGTGATAGCGGAATATTACTACATAAATAAGGAAAGTTTACGATGTAAAAGCTGAAATTAATTCGTTTGTCAAACAATATAGTCGTTAGTTGGCCCTTATCGTCTATAGTCGGTAAAACATCCAAATATGAAACAGAATTGGAAAAAAGATGTGGCGTCAACCTGCACAGTGTGCTGTTATGTAATTTAAGATTTAATTATTCTATGTATGTAGGCAGAAAGTATAGTGAAGTATGGGTTTATATTTAAATGTTACACTTTACAAGAATACAGTCAAGGACTAGTTTGATTTATCTGGATATTTTTATTCCCTGCACTGGATAAAGCCAGGGCATTCAGTGTTCATTATGTCCATCATCTGTCCTGTGTGCACATTATCCATTTCATACTTTCTTCAAATCGTCTCAACCGATGAAAATTTTGTGACCTTGGTCTTTGTTATGACCTTAGACACACATTTCATCACTTAAACTCATTTTGGCATTTGATTAAAGATTGAAAACTCAGAAAATAATGCAAGTGTTTACATGAGAGGAGACTGAGATGGGTATCTGCATCAATTTACCTCTTGTATTTATCATTGCAGTTGGATAAACTACGTGACGTCATTATGTCTCTAGAACAAGATCAAGAAGAAAATAATAAGAAAGAAGAAGAAATGAAGGAAGAGATTAATTTCCTGGAGGAGCAGGTCACCTTTTCTTATAATCAACAAAAATAAGAAGCAAAGAAGTCTCAAAATTCTGCTCAATCTGCATCCATATAGCTGCTTAATTCTAATGAAATATAAATGTAAAATAAATATAAAGTTATTCTTATAGAGAGCTGCAAGTGATGCCATTGTATTGAAGTTGAACAAAGAGATCGACAAGCTGAGGGCAGAGGAAGAGTTCAACAAAGTTCAGAAAGAAGAATGTATAAGCAAATTGAAGCAGGAAAATTCCAGGATTCAGAAGGAAGTAGAAAAAGCTCGAAAAATTGCTAATGAGGAGGTTTGTATAGCAAATTTCTTTGTTTTATTTCATTTTTATGATGATATTGATGGTGTTTTATGTTACCTGGGTTACTCTGGTGAGCTATTGTTCTCCGTTCTTTTCCGTTGTCATGCATGGTGTTGTGGTTGTACATCATCCATTAATTTTTTTGACATTGTAAACTTCTCTTGAACCGCAGAAGCAATTTTAACAAATTTTGATATAAAGCATTTTATGACGAAGATTGACACAAGTTGTGCATGGTCTCCGCCTTCTTGGGACCAGAGGGATGAAGCCAAGACCATCAAAATTATGCAATCTTCAAAATCTTCCAGGACTTGTACTTTTCAAGCCCCAGGGTTGTAAATAATACAATTGGTCATATATTTGAAAATACATGTAAAGTAAATATTTAACAGTCTGCATGATTTTGAAAAAAAAATATTGATAATAGCATTCCCTTTTGGGGTTTTTAAATCAACAAAATGTTTGATAGGCATTTTTGTGAAGACCATCTGTGTTTTTTTTCTTGTTTTTTTTAGTGGATTTAGTTTCTTTTTCGGTAATGTCAGGGTTATGTTGCATCGGATGAATATCATCATAATCTGATGCAGATACGGATTCCTTCTCGGGCATTTTAAGGTTAAGGTACAATGACCTGCATCATCTGAATACATGTATTTGGCAACATCAACATGGATCTGTTAAAAAAAAATGCTGAAATCTTCGTATGAAAAAGACTTAATTTCAAAGATACCAGTATCACAAGATCAAACAGCACATGACCCTGCATCAAAGATTCGTCTTCACTTCAATGTATGAATTTATTTTCAGCGCAAAATTTTTCAATTAAAAAGATTTCATTTCGAAAACTTCTCATTGAGTGCCTTCAATTGAAGAGCATTCTCACTCTCAAAGGCTGCCATGGTAGCTCAGTCGGCAGAGCGCTCGCTCCGTGATCGGAAGGTCGTGTGTTCGAATCACGGCCTTGATTGACCTAAGACGATGAAAAATAGGTAGCAACTGTTCCTTCGCTAAAGACTCTTTGAAGTGAAAGTTGCGGGTCCTTTGGATGAGACCTTAAAAATCGAAGTCCAGTGTCACGGTAGGCGTTGGCACGATAAAGAACCCTCACTGCTCAGTGGCCCTAAGTGCCGAGTAAAGGTCTAAAATTGAAGCCCTTTACCGGTATATGATGCCCTCTCTCTATGAGTGAAAAATTCTCGAACGGGACGTAAAACAACATACAATCAATCAATCAGATTCTCCATCATTTTGAAATAGTCTGTGTGATCAACACTGTGAAACGACATTTCATTACTTTGATTTGGAGTCCTGAATACTTGAGTGAGGTTCCGCCACTCCAATTTTTTCTTACTCTGCATTTTTGCTGCAGATACACAGGTTTCCATAGCGTTTTCAAAAATTAAAATGTTTTGTTTTTTTTTTTTTTATCTTTTTTTCTCTAAGAGGTAGAGTATGCTTATATTATTTTGAATACGTTTATTGTGCATTTCTTTTTAAAAATATGAATTGTATGAAAAATCTGCTTGATTGCATGTTTTATTAGAGAATAAACTTGTCGTCGACCTGCACGGTGTGTTGTTATGTAATATAAGCTTTTATTATAATTATTTATATATGTAGACATAAAATGTAGTGAAGTGTCGATCTTTATTTTAGTTGTAGCTTCAGATGATCACTAGTAATGTGAAAACGTTAATTTGTAAGAGAATGCAGTCCAGGACTTATCTGATTTACTTGGGTATTTTATTACCTGCACTGTATACAGCCAGGGCATTCAGTGCTCATTACGTCCATCATCTGTCCTATTGGTTCGATATCCATATCATATTGTTATGTTTAATTGTTTTAAAATTCTTCCAATTTTATACAAACTGAGAAATAAACTTTCTTCAAACTTAATGGATAAAGACATTTGTCTGGTGAAATCGTCTTAACCGATGAAATTTTGTAACTTTTGTGACCTTTGTTGTGACCTTGAACCTACACTTCTGCACTAAAACTCAGTTTGGCATTTGGTTAAAAACTGAACACTCAGAAAAAGATGCAAGTATTTACACGAGAAGAGACTGAGATGAGCATTATCATTAATTTACCTGTTGTGTGTATCATTGCAGTTGGATAAACTACGTGATGTCATCATGTCTCTAGAAAAAGATCAGGAAGAAAATGAAAAGAAAGAAGAAGAAATGAAGGAAGAGATTAATTTCCTGGAGGAGCAGGTCACTTTTTCTTTTAATCAACAAAAAAAAGAAGCAAAGAAGTCTCACGAATTCCACTCAATCTCATCCACATAGCTGCTTAATTCTAAATTATTTTTACAGAGAGCTGCAAGTGACGCCATGGTATTGAAGTTGAACAAAGAGATCGACAAATTGAGGGCAGAAGAAAAGTTCAACAAAGTTCAGAAAGAGGAATGTATAAGCAAATTGAAGCAGGAAAATTCCAGGATTCAGAAGGAAGTAGAAAAAGCTCAAAAAATTGCTGATGAGAAGGTTTGTCACGAAAATTTGTTTTCCTTTCTTTTTTATTCTGTTTGATGATGTCTTTTAGGTCACCTGAATCGCTCAGTTGACCTATTACTCTCCGTTTTTTTTTTTTTTTTTTTTTTTTTTTTTGTCTTTTGTTATGCATGATGTCTTGTGGTTGTCCATCATCCATTTAATTTTTTGACATTGTCAACTTCTCCTCTTGAACAGCAGAACCAATTATAGGGACTTAACTTGTGCATTTGTCGTATCCTCCTTGAGACCAGAGGGATGGAGCCAAAACAATCAAAATTATGCAATAATTCAATTTTTTTTCCCCAGGATATGTACTGTTCAGACTACAGAGTTGGTCTAAATAATAAAATTGGTCATATATTTGAAAATACTGTACATCTTTGACAGTCTGCATAATTTTGAAAAAAAAATACGATAAGAGAAATCCCTTCTGGAGTTGTTAATAATAAAACATTTTGTACAAGCGTTTTGTGAGGACCCTTTTTGTGTGTTATTGTACTGAATTTAATTTTTAGGTAAAGTCAGGGTTATCTTGCAACGGATCTGTATCATCTTTGCTTAATCTGCATTTTTGCTGCGGATATACAGGTTTCCATAGCATTTTCAGAAATTTGAAATGTTTTGTTTTTTTTCTTCTCAAAGCTGCTTTGTTTGCATGTTTAATAGGAAAATAAAAGTGGGATAACCTGCACGGTGTGCTGGTATGCAATTTAAGGTTTATAATTATATTTATATATGTAGACATAAAGTGTAGTGAAGTGTCGATCTATATTTAGAAGTTGTTTGAGATGATCAGTAGTAATATGAAAACAATGTTACATTTTAAGAGAATGCAGTTCAGGACTAATCTGATTTACCTGGGTATCTTTATTTCCTGCACTGGATACATTAAGTGTTCATCATGTCCATCATATGTCCTATTTGCTCTCTATCCATATCGTATCGATTTGTGTATAATTGTTTAAGATTCCTTCTTATTTTACACAAACTGAGAAATAAACTTTCTTTAAACTCAATGGACAGAGACATACATTCTGGTGAATTTGTCTTAACCAATAAAAATTATGTGTCCTTGGCCTTTGTTGTGACCTTAAACACATAATTCTGTACTAAAACTCATTTAAGCATTTGTACTCAGATAAAAGGTGCAAGTGTTTACACGAGAGGAGACTGAGGTGAGCATCTGCACAAATATACCTGTTGTGTTTGTCGTTTATCAATTCACCTCTTTTGTTTGTCGTCCATTAATTTACCTTTTGTGTTTGTCATTTTAGCTGGAAAAGTTACAAGGTGTCATCATGACTCTAGAACAAGATCAAGAAGAAAATGAAAAGGAAAAAGAAGAAATGAGGGAAGAGATAAATTTCCTGGAGGAACAGGTCACTTTTTTCTTTTAATCATCAAAAATAAGACTTCTCATGAATTATACTCAATCTACATTCATTCTATATTCTTACAGAGAGCTGCAAGTAATGCTATGATCTGGAAATTGAACAAAGAGATCGACAAATTGAGGACAGAAGAGCTCAACAAAGTTCAGAAAGAAGAATCTATAAGCAAACTAAAGCAGGAAAATTCCAGGATTCAAATGGAAATAGAAAAAGCTCGAACAATTGCTAATGAGGAGGTTTGTCATGCAAAAATTGTGTTTTAAAATTCTTTTTGATATCTTTAAGGTCACTCTGCTGACCTGTTGCTCACCGTTTTTGATCCTTGTCATGCCTGGTGCGTTGTGGTTCTTCGTCATCCATTTTGAAAATTTGTCAGCTTGTCCTCTTGAAGAGCAGAATCAGTTTTACCCAATTTCGATATAGTATCTTTTGGTGAAGAGGGGCACAGGTTGTTCATAGTCTCAGCCTCCTTTGGGCCAGAGGGATGGAGCCAAAACCATCAAAATTATGCAGTCTTCAAAAATTTTCCTTTTCTTTCACTATATGTACTGTTTAGGTCCCAGGTTTGGGCTAAATTGGTCATATATTTGAAAATACGGTACATCTTTGAAAACATCTTTCATTACTATTTAGCAGTCAAATTGTTTGAGTGATAATAATGTGCATTTATCCCTGTACAAAAAATAATTAAAATTCATGGCCCCAAAATGAAGAGATTAGGTTCAAAACGCCATATTAACATATATTCAAATATTTGTACTTATCTTCAAATATTTGTACATATCTTCAAATTAATATTACCTATCTCCAAATGCATTGAAGATAGGCTTTTTAATTCAATTATACCTATCTTTAATTCAGTTGAAGATAGGTACAATTGTATTGAAGATGGGTATAATTAAATTGAAGATAGGTACAGATACTAAAATTTAAAGATAGGTAAGTAAGTAAATTATTTATTATAGTGACATGTGTATTGATACAATTATACAATATATTTTACAATAATAAACTTAATTTCGTACACCCGGCCTGTATCATCCCAGGTTCTGTTATAGGACCGACGACAAAAAAATTCAATGCTTAAATATAAATACACGTATATATGATAAAGCAAGGCATACGCAGAAGATAATGTCAATAAAGTTTGAAGGAGCTTGTTGTTAGCGTTTGCAACAATGTTTTTCTAAAGAAAAAAATGTTTACCTCTCGTCTGATACAAGAAGGAAGCAAAATTTCGATTTATGCCTATTAGATCATAGGTGGGTTTTTTTTTTTTTGTTTGTTTGTTTTTTGTTTGTTTGTTTTTTTTTGCAACAGAAAGTACAAGTAAAAAATACTCTTACATTAAGGTTAAACTACTGGTGGCTGGTAAAGAAGATATGATCCAGGAGTTGAACAGGGAGATCAAAAAATTGAAAGCTGAGAATCAAGAAAAGTTGCAAGAAGTCCATTACCATGCACAGAATTTTAAAGAGTTACAAGTGAAGTTTGAAAAATGCCAAGTGGATCTCGATACTGCTCTAAAAAATGCTGATAAAGAGGTTAATTATACAGTTGCCTGAACTTCCCCTCTTTTATTCGTTAAGACACAAAAATGAATTCATTTATACATTCCATTACAGAGGAAAACTTTGTATGGAATCATCAGCTCTGTGAAGCAGAATTTGGAGGAATCAAAAAAGCAGGAGGAGTCTCAACAAGATGAGATACGTCTTCTGGAGAAAAAGGCATAAACGATTTCTTTAAAATCATTGCATACTTTGTCATTTATACTCTAATATACACCAAATGTTACCGTCTGTTAACATTTTCATTTATTTTCAAAATTTGACAGATATGGGGACAAGTGTTTGCAGTTTATGTATATATTATCAAAGAATTCACATACTTCACTAATAGTACATTGTACATAATCCAATGCCCCCACACAGTGATAGATCACTTAATTAAGATATATGTACCTGTAATAGCTAATAATAATGACAAATTATCGGTGTTTCTCTTTTCAAAATTAAATTTGTTATCTTTTAAAATTACTGCAGGTAAATGAATGTGATACCACTATCCAAAAACTTAGCAGTGAGATAGATAAGTTGAAGGCAGAAAACCAGGAATTGCTAGGAGATAATCTTATTCAAAAGCAAGGGGAGACAATTAGGAAGTTACAGAGGGAAGTGGAAAGAAGCCATCAGGAACTAAGTACTGCCAATAAAAATGCTGACAAAGAGGTAGTATCATTACTATAGTATCTATTTTGGAACACATTTTTCAGATACAGTGGCACCCTATTAATTTGGACTTTGTTCCATTACTCAATTACTCAATTGTCTATCAATCATAATACCGGGTAGTTTTTAGCTCACCTGAGCCGAAGGCTCAAGTGAGCTTTTCTGATCACATTTTGTCCGGCGTCCGTCTGTCTGTCCGTCTGTAAACTTTTCACATTTTTGATTTCTTCTCAAGAACCACTCGGTCAAATTCAACCAAACTTGCCACAAAGCATCCTTTGGTGAAGGGGATTCAAGTTTGTTCAAATGAAGGGTCACGCCCTCTTTCAAGGGGAGATAATTAGGAATTAGTGAAAAAATAATGGCATCATTTTAAAATCTTCTTCTCAAGAACCACTGGGCCAGGAAAGATAAAACATATGTGGAAACATCCTCAGTAGTGTAGATTCGAGTTTGTTCAATCATGACCCCGGGGGTAGGGTGGGGCCACAATGGGGGATCAAAGTTTTACATAGAAATATATAGGAAAATATCTTTAAAAATCTTCTTCTTAAGAACAGTAAAGCCATGATTGGTCATATTTATTACATAGAAATATATAGGAAAATATCTTTAAAAATCTTCTTCTCAAGAACAGCAAAGCCATGATTGGTCATATTTAAATGAAAGCATCCTCAGGTAGTGTAGATTCAAGTTTGTTCAAATCATGACCCCCAGGGGTAGGGTGGGGCCACAATGGGGGATCAAATTTTTACAAATGAATATATGGGAAAAAATCTTCTGCTCAAGAACAGCAAAGCCATTTGTTATATTGATATGAAAGCATCATCAGGTAGTTTAAAATTCAACACCCCCCCCCCCCCTCCCCGTAAACTTTTCAATACTGAACGGATTTTTGCTTTTTTTTCCCTAGCCAATGTGCTCAGGTGAGCGATATGGCCCATGGGCATCTTGTTAAAATCCATTTTCGATAAAATATTGACTGGAAGTAGCCTGAATTCAGGATATCTGGAATATATGGATGAAGAATTTACCCGGTAGTTTACATGAATTTATCTCACCATTGCTAACACCATCAATTACAGCTGAGCAATAGAGATGAAATGATCAACAAACTAAACATTGAGATAGAGAAAAACCATCAGGAGCTTGAAGCTGTATACAAAACTTCAAAGCAAGAGGTAAACAAACTTTCTGTGCACAAATTTTATGCCCCCATATCGAAGATTCGGGGGTATATAGTTTTTGCCCTGTCCGTCCGTCTGTCTGTCTGTTTGTCCGCACAAACTTTAACATTGCCCATAACTTTTGATTGGTTGGAGCTATGGCTTTCGTATTTCACATGTGTATTCCTTGTGACAAAACCTTTCTTTGGGTACCACGATATTTGACCTTTTGACCTTGACCTTGGAGTTTGACCCAGTTTTGCAAAATTTTATCCAACTTTAACCTTGGCCCTAACTTTTGAACAATTGGTGCTAGGGCTTTCATACTTCACAGGCGTAATTCTTTGTGACAAATCCTTCCTTTGGATACCAACAACTTTGACCCTTTGAGCTTTACCTTGGAGTTTGACCTACTTTTGAAAAAAACTTTAACATTGGCCATAACTTTTGAACGATTGGTGCTTCAGCTTTCATACTTCACATATGTAATCCTTGTGACAAGACCTTCCTTTGGATACCAACAACTTTGACCCTTTGACCTTGGAGTTTGACCTACTTTTGAAAAACTTTAACCTTTGCTCATACTTTTGAATCATTGGTGCTAGGCCTTTCGTACTTCACATATGTAATCCTTGTGACAAGACCTTCCTTTGGATACCAACAACTTTGACCCTTTGACCTTGACCTTGGAGTTTGACCTACTTTTGAAAAACTTTATCCTTGGCCATAACTTTTGAACCATTGGTGCTAAGGCTTTCATTTTTCACATATGTAATTCTTGTGACAAGACTTTTCTTTTGTATACCAACAATTGAAATCCGTTGACCTTGACCTTGGAGTTTGACCTACTTTTGAAAAACTTAAACCTTGGTCATAACTTTTGAATGATTGGTGCTTCAGTTTTCATATTTCACCTGTATATTTCTTGTGAGAAGGCCTTTCCTTAGGCACCATTAATTTTGACCTTGACTTTGATGTTTGACTTGCTTTTGAAAAACTTTAACCTTTTCTATATCTATTCAATGGTTGCTGCTAGGGCTTTCATATTTCACAGGTGTATTCCTCGAGACAAGACCTCACTTTGGGTACCAACATATTTGATTTGCATTTGAGAAAGTTTAACCTTTGCTATAAGTTGCCATACGGGGGCATCAGTGTTTCACAAACACATCTTGTTTGTCTTGCTTTTGAACATAAAAATCAGAGCATTTCTAGGGAACAAATTAATGAGCAAAATCAGAAAGTAGGCAGGGGATTGATTATTAATTGAAATCAGAAGGTAGTTAGGGGATAGATTATTAAGTGAAATCAGAAGGTAGGTGGGGGATAGATTATTAAGTGAAATCAGTAGGTGGGGGATAGATTATTAAGTGAAATCAGAAGGTAGCTAGGGGATAGATTATTAAGTGAAATCAGAAGGTAGTTAGGGGATAGATTATTAAGTGAAATCAGAAGGTAGTAGGGGATGGATTATTAAGTGAAATCAGAAGGTAGGTAGGGGATAGATTATTAAGTGAAATCAGAAGGTAGTAGGGGATAGATTATTAAATGAAATCAGAAGGTAGTTAGGGGATAGATTTTTAAGTGAAATCAGAAGGTAGGTAGGGGATATATTATTAAGTGAAATCAGAAGGTAGGTGGGAGATAGATTATTAAGTGAAATCAGAAGGTAGTTAGGGGATAGATTTTTTAAGTGAAATCAGAAGGTAGTTAGGGGATAGATTATTAAGTGAATTCAGAAGGTAGGTGGGAGATAGATTTTTAAGTGAAATCAGAAGGTAGTTAGGGGATAGATTTTTAAGTGAAATCAGAAGGTAGTTAGGGGGTAGATTATTAAGTGAAATCAGAAGGTAGGTGGGAGATAGATTATTAAGTGAAATCAGAAGGTAGTTAGGGGATAGAGTTTTAAGTGAAATCAGAAGGTAGTTAGGGGATAGATTATTAAGTGAAATCAGAAGGTAGTTAGGGGATAGAGTTTTAAGTGAAATCAGAAGGTAGTTAGGGGATAGATTATTAAGTGAAATCAGAAGGTAGTTAGGGGATAGATTTTTAAGTGAAATCAGAAGGTAGGGGATAGATTATTAAGTGAAATCAGAAGGTAGGTAGGATAGATTAGTGAGCAAAGTTAGAGGGTAGATAGTAGATGGAATAATAAAGAAATCAGATGGTAGCTAGAGGATAGAATAATGAGACATAATTGATATGCAGAGTGTTGTAATGAGTCTCTTAACTATATATATATATATAACATGGTTAAAGCAAACAAGCTTATAATGGCATCATGCTTACAGTGAAGTGATCTTCATTCCCTTTGTTTTAGAATGTTTTGATACAATGAGTGATATTTTTAAAGAATTGAAATTGTTTCTTTCCTGGAACTTTGCTTTAATCATGATTTAAAGTAGCAGTATGTCATCTCTTTTGACCATGCAACTTCAATAGCATATGTACTGGTAACAGTTTTTTTTAGCTCACTTTAGCTGAAGTGAGCTTTTGTGATAACATTTTATCTGATGTTCATCCGTCTGTTCGTAACCTTTTATCATTTTTGACTTCTTATCAAGAACCACTGAGCCAATTTCAACAACACTTGCCACAAAGCTCAATCCTTGAGTGAAGAGGATTGGAGATCTTATTAATGGAGAACCAGTTTTATTTAAAGGGGGGGATAATAAAGAATTGGTGAAAATATGGTGACATTTTTTTTTGAAAATCATCTCACGAACCAGTTTAATAGCCAGAAAAAATGAAACATATGAAAGCTTTCTGATATAGTGTAGATTCAAGTTTGTGCAAATCACCCTAGGGCAGGGTGGGGTCGTAATAGGTTATCAAGATTTTACAGGTGGATATATAAAAAAATATTCCATAAAAATCTGATGATGTACAGCAGGGCCATAAGTCATATTCATATTGAAACATAATCGGGTAGAGTATACATGTAGATCTAAGTTTATTCAAAACCACGGGGCAGGATGGGGTCACAATAGGGGATCAAATTTTATGTGGTAATAATTGGAAATCTGAGGTAGTGTAGATTTAACTTTGATCAAATCACCCCCCCCCCCCCCTCTTTCACTCCTAGGGTTAGATGTAGCCACAATTTGAGATTCCCAAATTTTACGTGGTATTAGGTAGGAAAATATCTTTGAAAAATTTCTGAAGTATAGCAGGGCAATAATCAGCATAATTGTGCAAACATCCTCAGGTAATGTATTCAAGTTTGTTTAGATTAGGGCACCCATCTGAGGGGTAGGAATGGGCTACATTGGGAGATCAGTTTTATAAGGAAATGTGTAGGAACAAAAATTGTTTTAAATAGTAGCACAGAAATAATATATAATAATATACAAACATACTTCTGATTCATTTCTTTATTCAAATTATGGACCTTGGAGTTAGACTAGGGATAATATTCAGAGATCGATCAGAATTTACATAATGCAAATGTACAGGGAAAAGTCTTTAACAAATCCTTTACTACAGAAAAGCAAGGCCATGTTAGTCATACTGCTTTTAAAGCATATCACAATGCTGTGTGGATTGAGGCTGATTAAATCAAAACCCTCTGAGGCAATGCAGAGTCAAAAATTTTTATTGGAATTATTCTAAAAAATATATTCCTCTGAAGAACAGTAGCACCAAGATGACTCAGATGGGCCTCTTGTTAATGTGTTCTTGCAGCTGGACACCAAGTGTGAAATCATTAGAGACCTAGAACAACGGTTAGAGGAGTCCAAGAAGCAAGGAGATGGTCAGCAGGATGAAATTTATCGTCTAGAGGACCAGGTCAAGAAGCTAAATATAGAACTGACCTCTGTTCAGTCTAAAGTGGATGAACTCCAACTATTGGTAAGTGGCCTCCTCTGACTCAGAGCATTAGAAAGGGCATTCCCTTTACAAGGCATTTAGTGAACAGTAGTATAGTAGATGATTTCCTGAACAATAATTATTGTAAATTGCCATTTGATTGAAGGTGGCTGAAAAAGATGACAAAATCCAATACTTCAAAAAAGGAGGACATAATTTGGGTGCTATGAACCAAAAAATTGCACTTGAAGCGCAGAAGGTTTTGGAGATGAATGCAAAGTTAAAGGAGACACTAGCTAATACTCAAAAGGACCTGGATGCTGCTGTACAAAGGGTATATGTCTAATTTTAATAGTCTATATATAGTACTGCACTTTCTTTAAAAAAGAAACAATGTCAATGTACTCATACCAAGTAAACAATCTGCTGAGAGTTTTTAAATTAAATGCTGTATCTAGATTAATAAAAAAGAAGAACTGATAGAAGATTTTAAAAAATACACAGAAGGACTTCGAAAGCAGCAAAGCAAAGATGCAAGCAAGGTATATATTAGATTAAAATGAATTAAAAAATATATATCATGTCATTAGACTGAACAGTCAATCATTCCTGATACATTGTACATACTGAAATACTTGTAACCATATTTGTACCTGTAACCAGGTACATGTGTGTAACTGTAACCAGATACATGCGTGCAACTGTAACCAGGTACATGTGTGCATTACAAGGTGGAAAATTGTGTACCCCTTTTCATCACATGAAGTTAAAGATCCAACATTTTTGTTTCACCAGAATTCTAGACTAACAATTTAAATGGCATCTAAGTATTACATGTAGCATGCAATTCAAGTCACTCACAAATTTATATGGATGATCAAGAGAAGACATATTTGCAACTCACTAACTCTCTGATATCAGACCCTCGCTTATTTTAAAATATCCTCAAGGATAAATAAATAGGTGCCTCTCTCACTAAAGTGATAAATCTTTAGTGAAACACCTTTTTTACCATGCCACATACTGTAAACGTACAAAAATTAGCGCACTCAAAATTTAGCAAAATTTAACATCTTCAATTGATTGACACAATCATATATTTGTGTACTAAGAGTTTAAACAAATACACGTGTTAGCTTAAATCATATATAAGCATGCACATAAACTAGCAGACAAGAGGCAGCACTAAAATAAGTATGCATGTTTACAGTAATTTGGCGAAAAGTGAGAAAATGTAACTTTACAGTTCAATATAATTTTTGAAAAATTAAGTTTAGAAATGTATGAAATTTTGTTAGCATCAAGTTCTATGGAACATTTTTTCAAGAGTCTAATTTTACATTATACACAATTAAAATTTCCTACTTAGATTTCCATTAAAAGAAATATTGAATGAAAAGCAATGAAACTCTTCTGTGTGGGAGATAAGAAAATTTGTTTAAAATAAAAATCTTCTTTTAAGTGTTTATAAATGTCATTAATGACAGATTGCAGCAAGTGATGGCATGATCCAGAAACTGAACAGCGAGATAAGCATGCTGAAAACCAAGTACCAAGAAAAAGCCCTGGAAGCCCAAATACAACAGACCACTAACAAAAAGATATATGAAAGATTCAGCAAGTGGCGTTTGGACGTTTATAATACTGCTCAATAAATTAATTTTTTTTTTTTTTTTTTTTTTTTATATATAATTTTTTAAAGAATAACACATAAAGCCACTTTCAATTTTACATGTATATATATTATTTCATCAGTAAATTTGTCTGTTTAAACTTTACTTCTAGTTTCTTAGCAGTGCTATACCTAACCAACAATTTGATTTTGTCACAAGATGGTTCAGATAACAAATACCCAGCATCCGAATTTACATGCATTTATCATTAAAATTTCAACTTAGATAACCTGGTATTTAACTCTAAAATCTAGTCAGAAAGCATCTATAGTTGACATTGTCCACAGGCATCACCAGTAATATATTTCTCCGTGTAAAATATCTTTGCTAAAGCAGCCATTCTACAGTTTATAAAATTTAAGAAAACAGCTTCCCAACTTGGCTGAAAAGTAGCCAAATAAATCATTTGTTCTACCTTGAAATCGTTGGAACACAAAACTTCATGTACTCTTCTACAAACTTTATTTACACAAGAACAAGTTCCTTACACAACACAGTTGTAACATATTTTAAAAATACATGTACCTTCAAACAATGACAAAGATTTTTCTAGCACAGTTTGTTCATGAAGTCACCTTTCACACATGAAGTCCCAACTTCAACTTCACACCTTTTGTAACCAGTCTTGGCAAACTTGAAACGTGTCAATTTCAAGTTAATCTCAACAGGAATGGCACTAATTTAGATGGATATGTAGATCAAAAAGCATTCAGACAAAATAGACTTATTATTTTCTGTATACTGTAATAATAATGACAAGAACCTTTCAGGAAAAAAAATTAACAAAGTGCAGAATTGCAGTTTCTCTTAATTAAAGAACAAGGAAAGACCATATGGAAAAAAAAAAATTTCAAAGTCCAATCAATGTAGATACAATCAAGATAAGATTTTACAACCTTCATTATTTGTAGTTTAGATGTATACATGTATTATTTTTAACAAACTGAACTTTGAATTCTATCATGCCTGCATGATGTCACAATGTGCCTCAATTTTGTCACAATAATTGCACATAAATTTGAGATAAAATCCCCCCCCCCCCCCCAATAACCCCTATTAGCCACCTAACCTTTTGTTTGTTGGGATACACATTCTGTCTTATCAGTATAGTAATAAAAATTAGAACTATGGAATTGTTTGGATTCTATTCTTGATGCCAAATTTTGTTAGATTATATAAACCTCATTTTCCAGGCTGTTTTTTTAAAACAAATTTCTATATGTTTGTGTATAATCCAATACAAATCCTTTGAAGACACTATAAAACCAATACAATTTCATAGATATTAATTAAACATCTTTTACCACCACCACACAATTAAAAAAACAAACACAAAAACAAAATATGAACACAACATAAATACAATTTTGTCTTTTTCAGATTACATCCTCCAATAATATAAAGAGCTTCATTCACTTAAGGCATAAAATTGCCCTGTACATTTCAATTTCTTGTACAATGTAAAATCCAATTTCAGTGTAATAATTCATTTCCTCTGCAAAATGTTAAAATTTCAGAGCACAGAATCAAATTTCTTATTAAAAAGAAAACCCCCATAAACCAACATTTTTTTCTCATCCCACAAAAGTGATTTTACAGTACATGGATTATTCTTAACTGCATTTCTTTGAAATTTCATAAAATTAAATGATATAATTTTTATAAATTTTAACTTTGAGTTAAAAACTTTTATGAAACTTTTGTCTTTTTAGCCATAAAAAAAACCTGCAGAAGTTTCATAAACCACTGGTATTTTTAAAATAATGACCAACATGTCACTATATTTTTTTTTTCTAATAGCAAACATAATTCTATGATATTATATTCTAAGTATCTTGTATAATAAACGAAATATAATAGTAACATAGTTTCCATGAACACAACATAATACAATCAATTCTATCTATTCAATCTAAGGGCTAGAATATTTAAACAGATCATTCACACAATACTACAAGTGTATATCTTTTTTCTGGTCCTACCTCAGCACTAACATAGTTGACTTCAGATAAAACAATATTTTACTTTCCAGAATAAAGAAATACTTCAACAATATAACAATCTCCTATCTCATACAAAGCATTCATAAAAGGATTCTGTAAGAATCGTGTTTTCGATTACTTCTAAAAACACATCAATGTGATGCAAGGAATTATACTGATACAAGTTACTATGAGATTCACCATAACATGGCTACAGTTTTCTGAGCACCTCTACCAAACTCTGATTACATGTATAAAAAGAACAAAATGATGCAATTTGCACAAAACCTCAAGATATCTTTATGATAATTATGTTTACAAAACTTAAGCTACAGTTGAACTTTGGTATCTCTAACACTGATATCTTGAATACCATGGATATGTTGAAGTGAGTTGGAAGCTCCCACTTCACTTTTTCTATGTATTTTAACCTCAATATCTCAAAAACCGGAATATCTCTCAGTTTTTTGTAGGTCCCATCGAGTTCGAGATAACAAGGTTTGACTGAACATCATTCTAACATTAATAAATGACAGTTACTCCGTCATAGGACATTAGTTAAGTAAAAGAAAGCAATTCTTTTTTATTTCAGAGTGTCTGTCATTCTAATGACAAATCCTTTTAGTGAATAAATAAAATCAAATAAAATTTGAGTTCTCTGAAAAATTCAAAGAAGATTTCTTGCTGTGTACCAAGTATGTGTAAGAAAAAAATGAAAAGAAGACCCTTTCAATTTTTTAACAAGTAAATAGTTTACATAGCACCAAAGTATTGTAAATGAAATATATACAAATGCATGCAAGTTTAAGCTTACAAAAATGCAGTCACATGTATCTGCAAAAAGCAATTTTCTATATGCAAGTATATCTGAGGTAACTATGGATATTTTTGAATTACAGACTCTCAGTTTATAACAGAGTGAGATAAATGAGATCTTTGATTCTAACCGCTGAGCAAAAATTACATACATGTTCAAATTTTGTCCACAACTCTCATTTTTCACGGTTGCATATCCTTAATATAGGCAACTCCACAAAAAATCAATCCAGGCCTATGCAACCAATTTTCTTTTTTCTACAAGATCTTAAATGCTCGGGTGAGATTAAAATTGATTTTGTTGGTATCCATAGTTATTCATCTGTCCTTGACCCTGCATTTGATTTCCTGGATTTGGCATTGGTCCACCCTGCTGACCAGGGTTACCCATTGGAGATGGGCCAGGTCCTCCTTGAGCTGGCATTGCACCCTGACTTGGGTTTGGCATCCCCCCTTGACCTGGCATTGAATTCTGACCACCTTGATTTGGCATCTGACCTTGGTTTCCCATCGTAGTTTGCTGAGAAGGCATAGGTCCTGGTCCTCCCATTTGGGTCTGGTTTGGCATTTGTCCTTGGCCTGACATTTGATTAGGCATTTGACCTTGACTCATTTGACCTCCTGGGCCTCTGTATGGGCTGTATCTCTGAGGTGTATTTTGTCCCTGATAAGGACCATACTGATTTGGTTGCATATTTTGATTGTAACCATGACCCTGTGGAAAATTTTGCTGTCCTTGACCTTGTGGATACTGAGACTGGTTGTTATATGGCTGTTGACCTTGGTAATTTTGTTGATATTGCCCTGTAAATAATTCAAATTAAGCATAATGTAAAAAAAAATTGTCACTGTTGAACAACAGTTCAGAATTGTCAACAATATGTATCAGTTTATAACTTGTTATAAAAATATCTTGAATAGTTTCTTTGAAAATGAGCTAAATATAAAATGTGAAAGGCGAACAGATGCCAATTAGCCTACTAGCTAATATATAATATCAATAGCTATAATAAAAAATCACCTTGTTGTGGACGCTGACGATTATATCCTCCCTGCATTGGCATCTGCTGATTCATCATCTGCCCTCCTTGATTTGCCATTCTGTTTCCACCAGACATCATCCCTTGAGAGGGCATCATTGGCTGCTGAGCCTGTGAGCCCAATGGCTGCTGCTGATTTTGTGACATTACTGGCTGTTGTTGATTCTGTGACATCATTGACTGCTGTTGATTCTGTGCACCTATTGGCTGCTGATTCTGTGACATCATTGGCTGCTGATTCTGTGACATCATTGGCTGTTGATTCTGTGACATCATTGACTGCTGATTCTGAGATCCCATTGGCTGTTGCTGGCTCTGTGACATCATGGGTTGCTGATTTTGAGACATCATCTGTTGATTCTGTGACATCATTGGCTGTTGATTCTGTGACATCATTGGCTGTTGATTCTGTGACATCATTGGCTGCTGGCCTTGTGACATCATTGGCTGTTGTTGGGTCATACCAGACTGTTGTTGAGACATCATTGGTTGGCCACCTTGCTGATTTCCATAGTTGCCATGTTGCATATTATAATTCTGTTGCCCTTGACCTTCAAAATAAAACATTATCAAAAACTTTATATATCTTATTAAATGAAAACTTCCAGTTGATAGAGGTGTCTTGTAACCATTAAATGTTATCTTTCCATACTTATTGTGAACACTATAAATAAAAACAAATGTTCTTAACATTACAATAATCTGTGATGAAAGAAAATTTCTTTAGTGCTAAGAACTGAAATCTTCCTAGAAGAGTTAGTAAAAATTAAAACCTCATTAACTAAGAAAAGGAAACGCTGAAATAAGTATGTGTAAAAAATTAACTACATTTGGAAAGAGAAATAACTGAAATGAATTCCAATATAACCAATATCACACACATCAAAGTGCAATGTTTGCAACTACATGTACATGTGTAATACTTCACTTTTGTAAGGTTTAGACATCAGATTTCTTATTAATAAATTTACTATCTGAACTAGGTAGATAAAAAGTTCTCATTAGCTCAATAAAATACATGATTCATCATTACAGTTCTGTATATACTACTACTATTAGACTACTCAGACAGGTTGAAGAAGTTATGTAGCTGTTGATAGGCTCCATTTTAGACCTGGAGCTGTGTGTGCTAGAATGCTTTCTTTTATACAACATCTCTCCTTGTTTTGAAATTAATAATTGAAATCTAAAGGAAAAACTTATGTTGCATCATTTGATTCCATTTTAATATATCAATGATTAGGATTAATTCAGACAATTTCATGATACTGGAATTTCCATTTATCTTTCACAGTTTTAATTATGATGAAATTTATGAATGAAGGCAAAATGAATACTACTAAAAAAGTATCTAAAATTTTGTCACAGAAAAAATAGAAAGATAAATGGCTAAATAGTGTATTAACTGTAAATGGCATTAACATTTAACCCTCATTAATTTTACATATTTTAAGACATTTTTGAAAATAATGAAGTACATGTAATTGTACCCTGTGTTTTGGTGCATTAATACAGAAACCTGCCTACCACCTGCATAGTTTATTCAGTGTGAAATACAGAAAAGGTGTAAAGCATGCTTATTTTAATGAATGAGGTGAAACAAAGATTTTTTTTTTGTAATCTTTCTCTACACTATCCTCCACAAGTTAACTGGAACACTGCAGTATTTTCTACAATATTTTCACCATAACTTTTAAATTTTATTGATTACAACAACAAACAAGAGGCCCATGGGCCACATCGCTCACCTGAGTAACTTTGGCCATGCTGTTCTTTACCAGATTCTCCCCCTTTTAATATACCTATTGTGGCTCCGCCCTACCCCCGGGGGTCATGATCTGAACAATTTAGAATCTGCACTACCCCAGGATGCTTCCAAATAAGTTTCAGCTTTATTGGCTCAGTGGTTCTTGAGAAGAAGATTTTTAAAGATTTTTCTTATATATTTCAATGTAAAACTTGGATTCCCTATTGTGGCCCCGCCCTGCCCCCGGGGGTCATGATTTGAACAATACAGAATCTACACTACCCCAGGATGCTTCCATATAAGTTTCAGCTTTTCTGGCCCAGTGGTTCTTGAGAAGAAGATTTTTAAAAAAATTTCCTATATATTTCAATGTAAAACTCCAATTCCCTATTGTGGCCCCGCCCTACCCCCGGGGGTCATGATTTGAACAATTTAGAATCTACAATACCCCAGGATGCTTTCATAAAAGTTTCAGCTTTTCTGGCCCAGTGGTTCTTGAGAAGAAGATTTTTAAAGATTTTTCTTATGTATTTCAATGTAAAACTTGGATTCCCTATTGTGGCCCCGCCCTGCCCCCGGGGGTCATGATTTGAACAATTTAGAATCTACACTACCCCAGGATGCTTCCATAAAAGTTTCAGCTTTTCTGGCCCAGTGGTTCTTGAGAAGAAGATTTTTAAAAATTTTTCCTATATATTTCAATGTAAAACTTGGATTCCCTATTGTGGCCCCGCCCTACCCCCGGGGGTCATGATTTTTACAATTTAGAATCTACACTACCCCAGGATGCTTCCATATAAGTTTCAGCTTTTCTGGCCCAGTGGTTCTTGAGAAGAAGATTTTTAAAGATTTTTCTTATATATTTCAATGTAAAACTTGGATTCCCTATTGTGGCCCCGCCCTACCCCTGGGGGTCATGATTTTTAAAATTTAGAATCTACACTATCCCAGGATGCTTCCACATAAGTTTCAGCTTTTCTGGCCCAGTGGTTCTTGAGAAGAAGATTTTTTAATGACCCCACCCTATTTTTGTCTTTTCTTGATTATCTCCCCTTTGAAGGGGACTTGGCCCTTTATTTTAACAATTTACACTCCCCTTCACCCAAGGATACTTTGTACCAAGTTTGGTTAAAATTGGCCCAGTGGTTCTTGAGAAGAAGTTGAAAATGTGAAAAGTTTACAGACGGACGGACAGACGGACGGACGACGGACAATGGGTGATCAGAAAAGCTCACTTGAGCTTTCAGCTCAGGTGAGCTAAAAATTATGAAAAAAAAATTAAAATTGGGATTTCCATTCCTACCAATTATTTGTCAGATGACAACTCTAGCTCTGTGCCTTAAAAAAAACTAGTAATTAGCAAATGTTCATTAACTGAGTGAGGCAAATGGATCCTAATAGTCATCTGATACTGTAAGCTTCCTTAATTTTGTGGTTTGTGTGCTATTCCTTGTCCATTAATTCCAGTACATGCTAATATTTCATTAAATAAGATACATATAAAAGCTTTGCTTCCAAAGCGCTAATTTACGATTAATTTACAATTACACTGAACATCTGAAAAAGATCGAGAAAGAATGTGCTACCTTTTGAGTGAATGACTTTATGTGTGTTTACAAGTGTTTTTACTTGGATCAACAAGAAGTCTGTGAACCAATGATCACTAGTAATACTGTTGTGTATCAAAAATTCAATTTTCTGCCCATGTTTGTCTTTGGTAACAAGCTTCCCAACATTTGATTATGTAGTAACTCTACTTGTTACCACAAGGTTCTCCAACATTTGAATTTTTACCGAGTACAAAAAAGCATTTTCAGAAATCAATGACGACATTTTTTCCTGATGACAAACAAAACCAAATGCTCCAGAGTAAACATATACCAAGGTATATATACCGGTATATAAATTTTTCTTCATGTTTTCAGGAATAATTACTCTATCTTACAACCAGATGGTCTGACCCTTGTAACATAGGTGGATTTTAATGAGACAATGGGAATTTTGCTGTGGTGCCGAGAAATGTTATTGTGACCTGCAAAATAAAATTTCTCTGTGGTGCTTGTACACAATTAAAAAACTCATGGAGAAACTTTACCATGGAAAAAACTTCAACTAATTACTAACATCAAAGATGCAAGTGTTAATAAATATTTAGATTAGCAGTATATATTCATATACATTATAGATAGCACCCCATCTTGTCCTAAAAAAAAGAATATGTAAATGTTTTTACTGCAGATAACTACTGTTACAATAATGAGCCCTTCCAGCACAAAAACAAGGAATTGTCTTTCTGTTTTTTTTTCTTGTGAAATATTAATTAAGCTAAAATAATCTCATTTTCATAGACCAAACAAATGTTTATCAAAATTTACCCAGTTCTTTTTTATCCCCTTCCATTCATTTTTTCAATTCCTTGTTTAACAACAAGTAGGCACCAGTGATGATAAATAAACTCTAAATACTTGTGAACTAGTAGTAGAATTCAGTCAGTAAATATATTGTATGTATAGTTAGAGTACCACTCAGTATACCAACACACAAACAAGCAGAAAAACACAAGTCTAGCATAGATCCCGGCTCAGTTTTTTCCACTCACTGAAATTTCCGGGGGGCACCATATTAGGCTGGTTCATCGGTGACTGCATTGGCCCCTGTGTGAAGCCCCCAGAACCGGATTGTCCTGGGGCTCCCACAGGGCCTTGTTGGGAGTACATACTGTTGGGAGGAGACATACTGGCTCCGCCCATGTACTGATTGACAGATCCTTGTGCTCCACCTTCGTATACACAAATATATTTTTTAATAAGAATTTTTACAACTGGGCTTATAAATTACATGTAGTCTTGTTGCAAAGCAACTGTAAATAAATACTAATATCTTTTCAAACAAAGAAAAAGCTGCATGTATACAAAATACACCTGGGACATACATCTTGACACAAATGAAAATAGAGGTAACATTACATAAATACCATGTAATGTTTGTAGATCAGAAAATCAAAAATACAAAATTAGATAAAAATGATTTTAGGTTGAAACTAGATATCAATAGATGGTGACCATCTCTATGGACCCCACTATAGTAAAATTTAATGTACCGGTATAAGACATTTATAAGAATAAATGGGACTTGTTAAGGATTGCAATTATTTTTCATATTTAGTTTAAAACAGCAGTTCATTGAGTTTATGACTACTGGAATATAGTTGCTCAATGGAGACCAAAATAATGCTGTGACTTTGATATTTGCTTGGTAAAACACTACACACCCTTTTATCTAAGCTACCTTGGAAGTGCAATCCAAACTGCTCCAAGGTGAGAAAATGCATTCTCCATACAAGATTTCAACTTTGACCTCCAATCTAGAAACAAGGTTAAGGGTCACCTTTTACCCAAAGACACATTTAAGGTGAAATGAGCCAGGTTGGACCAAGATGAGAAGAAATTCTGCACATGGATTTTTCACCAGACCTATTTTGACCTTGACATTCAACTGCAAAATTTTGATCAAGGTCAATGTAAAATGAGACAAACTGGTCCAGGGGCAGTAAATATATATTCCAAAGATCAACAGCAACCTTGACCTCTAACCTAGAAATTTGGTTTAAAATCACTGCACAACCCTTTCCAAAAGCACTTTTTAGATTAGTTAAATTGAGCTAAGTGAAGTAAAAATATTGTAATCAGTATTTTAATGAGACACTTGTTTTGACCTTGACCTTCAATGCAGATAATAGGATTAATTATGTCACACCTTTTACTCATGGGCACTCTGTGTGTGCATTGGGGAAAAAAACAAACTATGGACAAGTAATATCAGACAGAAGGACACATACAGATGGACATAATGATCCATAAAGGATGCTTGCAAAGTGGGGCCCTAATGAACTCCAACATTCTTAGTAAACTAAATTGTGCAAGAAGCTTTTAATGGGATCTGGACAACACTAATGGCTTGTTTTGCGAAGTAAAATCTACAAAATGTTTCTATGGAGCATACCTTGAGGAATCTGATTTGGGATATTTCCTGGAGGCCTCATCTGATTCATCTGTGGATTGGGCTGCTGAGAAGCCATGTTGCCTTGTCCTGACTGTCCAAGAGCCTAAACAGAAACAAGAAATGTGTGAGAAACTTACACATGTATATGCCCCAATGTGTCGAAATTTAATAGGGTACAATTCTGAAAGTCTGTAATGATAGTGAAAGCAATTGGTCATTTACTTAGTTTGGGGCAAACATAATACTAAGTTTGATCTTTATCTGACCTTAATATAACTTTACTTCTTAGGATTACCAGTGTACCAAGTTTGATGTCTGTCAAGCAAAGAGTTCTCAACATATTGGGCAATCAATATATTCAAGGACCAACCTAGGGGGTGACTGAGGTGAAATAGTCGCTTTTGAGCTCCAAACTTCGCCGTAAATTATCACGAAAGAGAAGTTTAAGTCACCTTAATATTTACAAGCGCTTTATTGAAAATCATAAAAAATCTATTAAGAAACGTGGTATTATCGTCACTATTTTATAAATCTGGTTTTATTACTGCTGAAATAAGTGAATACTCTGTCGGAACTCCTCTAGATTTTACGCTTCCATGTATGAAAAAGTCCATTGTTACAAGTCAGGAATAGACATTAACTTTCAGATTCACTTGCCCTTCGGGCAAGTGATTTCAAACTTTGACTTGTCCGCGTGCAAAACTTGGTTGCCCAAAATTAGGAAAGAACTTCAGAAGAAAATTATTAATTACTGTAAACGTTATGATAAGAAAAATGTGACCAAATACACTACTGTCAATTTGGCAAGTTGAGCTACCTGAAAAATGTCGATGCATGCTGCATTTGTACATATATGTATACCGCTGTACTTGTAAATTTAACCTGTTAACACACACTGCCATGCAACAATAACCCTCCGTTTCCTTTTAATAAAATTCATATTTTTAATAATTATTTTCGGTAGGATCCTTTTGTGAATCATGATTTTCAGAGATAACAGTAAAGCAACGCTTAAGGAAGACAGTTGCTACGAAACATTCATCTTATCTTGATCAGGATACATCATGTTACAATATAATTATATTCTGTGCTTGAATTAATAATCTAATTTCCTAATGAGAAGTTAACAAAATTTTATTAGACGTAGAGCGTATTTACTACGAAAGAAAATAACGAAGCCGATTTTTAAATGAGCGGTATAATCAAGAAACGCTACCAAGGACGCAAAAGCATTGTCAGTCAGGTGCGTGGCGGAAATCAAGCGTTCGATTTATTGTTTTATTTATAAATTAATGTAAACTAAATAAATATGTACATTTGTATAAGAAAATTTCACTTGCCCGATCGGACAAGTACGTCAACAATTTCACTTGCCCGAACTGAGAGTTTACTTGTCCCGGGCAATCGGACAACCGTTAATGTCGATCCCTGCAAGTTACACACAACAAGACACAAAACAGCTGGACAGATATCGATGTCATGCCAAAGATGTTGGAGATGATTTTAGATCTTTTTATTTTCAAATAATTAATACATGCTGTGAATACAGACATATTTTTACTGCTAAATTGTGGAGTTATTAACTGTCTAAGAAATTACACATGTCTGATAAACCTAAGTAGTTCAATCGGCATGCAGTAGCGCATCAAAACGTTTTTTAGAGAAAGAATTTAATATTGAAAACGAATTTTGAAGAGAAAATAACAAAATTATGACTATGCTAAGAGCCTGAAAATCTAACCCTGAGAGGAGAGAAAAACTAGTGAACCATTTAAAAGTTAATTGTGCATAATATTATGCAAGAAATGAAAAAAGTTTGATAACCAAGTTTATCAATTAGAAACTTTTACATTGTCATTGTTTTATATATTTTGCTAGATATTTAGATACCTTTTAATTGGAAAAAAATAAAGTTATTTTTTTAAAGAATATTTTTAATTATTTTTACTAGGATGTTTAAATAATACAGAAAAAATTATTGAAATGTATTTAAGTAATAAAAAATGATTTTTTTTAATTTTTAAAAAGTTTAATAATGATCATTGTGTGCCACGCGCGCCAAGAAGTCTCCCTAGAATTCAAAACTTCTCCCTACATTTCTCTGAGGGAGAAGTGAAGTCTCCCTAAATTTTGGGTCAAGGTTGGTCCCTGATATTCCTATGTCAAGTTTGACTCTTGACCTTTGGCTTTGTGACCGAAAAATCTGCAGTGGTCATCTACTCCTCAGGGTGGACCAATGTACACAGTATGATGTCTGTCAAACAGATGGTTTTCAAGATACTGAACAAACAAGATCTGTCTATGTCTAGAATAGTTTGACCCTTGACCTTGTGACCTCAAAATCAATAGGGATCACCTACTCTTCATGACCCTTTTCAAAAGGGGCATAAAAATTAATCGTTAAACAGCAAACTTCTTTCATCATCTTAATTACTTTAAATGTTTTTGTTAACTTAACCACTGGTACTGATAAAGTGTATAAAAGTTCTTGATATTCTTACTGGCAAGAGTTGATTACTGAGATTCTGGTTTGAGTCGGCTAAGGTTGCCAGGTAAACCAGATTCCGGTGCAGCATCTGCTGGTATCTGTAATCACAAAATAAAAATTCATAAAAAATTACAACAAGGTTCTCAGTTCACAATATTAATATGAATATCTCATACTCAAAAATGTTTCAATACTTTACCCCTCTCCCAAAAGGGGTGCATTCATGCAACTTTTAATAGCTTTCTTATCTTCCAATTATTGAATTATTTTATAAAGTTTTATTAGTCTATTTCTGTTTTGAATTATTTTATAATCCAAGTAAGATACTTTTAAACAGATAGTTCCATGACTGATGTTACTTACTGCATGCATTCCGATGCTTTCCCTTTTGTCTGATAGTCTACAATTGTCTGTATCAATTGATTATTTTCATCAAGCATCTACAAAATAGAACAGTACCAAGATTAAATTTGCCGGTGAGGTCCATAGGTCCAATGTTTTTCACGTTCAGTGAAATAAGAATCAAACTTGTGGTAGCAATGACAGAATAAAAATTTACAAAACCTAATTGCAAACTTTTCATTACTCTGAGAGTCAGGGATCGACATTAACAGTTTCTTAAGTTTGTCACAAGTAAAATCTCAGTTCAGACAAGTGAAACTATCAATGTACTTGTCCAATTTGGCAAGTGAGTATTTTTTATTAAATCAGTAAAATTACTTGTGACCCTCCACTGCCTTATCTGCAAATGTGATTTTTATTTCAAAATCCCTGTATTATTCTTTGACCTTCCCCTCCATGTTATGGTCTATTGAACGCTAAGTTTTCCACATATTTTATAAGCAAAATACATGTTGAATGTAAATATAGTCCATTGGATTATTTCTATCCGTAAACCCCCTCTCTGTAAGCATCTCCGTCCATTTACTACTGCATATGTTTTCGCCATACTAGTATTTAGTTTCTCTCTTAAAGACATCTATTTACCTCTCTTAAAATTACGACATAACTTAGGAATATCCTTAGACAAAGTAATGAACTTAGGAAAAAGTTCTTTCCCAAGATAACTTAGTCCCAAGTTAGCTTTGTGAAACAGGCCCCTGGGGTCAATTAATTCAAAGAAGTGCTAACAAGAAAAGACTCAAATCAACTGAATTTACAATGTGTTGGGAGTAATCGTGCCTGCCTTCCTCCTCAAATATTTTACTCTTTCTTTCCTCTTGATTTCCCCTTTTAATTTCCCCATCACTTAACTTCCCTCCGACTCATCCGCTATGCAAGTTTTAACCCCACCCCACCCCTCAAAAACACAACGAAGTCTTCAATCATGAAAGTCGAATTTTATTGCCATACCCATTGAACAATTATTTTGCATACTGGGTGGCAACGGCATTTAAAATTAATAAAAGCACTTAAAAAATACAATACGTTGAGGTGAACACGCAATGCATGTCAACACAGACCATGAAGTTGAATATCATTACAAGTTCCAAACACTGACACTCTCATTACTTCCCTATGAATAAAAAACTATTTTTAATACATTTGATTAAAATAAGATATTTTCACTGTGCAATGGTGACCCAGATAATGTAAAACTAAAATGTATAACACTGTTGTCGATAGAGATAATTTTTACAATCTTACAAACCTTTTGAATAGATGCTTGATTTGGTGGAGGTCCTTTCTTCTGAGGTGGTTGAACGAAAGCTAAAGACATTTTTATATACGTATGTTTAACAAAATATTTTAAATATCGATGTTGATTAGCAGGTGCAGGTGCTCGCTCGAAGTCCGCGTCGATATGCGACAGCCCCGCAGCGAAGAAATGGGGACAATGGGTAAATCTAGTGTTCAGTGGCATTCACCAATTTCTATACTTCATCACTGTACAGATCTCTACGCTGAAATATATACACGCATAAATAGATGTATCAACAATGTTACATATAATGTCAATCTTGATACATCAAGAACTTTTGATTTCAGGGATACCGATTCATCGAACTCAAATTGGAACTGCTCAATTTAGTCAGTAAATGCCACTGTTTGTAATATTTTTGAATTTTTTTATATGTCTACGTGAACTTATTTCAACACTTTCAACATTTTATCTAAAGTAACAACCGATTCTGTTAAACGACGTGGAGACATTTATCCGAGAGAGTCGGGAATATACAATACTAGATTTACCGCCTGCCAGAAATGGGTGGTACTAAACACCGAATAATAACTAAATAGACCAAAGATGAAATTTCATTCAACCTAAAGGCAAATATTCATATATTTGTTTATTCCTATTTCAATTCTGACAAGAAACTTGTACTATTTTATAAATTTGTACGCCCTTTTTTTCAGAAATAATATTTTTATTCTATTGCAGTCCTGAAAAAAAAATAATTTGAAGTTTATTTCTCCCCATAATATAAATCACATCTACATTACATTTATATAAATATATAATAAATGATATAAATCCGATATTTATATAAGAGATAACTTTTTTAGTTTCAGAGAGTTTAAAATTTTATAAAAGGTTAGTTTTCACGTAGAACCTACGTCGTATGACGTCATATCAAGTAAATGAGTTTGTCTGTCTATTTGGTGTTAGATCTTTTATGACGTCATAATTAATGTTACTTTTTCCCGTATTTTACGGCTTTAATCCAAGACTGTCTCATGTAATGAAGTTGCACAACTGTGATAATGTGAATGGCATGCAACTATTCTGAAGGAATGCAAAAATCCTAAGATATCTAAAGAGTACAATATCTTGATAAAATGTGTCTGAGTCAAATATCTGTTACAGTTTGTGTGTATATTTTGTAATGTCTATCATGAAATGACGTGCATTCTTTTCATGGCCGTAGGAACCGGGGGGGGGGGCAATAATTTTGTAGATATATAGATTACTATAGTAAACATAGATAATATGTGCTTGTGCCCCCTCAATAAAAACGTCTGATGACCTTTTTTTTTTTTTTTTTTTTTTTTGCTTGCCAGGAAAGAAGTATTGATAAATAATGTATATTTTAATAACTTTTTCTAATTATTTGGGTATTTTCTTCATCATATTAAAGATTGAAAACATTCTGACAAAGACTTTTGAAAAATATTTACAAATTTAGGTTGTAAATTGACTCAAAAAATATTGAGCACATTTGCCAATATTCGTTAGAATGTGGACTTATAATCTTTTATGTCAGTTGAATAAAAAAGAATTCATTCTCGAATAATATTGCTTAATACGGTTCAGTTAATAAAGTCTATAAACGAAGATGTTTGAAGAAGTATTTTTGTGATTTTCTATATTCTCTTTATGACCAGTACCCCTAAAAATGGCTGAAATTAAAATGTAGTTGCAGTGTAACATTATCATTCCAAGTTGCACAGGCTGCACTACATTTAATAACAAGGAAACATACCATATATTTTTAACTGATTGATAAGCAAGTACAATGTACTAATTTATCATTTTGAAAATCTTGTGACAAAGACTTTTCCGACATAGGTTCTACCTTAAGTTATAATTAAGTTGTAATACTTTGTGAATGTGTACGACCAGCCAATTTCACAATAAATGAGCTAGATGATAAAGTATAGTTTACGGATCGTACTATATATAGTTAACGAATGTTACAGTTAGGTGCTGTTAAGGTGCGGAATTCACAAAATATTGTGATACGTATAGTTCTACATTTGAGAAACGCCGTTTAACAGCAGAATGTCCTCTGATTTCGTTCATACACAATTGATATTACCGGTATATTTCACCACACTTAACTAGAATTTACGATCAACTAACTGTTATCAATAGTTTTGATGGTAAATCAGAGATACGGTTAATCCTAGTTACAGCATCTTAAGATTTTGCTACACTTGCAACAATTATATTCATTGGTTGTTAAAAATATATTACTTGTTGACATTAATAGGACATTTTTCTATCATGTCAAAGAAAATCTAATAGGAAATGAAGAAAAAACAAAGACAGGAAAATTATTAAAATTTATTTCTCATTCTAAAAAAAAGGGATAGAGAAAAATGCGGACGGTTTGTTACATCAAATGTTTCTTCATAAAAAATAAAGTAAATCATTGATATTTATCCCTGCCAAAGGAACTTCAAGGAAGTCAATCAAACTTGCATCGCGATGCGCATCACGAGTCACTCAGGTGACCTATTGCTGTATGTTTTCGTGCGTTAATATTTTCAGCTTCTTCTCTGGAACCACTGAACCTATTTCAGGCAATTGGCTTAAATACCATTTATGAAATGAGTGAATGTATATTGAATTCTTTAAAAATCTTCTTCTCTGTCCCTTGGTATTTAGCAGACAAACTAATTGCATAGTTCTGATAAACAAGGACACCTAGTTCTTCCAAAATTTTGAATTTCATGGCCCCTGGGTCAGAAGTGTTAGGGTGGGGCTCTATTGATCATATAGTAAAATACATATTAAATTCTTTAAAATTCTTCTTTTCTGTCCCTGGGTATTTAGCAGACAAATTAATTTCATGGTTATTATGAGCAGGGATTCATATTCCAAAATTGTAAAATTCATGTTTTGGTTAGGGTGGGGCAAAAAAATCTTCTTCTCTCCCCCTGTATATTAAGCAGACAAAGTAAGGGCATTGTTTTAGAAAGCAAGAGCGGCTCGTTCAAAATTGTGAATTTCATGGCTCCAGGGTCAAGGTTCTGGTGTAAGGGTGGGGCTTCATTGATTATTTAGTGAAAATGCATTATTTTTTTGAAAATCTTCTCTGCTCCTGGGTATTAAGCAGATAAACTAAGTGCATGGTTATGATGCCCAAGGGTGCCTCTTTCCAAATGATGAAATTCATGGCCCCCGGATCAGGGGTGTTGGTGTTAGGGTGGGGTTCTGTTGATCATATCGTGAAATACATATTAAATTCTTTGAAAATCTTTTGCGTCTTTAGGTATTTAGCAGATAAATTAATTGTATGGTTATGATGAGCAAGGGTGCCTCTTCCAAAATTGTGAATTTCATGGCCCTGAGTCAGACGTTTTAGTGTTAGGGTGGAACTGTATTGATCATAATGAAATGCATGCTGAATTCTTAAAAACTCTTCTTCTCTGGCCCTGGGTATTTAGCAAACAAACCAACTGCATGATTATGATGAGCAAGGATGTTTGAAATTTATGGCCCCTGGGTCAGAGGTTTTGGTTTTAGGGTGGGGTCCTATTGAACATATAGTGAAATGCATATTAGATTCTTTAAAAAACCTTCTCTGCATGGCTCTGGGTATTTAGCAGACAAATTAATTTCAACCTTATGATGAGTAAGTTACATTTCCAAAATTGTGAAGTTCAAGGCCCCTGGATCAGGAGTTTTGTTGTTAGGGTGGGGCTCTATTGATCATATAGTGAAATGCATATCAAATTCTTTAAAAACCTCTGGCCCTGGATATTAAGCAGATAAATGAATTTCATGCTTATGATGAGTAAGGATACTTCTTCCAAATTTGTGAAATTCATGGCCCCTGGGTCAGGGGTTTTGCCATTAGGGTGGGGGGCTATATTGATCAAATAGAGAAAAAAAAACATTATTTCTTTGAAAATAATCTTCTCTGCCCCTAAGTATTTAGCAAACTTACTAAGTGCATAGTTATATGATGAGCAAGGTTACCTCTTCCAAAATTATTCAGAATTTCATGGCCCTGCAACGTCAGGATTTTTGGAGTTAGGACAGGGCTTTATTAACTATATATAGTGAAAATGCATTAATTTAGTTCTTTGAAAATCTTCTCTTCTCTACCCCTGGGTATTAAGCAGACAAACTAATTGCATGATTATATTAAGCAAGGATAACTCTTCCAAAATTATGAAATTCATGGCCCCTTGGTCAAGGGATTTAATGTTAGGGTGGGGCTCTATTGATTATAGAGTGAAAATACATTTTTTTCTCAGAAAATATTATTCTCTGACTTTGGGTATTAAGCAAAGGTTATAAGGGCATAGTTATGATGAGCAATGGTGCCTCTTCCAAAAATGTGAATTTAATGGCCATGGGGTCAGGGTTTTGGAGTTAGGACAGGGCTCTATTAACAAAATACAAAAATGCATAAATTCTATAAAAATCTTCTTCCTACCCCTGGGATATTTAGCTGACAAACTAATTGAATGGTTATTGTGAAATTCTTGGCCCCTATACTAGAGTTTCTGGTGTTAGGATGGGGTTATATTGACTATACAGTGAAAATGCATTTAATCTTTGAAAAGCTTCTTCTCTGCTTATGGGCAACTTTGAGGCAAACAGAGTATTAAGTTGTAATCAGCAAGGGTGTTTTTTACCAGACTTGTGAAATTTTGGACCACTGGCTCAAGTGTTCTGGTGCTGGACAGGTCTCTTTTGATCTTGTAGTGAAATTTGTATGCTACTGTGAGACGTTGTTCTCCTTTAGTCCTCTTTTTCCCCTTTCCCCTCACCTATGATAATTAATCTCTGTTCATAATGTAAAATGTCAATTGATTAAAAGAATTATACAAGAAAGCTTAATATATAATACAAAAAATAATTTCATAGTTTTCAATGGTCTGATAGACTTATAAATAATAGATAAATAAAAATGAGGGGGAAAAAATATTCTATCTTTGTACATTAAATGTTCCTCAAATACAAAGAGAGAGACCATTCTGAGAGGGAATGTGATGGGTTTACTGTATGCCAAAGCATTATTGTTTTGAATAGTCTGCATCGTGATAGTGACAAATGGGAGTGTATTAGCACTGCCAATGAGGATAAGACAACTTTTTGTTGATCCTTGATCATCTTATTTCTCTTGCTTTCGGCAACATTGCTTTATCTATCAGTTTATTTTTATTTTATACATGTACTTCTATGAATCTTTTACAGTGCTAAACTCAGGTGACTGTTAAGTCCCATGGGCCTCTTGTAAATTTCAAGGTATATTGTCAACCAAAAGTCTCTGACGAGACTGTAGCTCTACTGGTTGTACTTATAAAGGAAGATAAAAGTAGCACTTGGACTTAAAACTTTGCAATAGCAATAAATAGAATAGCGATCCTTGGTTTTGTCTCTTTTTGTGGAAAAGATTTATTGCAATCAGACTAAAACTGTAGGAGGAGTAACCTTTGTAAAATAATTTTACAGAAATTTCTATTTAATTAAGTAACCATGGCAACATCATTCAACAAAATCAAAAAACAATAATGACAATTATGTATCTCAGTGTAGTCTACTTGTATGCCAAGTTATACTGAAATCAGACAAAAAAGTGTAGGAGGAGTAGCGTTTTGAAAGTATTTCAAGAAATTTCTATTTTTAGCACCCATGGAAACACTGTTCATTGAAATCCAAAACTGGTAAAAGAGAATTATGTATCTTAGTGTAGTCTACTTGTGTGTCAAGTTATACTAAAATCAGACCAAAACTGTAGGAGGAGTAGCGTTTTGAAAGAATTTCTAAGAAATCTCTATTTTTGGTAACCATGGCGACACATTCATTGAAATCAAAAACCGATATACAGAATTATGTATCTTAGTGTAGTCTAATTGTGTGCTAGGTTATACTGAAATGAGACCAAAACTGTAGGAGGAGTAGTGGTTTGAAAGTATTTCAGAGAAATTTCTATTTTAAGTAACCATGCCAACACTGTTCATTGAAATCAAAAACCGATATAAAGAATTATGTATCTTATTATAGTCTACTTGTGTGCCAAGTTATATTGAAATCAGATCAAAACTGTAGGAGAACTACTGTTTTGAAAGTTTTTCACAGAAATTTCTATTTTTAGTAACCATTGCAACACCGTTCATTGATATCAAAAACCGATATAGAGAATTATGTATCTTAGTGTAGTCTACTAATGTGCCAAGTCATATTGAAATTAGACCAAAACTGTAGGAGGAGTAGCATTTTGAAAAATTGTGTACAGAGGACAGACAGCTAGACGGACGGACGACGGACACCTTACTATCGCATAGGCTCTTCTGGTCTCTGACCAGTAGAGCTAAAAATAAGGAAGTTATTGAGATTTTTGTTTTAGCCACTTGCAAATTCCTGGTCTCACTATTTGACTTCTTTGAGGCATTTAGCAATATTAAGTACTCGTGTAAAAATAAGGAATCTGCAGTAGACCCCACAACCATTCATACTGGGGGATGAGAAATTTACTTATAGAAACATTTGGAGAATCGACCTCCCAATCCCTGCTAAGATATCTGTTATGTAACTAATTTTGTAACTTATCTTTTACCACTAGACTTATCCAGAATCAATGAATTTAAAAGTATCAGTTAAACATGAATCTGTTATTTCTGCCATTAAAAATAAAAAGTCACAAGGTGTTCATCTTCTCTTAAATTTTATGGTATTTGATTATTAGATAACGTCCCAACATTATTTGTATAATACTGTTAGAAATAAACTGAACAAGGCACTTTAGTGCATTGTACCTGTATATCTTTTAGTGCATTGTACCTGTATATCTTTTAAAATAGTCAGTAGAAAAGAATCTTAATAACAAATACTAGCTGAATGCAAACCTTTAGCAACACTGAAAAAATGTACATATGAATAATACACATATTCTTAAAACATGAAATTTGCAATTTTCGAACAAGTTTTTGGAATGTGGGTTTTGAGGAATGTTATAGAAATATTAAAACCTACAATGCCTCCATATTTATATCATAAAGAATATCACAGGTCATATATTAAGGCTGAGAAAAGAACTGATATGCACATCACAACTTTGACTTTTCATCTTGCTGGTCCTTCAAGAGAAAACCTCCCTGTGGAGAACTAGTCAAGCCAGCTCTGTCTTCAAACACTGTGTTGCCACGGACAACAGTTTGGTACACACGTCCCTGAAGTGTTCTGCCCATATATGGAGAGACCTTGTTTTTGTAGTAAATTTTGTCTTCTGTGACCTGGATCAATAAAAAATCAGAAATATCAAAAAATATACCTGAAAATTCATGCAAATTTATATATATAAAAAAAAGGACAATAGGATTTTTTACCTCAATAAAGAGACAGCATTGCATAATAAAACAATTAACACCAACAATTCTTTAAATTATCATTGGATCATTGTTAATTGAACATTCACATTAACTGAACTAATCAGTAGAGGAGTATTTTTTACCTTGAATGGAGCATCAGGGTCCCAGATAACAAAGTCAGCATCAAATCCTGGCTTGATGGCACCTTTTCTGTTACTTAGGCTGGCCACTTTCGCTGTATTCTCACACATCAATTTCACCATGTCAAACAACGTCATTCCATAGTTACGACAATTTGTCCAGAAGAGAGACAGTCCTTAAAAAATACAAAAATGATTTTTTTTTTACACATTCATCATTCAGAGACAATATAACCATTAAAACTATACCTATACAAAATAATTACAACGTCTTTCACTGTCCAATATTTACTGAGACAACCTTCCAATATCTATCGAAATTTATATATTAGTAACTATATTATTAAAACAGGAAATGAACTTGATATCACCAGTACCTACCAAACTGTACAGAAGCAACCCCTCCCCAGGCTTCCATAAAGTCCCCCTTGTCCAGAAGTTTGAGGTCTGGTGTGCAGGGGGAGTGGTCAGACACCACCATGTCTATGTAGCCCCTCTTAAGACCATCCCACAGAAGATCCTGTTAAATAAATAATGCAGCAAGTTCTCACTATTTAAGAGATTTTGATTTTTATGCAGAGAAGTTTCATTGAAGGTGCAATATTCTCACCAAATCTTTGTAAATCAAACTAACTAAAAGAAAGACATCAGAGTATGTGACAGAGGTCAAAGGTAAATGATATCTGATAACTACAGCATACATATATATGTACATATTCAGACATTTCTTCCCTTTAATTTAGGGACCAAATACATTTTAAAAAAACCCCCATCTCTTTCTAAATTTGCCCAAAGCTGTTTTATTACTGCAGAGTCATACGTTCTGTGTAAAGCACCACGGATGAAAATTTCCCACATCACATGATTTGTACCTGGTTTTTCTTTTCCCTGATTGGTGGACAACACTTGTACAAAGTGTTGCCATTGGGAACAGTCTCTGCATTCAGTGACAAGTAATGGTGACATGTCTCCACCGTCAGAGGGGCCCCCTTCTGCTTTGCAGCTATAATGGTGGGCAGAGCTGAGGCAGCAGACAGGTGGACTATATGACATTTCACTCTGTGAAAGATTGAAAATATTATTCCAGGTAAAAGTAAATTGACATAAGTCCTCTGATTCTTTACTCAGTACTTTACGTTACACTGTATATCAAAGGATAAAAAAGTTCTGGTATAGACATAGCTGTAAGAGAAGAATACATATCAGGGATTAAATAGTACACTGAATGAGGGATTGTTTCAAAGGAAAAGTTCTAAAATCCCTTTTCTAAAACATACAGGTATGTGACCAGCATAGTACTTTAAAAACACCAATATTTCTTGGCTTATGACTTTATTTTCATAATTGAAGAACTGAAAGTAGATATTTGTGAAACTTCATTTTTGCTTTTTTTGCTGTAAGTAAACACTTTATTCATTATATCCCCATTCTTTGACAATACATGTAATACCGGTAGTTTCAAGATAAATTTGTAAAATTACTTAAAAATAAATATCAATCTTGCTAATAAAATTGATCTTCATTAATTTTCTTGTTTTCACACAAACCGATGCTTACAGTTGGTTTTTTTTTTAGCTCACTTGATCTGAAAGCTCAAATGAACTTTTCTGATCACCTGCTGTCTGGCATACATCTGTCTGTAAACTTTTCACATTTTTGACTTTTTCTAAAGAACCACTGGGCCAATTTTAACCAAAGTAATCACAAAGCATCCTTGGGTAAAGGGGATTCTAAATTTCTCAAATGAAGGGCTAAACCCTCTTCCAAGCAGAGATAATCAAGAAAAGACAAAACTAGAGTAGAGTCATTCTCCTCAAGAACCACTGGGCTGGAAGAAGCTTCCTGACATAGTGTAGATTCTAAATTGTTCAAATCATGGCTCCCAGGCCCACAACATTGGATCAAATTTTTACACTGAAAGAACTATATACGGTAAGGGCGTATTCCTGCCCCCATAATAGTCAAATTTTGAAAATCTCTTGAAATGAGAAAAAGTGCATACATTGTATAAAATAATCCAAATTAAGACAATATATTGTGAAATTGGAAAAATTAGCTGGCTTTTCTTGTCTCTGTAACGTCACAAACTATTTGGATTTCCGTTATTTTTAAATAGAGGCCAAAATGCACAGAGTTTGTTCAATTTTGACTATAGTTTTTATAGAGCGCAAGCTTGCTCAGGTACCATATTCACATATTTCATTGATATTATCATTCTACACATTATATCAAAAGATCTAGTCTGAGCAGACCTGCGCTCGATAATTTCCAATCAAAATACCGACGTAAAATACGCTATTTTCTCTCAAAATCATTGCAATTTGGAATTTACGTCATTTTATTGACGTCATATCTAACTAATGATGTCATAGTTGATAAAAATATTTAATGCTTTGAAGTCTGCAAATATTCACCTGGTTTAGAACATAATTAAAGATTTCTCCATCAAAGTTTTATTTTGGGGGCAGATACTGGCCACTACAGAATATAGTCCTTTAAGAAAAAGCTTTTTCTCAAGAATCACTACACCAGAAAAGATGGAACTTATGTGAAAGCTTTCTGAGGTAGTGTAGATTCTAAATTACACATATCATAGCCCTTGGAGGTAGGACAGGGCCACAACTAGAACCACTAGACCAGAAAAGATGAACTTATGTGAAAGCTTCCTGAAGTAGTATAGATTCTAAGTTGTTTAAATTATGGACCCTGGGGGTAAGGTGAGATCACAATAGGGGATCAAAGTTTTACATGCGTGGGGTTATAAAAGAAAATAATTAAACTACAAGAGAAACACTGATTTGCAAACATTCCCAAGTTGTGAGGATTTATTTTTTTCTTCAATTATGGACCCCAGCTTGGAGGTGGCTAAAATCAGGTCAAATTTGACATAATGCAAATATACAGAAAAAAACTTTCTTTTCCATAGCAGCAAGACTATTTTAGTCATATTGATATTAAAGCATCCCCATTTTGTATGTAAATCAGAGACCCCTTAAAGTTAGGTTAGGGACATAATAATTTGGGGGGGGGGGGAGGGTCACAATTTTTACAAGATGCCCATGGGTCACAATGCTCACCTAAGTAACCTTGGCCCTTCTGTTCTTTATCAGATTATTTTCCCTATAAATTCTATGTAAATCTCACATGTTGTGGCCAAACACTACCCCTGTGGGTCATTTTTTTTAACAAACTTGAATCTACACTATCTGAGGATGTATCCATATCAATATGACTAATCATGCCTTTGCTGTTCTTGAGATGAAGATTTTTAAAGTTTTTTTCCCATATATATTTATTCCCATGTAAAATTTGAATGCCCATTGTTGCTCCATTTTACCCCTGGGTGTCATTATTTAAACAAACTTAAACTACACTACCTGGAGATGCTTCCATATCAATATAACAAATCATAAGTTTGATGTTCTTAAGATTTTAAAGATTTTTCCTTTGCTTTTCTTGAGAAGAAAGTTTTTAAAGATTTCACCTATATGTTCACTATGTAAAACTTTGATTGCCCATTGTAACCCCACCCTATCCCCAGGGATCATGCAAGATTTGAACAAACTTGAATCTACAACACCTATGGATGTTTCCAAATAAATGTGAATGATCATAGGTTGGCTGTTCTTGAGAAGAAGATTTTTCAAGATTTTTTCTATACATTCCCATGTAACTTTGAATGCACACAGTGGTCTTAACCTACCCCAGGGGGCAAGATTTGAACAAACTTGAAACTACCCTATGTCAGGATCTGTCATATGAGTTTCATTCTTTTCTGGCCTATTAGTTCTTGAGACTTATAAATGACCCACCAATTTTCACTATTTTTTTCATTATCTCTTCTTGGAAAAAAATTGGAAAAAAAAACATGAATCCCCTTTACCCAAGAACGCTCTATGCCAAGTTTGGCTGAAATTGGCCAGTAGTTAATGTAAGAACATGAAAATGTGAAAAGTTTACAAAGACAATAATGATGACAGACAATGAACAAATTTTGTTCAGAAAAGCTCACTTGAGCCTTCAGCTGAGGTGAGCTAAAAATCCATAAATATGGCTGGAGTTTTTCAGGTCAGCTTTGTGGCCAATGGACCTCTTCTTATGTTTAAAACAACTGATTTATAATTTAATTAATATCTGAATCCAAAATCATGATCATACTTGTATTTCAGGCACATTTCACACACAAGATCTATGGCTTTCTCTTCCATGATTGCTGGTCTGGATTCTAGAAACGTTTTATACTCCTCAGGGTTTCCTATAAAAAAAAAGATCACCATGCACTAATACCACAAATTTTTGCAGATTAAATCATTTTTTTCCATTGCCACTATGGGTTTCATCACTCTCACACAGTGATTCCATTTTCTGTTTCTTTAACATGTTAGAAAACCTTTAGGGAGGCATCTGATTGGATGCTATGATCTGTAAAGAACTATATATGATAAAGGCATATCCCTCCTTCTTTTTAAAGTCAAATATTGTAATTCTCTTGAAATGTGCACAATTGCATATCTGACAAAGAGTAAATCTGAATAATAAAATGCACAATTATTGGGAAAAAATATTAGCATTTTTGTCTCTGTGATGTCACAGACTATTGAGATTTCCGATTATTTTTTGAAAAAGCGAGAAAAATCCACATTTTTTACTCATTACAAATTTTTAATATGCACAAACTTGCTAAAAACTATTTTTACATATGACATTGATATCATGCTAAACATTATATCAAAAGATGGGGTCTGAGAGGACCTGCAATCAATATTTTCCAATCAAATTATTAATGTTAAATCACACTACAGTCTGAAAGTATTTTCTTTTGAAATCATTGAAATGTTGAATTTACATCACTTTTTGGCATCATATCTAACTTATGACATCACAGAGGATGAAAATATTTAATGGTTTGAAGTCATCATATAGTCCTTTATAATAAACAAAAACTTAGGAAATTCATTTTTGCAAAGAGAAAAAGGTTGCAAAAAATATGCTCTTCAGTTAACAAGCCATGTGACTTTCAACAATTAAAAAAAATTGAAGTTGGTGAAATAAACATGTAGGTTCCACAATTTCTGCATGCTAGAAACCGGTATCGACCAATCAAATTCCTTTAATTGTCAATAGACACAAGGCTTGCCAAGTGTGTATTGACAGTTAAAAAAGTTAAGGAATGAGCATTGGGAAAAAAGTTATTACTTGAACACATTTATGGAAACATTATCACTGCATGAAACACAAATATTACAATTAAATATAAAGAACAATGTGATGTCATGATACAGTTATTACTAAAGTTGAAAAGGTCAAAAGTCAAGGTCATGAAGTAAAAAATTACTAGTAATAATTGAAAAGTTTTGTCATCAGTAATGCACATGTGAAATATAAATTAAAGCCATATATATCCTTAATCTTCTCTCATTCAAGAGTTATTAACAAAGTTAAAATTTTTAAAAAGTAGGGCAAACTCCATGATCAAGGGGGTCAAAAATAATTGTGCATTTTGAAAGGTCTTATCAAAGGTAATTCACATGTAAAATACGAAAGTCTTATCTTCTCTGATCCAAAAGTTATGACCAAGGTTAAAGTTTTTGTGACAGACAGACATATGGACTGAACGAATGAGATCTAAAGTCCCCGCCCTTTTGCGAAAGCAGGGGACAAAAAAGAATCACTGCACTGGAGTGATGAAACATACAGCAGTAATGGAGATAAAACAGTAACTAACTTACACAAGTCATGAGGAAGTTAATTAGCCAAGAGATTACCATCAGATAAGGTAAAGACACTGAAATGTATAAATTTTATTCAATGTTTAACAGTGATTTACCTTTTGTTCCATTACATGCACAGTCCATCTCTGCATGAAACTGATTGAAAAAAAAATGACACAAAACATAGCATTTATTTGAAACAAGTACAGAATCATGAATTAATTTTAAAAAATTTATAAATATATTTCTTGAGAAAGAACTTATATATAGTTTTAGTCTGATCTGAAATAGCTTTTTACCTAATTTTCATTAATTAATAAATACTTAATTCTAATGAATGGTTTTACTTCACCTTACCAACACTGTGGCATCAGTGCCTTGAAGTGTTTGAAGTGCAGTTTCTAGGTCGGCTCGCTCCACATGTGGAAAATCATCCACTCCACTGTGTATAAGGAAACATTTAAAGCCTACCACGCCTGCATTTAACATGGGCTTCAGTTCTTTCTGCCATTCAAATTCAAGAAAATACTTAAGTATTCCACACTATTTAACAGCAATTAATTCTGTAATCACTTAAACTCTTTTGGTACACATAGTCACAAATTTTAAAAATTGCTCTCCAGTCATACAGGAATGTGCTCTGTTAAAAGATAGTAACTGATGAAAACACACAGACAGTTAATAGACTGTTTCACGATAACTGCGGTACTGCTCTTTTGCAGGGCAAAATGATATATTTTGGTGAAATATGACGTAAAAGTAATTGTTTAATATACGTCATTTAATTATCTGTCATCAAAAACTTCGCCAAATGTTGTAACATGTATTTAGCCCTGCAAAAAAGAAGTACCGCAGTTATCGTGAAAGGGCTAATTCAAAATCAATTTTGCAGTATTATAACCATAGCAACCTTTGCCAACCAATGAATAAAAAAATTCCTTCCTTAAAATATGTAACAAGGATTTTTCTCTTTTATTTGGTTGCATTTCAACTTATAATTGCTTTTGTTTTTTGAATGTGTGTCTAATCAAAATGAATAAAATTCTTTTAAATACCTTGTTTCCATTGTAACGTATGTAATAAATGTTTTCCCAATATTTTTATTCATTTATTTTATTTACAGACACTGTCACTTTGCTGTATAGCTGCCAATGTTAATAATGGGTCACTCAATATGGTTAAAAATGCTATTTTTCAGACTTTAGTGAATGTTGCCATGGTAACCATGACACAAATCAACCAATTTTTGTCTGATATCTAAGTTTACAATATCAAATACTTTTGTCACACAAGTTTGAAGAAATTCTGTGACTATGTGTGCCTCGGTTCCTATTTAACGAACTTAAAATCATTACAGGGAATGGATCTTAATACCATGTACATGAATTGAGAAAAATTAACACTATTATTATGAAATTTCTCTCTCTCTTTTTTTTTTACATTCTTCCTTACTTGATGATTTTTTTCAAAGAGCAATCAAGAATGACTTATGTTGAATATCCTCACTTACTGAATTTCCTGGAACTATCCCTCCCCAGAATGCTACATCTACAAAACACTGGTTTTTGGCTGCATCCATTTTTATTCTGAAGGCATCCAGTGTGGTTGTTGATGGAATGGAATTCCTGAAAATTACAGTAAGGATGCCAAATCATCTATGCACACATCCTATACTTTGATGAAAAAATTATTTTATTTTCATCATCAAGACTTCCATATCAATCCAGAACTTACAGTGGCATGTCAACAATGGTAGTTATTCCCCCTGCCGCTGCAGCTCTTGTAGCAGTCGTGTAACCCTCCCATCTTGTCCTCCCAGGCTCATTCACATGGACATGAGCGTCCACAATCCCAGGCATTATCAGCAAATTCCCAACATCCTGCACCTAATAAAAAGTGGATACACTCGCAGTTACATCAGTCTGCTTTAGATGGAATGTGTCTTAGAATTTGGTAAGGACCTGTCCTGAGATAAATATTAATTTAACTACATCTGCATGCATTCCATGTTTGGCATAATAAAACACAGAAAGTTTTGACATATCAGAATTCTTTATTATATTTATTTTATATAGACCTATAGATAAAAAGACTAATGAGAATTATTATTTTGTGTGAAATATCCTTGTAATTCAGATATTAAAAAAACAACAGCAGTTATATACCTCGCTGTAATCCTTCGCATCGAATCCCGCGGTAAGGACCCTGCATACCTGTCCGTTCTGAACCTCTATACATGCAGGTTTGATCTCATCATCCACCAAGACCCTCTTGCTGAAAAACGCTTTCTTTGATGATGCCATCTAAACACGAAGCAGGGCATCCAATGACTTTTAAAAACAATGATCATGAACAAGTAGCCTAGTATCGCTTGCAAACAATATATTTAACATGCAGATAATAAAAAAAGAGAGAGGACCTGGAAACCCCTTGGTTTGAAACGCTGTTATAAAGTAAAACAGTAGTTACTTACCTGTCGCCAATGTCACCGCGGTTGAACCAAAACTAGGCCTTCTTGCAAAATAAGGTCACATACGTGTGTAAAACCCAAGTCGGTTTCAGTCTCACAAATTCAAGTGGCGGATTTAAGGTTAGATTGGCCCCTTTGTCCAGTTTTGGAGGCAGACTAAAGGGAGATTAAAAACTTGTTAAGAAACACCAGGTTTTCAGTTAGAATCATTTTTTTCAGCTTTGTTTAATGTTAATCATGTTAATAGCTGGTTAAAATTGTTCACCAGAAGAATGGTAGGCAGGGGGAAAAAATGGAGGAGAATATTTTGGTAGTTTGGTGAAAGTACTTGACTCAAAAGTGAATTAGTAATACGATGAAGAGATATTCGCTCCTAAATAACAATTTTGACTGAAGCATAACCCCCCCCCCCCTTCAGTACGATATACAAACTGTATATGTTTTAGAATCTTAATGACATAGGATAGGAAATACGATTTAAAACACACAAAACATTAAGTACCCGTTCATGCGAATTGATTAAAGGAACTTGGAAACAGATTTGAAGTTAATATTTTCTAAAATTTTCAGTATGATATTATGACTTACATGTTGATATAGCGTTTTAGACCGATATATCATAAAAGTCCATTTAGATACTTCTTTTATCAGAAAATTATTAAAACTAAGAATTTCAGGACGCGTTTGATTGAGTGACGCTTGTTGTTACATAATATATCATGTAAAACTGAAAGGGGCGGAGGGACAGGGTACCTAGCGCCCCAACTCTAATTAAGAAGTCTTGATAAAACTTATGCTATTTATACAAACTACAATTTTGCGACTGTCGAGTTTCTGAAGGTTTAGGGTTAGAGTGTTCGAGTTAGACTTTGGGTTAAAGTGGTATGGTTTAGACTATTGTTAGGGTCAGTGTTAGGCATCCAAGCACCTTAACAAAGTATAATTTATCCTTAGTATTTAAGGAAAAAAATGTTGTGTATTAATGAAATATATTAAAACTATAGTCCAGAGATGTGAGAATCAAAACAAACTCATCAGAGTTGTCAGTTCGTGTTTAATGATGTGTATTGAGTTAGCAAATCGAACACACCCTGTAAAACGTAAACTACCAGAAATCCAGGCAGTATTATATGAATAGGCGGCACATCCAATGTGACGAATATTTGATATTTTCTTGAAAATGATATTAATGTTGTCCATTTGGACTAATGTAATTAAAGATTTGTTTGAAAATAGCCCCATTGAGTGTAGGTTTGAAACAAATAACTGTGAATTCTAATACATTTGCAATAGATCTGTAATTCACTCGATCTGAACTAAATCCAGAAATATTTCATCTTTACATGTAAGTTCAATTAATTAAAACTCAAGTTATTTTTTGAATAAAAATAGAAATTTAAGATTGTATTCTCGAGCTCTGTCTAGGCCCTCTAAAATTAGCATACATATATAGTCTTTCCGAGATGACACTTTCATCAGTTTAATTGAAGAGAATATCTTTTATCTTACATTACGCAGATTATCAACAGCTTCATTCAAATTTTTCAAAATGGCAAATTTGCAGAGAACTTTTATGAGAAATCAATGCATTTCATTGGTCGATTGTTTCTAAGAACCTGCACTCGGCAAACATTTAAACGGTTGCATGTTTCTAAGAGAAAAAAATATCGACTTATATAATAAGATATATACAAGTGAATGTTTTTTGCAATCTTGTTCGGATGTTCGGCGGTGCAGGTTTTGACCAGAAGTGACTGGATTGTACTCACTTGTTAAAGAATAAAGAATTAAAGGGGGCACCTGGACTTGAAACTTTTTTTCTTAGAATTTTACATTACAGAATTATGTACAAAATGGTTTTCTAAACTTAAAAAACAGTTTTTATTTGAAACCAAACCCAAAATTGTTGGAGGAATGGCGTTTTGAAAAAAAATTCTTTTTTTTTTCTCAAAATTTTGTAACTATGAAAACATTATTAAAAAGAATTATTAGCCTTTGTTTAGGTTGTGCACTTAGTTTTAAAGAAATCAGACCAAGCCTTAGGGAGTACCATTTGTGAAAAAAAGATAATCCAATTTCAGTAACAATTGCAACCTGAAATTATTCAACGAAATTAAACCGATATAATATTACAGTAATATATCTGTTTTTAGTAACCACAGTAATAGCTGCAGAACTGTAGCTCTCTGGTTGAGAAAATTTGGACAGACAAACCAGAGAAATTCGCCTTCCGACGTCCATGTAGGGGTTTTACTAAAGTAACACGCCTTGAACACTGTTGAAAGGTAAATAAAGTATCAGGAATAGGAGTAAAATATATGGTTAATTAATAGTTATCATGATTTAAACGGGGGAACGCACATTATACAAGAAATAACACCCGAAGCGAGGGACAAAAAAGCGTCGCTGTAAATCGAAGGTTTTTACAATGCTTGGATCTGTAGCTCTCTGGTTTGTCCGTCCGATTTTTTTTCAACCAGAGAGCTGCAGTTCTGCAGCTACCACGGTAACAGTGCTCGTCGAAAAAAATTATTGTATCCTAGTGTGGTCTACTTGTGACCCAAATTTTATCGAAATCAAAACAAAACTATAAGAATACTGTGATTTTGAAAGGATTTCACAAGAGAATCTAATTTTAGTAACCATTGTCACTATATATATGTTCGTCGAAATCATAAAACAGTACATGTATACAGAATTATATGGACTTAGATATAGTTCATGCTTTTATACCAGATTTGTAATGATGTAGGTGGAGTAGCGTTTTGAAAGAATTTCATTTTTTGTAACCATGACAACACCTTCGACGAAAATATAGACCGATATACAGATTGAGTTATTCCTAGTATAGTCTATTTAAGTACCAAGTACGTGTTATTGAAATTAATCTTATCAAAAAACTGTCGGAGGAGTAGCCTTTTGAAAAATAAGGTGTATGGACAAATAGACAGACAGACAATGGACATTCCTCAACTGCGTAAGATTTTCTGGTATTTGACCAGAGCTTAAAATCATATTGCCCACTAGATCGCGTTTCACAAATGTTCACATGCGTCTTTCACTCGTGACAAACAGGTAAATTAAATACTATGATTTGCTCCGTTGAATAAATAAACTGAGTAAATATTGACACAAATCCCTAACTTGTTAAAAAAACTATGACGTTTTTTAACGTAGTAGTTGTTTAAGAATTCGGTACAATAGACACCATTATCTAGTCAATAGAGTTTTGTGACCTATTGTTATCGGAGGAGTTTGGTGCTAATTTCTAGGACCTCGACCAACAACAAACCGGACAGTGACCTGGTAAAACATCGTACAGGCATGATTCTGGTCAGGGTGTGTTTGTTCTGTATTTTTATTCAGTTTGGAGTTCCCCAAAACGAAGGTAAGCAATCAATTCGTGGACAACCTCCGGAACAATCAGTATATATAGTCATTTTGTATCGACAAGTGATGATTACCGGTGTGTTATTATGTTATGTAATGTTATGTAATGGATGCAAACTTCATAATTTTAAAATTCTTATATCATTGGACCATGGCATGCATTTGATTATAATACATCTACATTCAAAAGTTGGCACCTTCATGGTGATCTACTTCATAAACTGAAAAGAGAAAAAATATGTGCTGAGCAAACTATAAGTTTGCATCTTCTTTCCATGTTTTTTTTTTCAAACTCTTAATTAAAATATCCAATATCTCTTGAAAATCCCTTTTAGCTCCCCCCTTTGAACGCCTTTTTTTCTATATAAGCCCCAAAAGAAGCCGATAAAAATATAACACATCTGATTAAATCCAAAAAGCTTAATATTTACGGTCCACTCACCCACTCATGATTTGACGATCGAATGCAACGATCAAAAAGTTTTGTCCTGGATACAATTGTAGGATAAGCATGTACGGGAGAGAAGAATTTTTTTTAAAAATGATAAAACAGTATGACTCTCTCTCTCTCTCTCTATATATATATTCCTGGAAGGAGGGAGGGGCGTAAAAATGTTCATAAGTATCGTCCGACATGTGTTAAAGTTAAATCGAGACTTTTTACATACATTAATATTTTGGAGAATAGTATGATATGTACTGTTTTGTAGATTGAATATTCTATCGTTAAATTGAATTTGTCCCGACCATCGCAAGACAGATTGCTCCAACCATTTTCGTGTTCAGGAGTAAAGGGCATATTCATTGGCACTCTAAATACTTAAAAAAAAGGAAATATATTTGATATTGCATGATCACTGTGCATGCACATTGCATCAGATTTGCTGGACGACCGGGGTCGTTAGACAATCTAAGCGATATGTAAGGCCTATACAGAGGGAGACAATTTAGCCCACAATTGTCATGTAAGTGACAACAGCTGTCTTTTGCGCTCTTTTAAGTACATTCACAATTTTATTCAATGGATTTACTTAACAAATGAAATGTTAGACATTTTTGTATGGAAGCGCATAAAGATACGAATGCAGATATTGAAATGTACAGTATTTCATAACAATTGTTATAACATGTCTTAGCCCGAGTCATGCAAGACATTGTAAAGACGCTGTAAAATCGCAAATTTTCGTGGGGTCAGTTTTTTTTTTTATAATTAGAGAAAAAATACTGGTTCATGGAGATTTGATTACATAGAAATCGCTTATCACCTTATACACACCAACCAAAAAAAATTTAACTTCTTCCGTAATATAACGGAATATAGTATAAAATTCTTGAAACAAAAGAAAAAATATTATGCATTCCTTATATTGAACATATGATTTTCCAGGGTGGTGGAAAAAGCAGAATTCACTATAATACACATTATATATATCAAACAATACATCACCCAAAGCATGACTTATGTGATATCAATGATTATTTTTTTTACATAAAATAAATTGACATTTTCAGAACCCAGCCATTGGCTTAGATTGGCAGAGGATGAACTGGAAACCGCGCTAAAAAGAACAACAAACACAAACAGAGCGAAAAATGTGATATTGTTTATTGGAGACGGTATGGGTCTGACCACTGTCACCGCAGCCCGGATATACAAAGGTCAACTGAACGGGCAGCCGGGGGAGGAGAGTGTCCTGGAGTTCGAAAAGTTTCCAAATGTCGGCTTATCTAAAGTAAGATAGTGATCTTTATATACCGACTAATAAAATTAAATAGCTTGATACTCTATTATATACTTCTTCTTTTATAATAGACATACCTCCCCGACAGACAAGTGGCGGATTCAGCCGCCACCGCCACAGCGATGCTGACCGGTGTAAAGACAAACTGGTACAATGTGGGGGTGACGGGGGAAGCCAAATTTGGGGACTGTAATTTTCCTAAAGAAGCCGAGATAGACACCATTTTTCGCCAGTCAGAAATGGAAGGTGAGTCAAAAAAAATGTGTCTTTTAGTGTTTTGTTAAATCTGTAAACACGTACTTTACCACTAAGTGGCGAAGTGCTTATTCCCAAGTTGGACTTTACCCTGATAAACACAAAAAACCCATTCCATATAATAATATATTAATACTTTTTTTTGTTCTTCACTCATTTTAGACTCGCCTCTCATTTCAATCATGTCCGTCGCCTGCGTGGCGCAGTAATAAGAGCGCCTGCTCTAGAGTCGCGGAGTAAGGAGTTGATCCTTACGTCGCGGATTCGAATCCCACTGCGGGGAGTGGAGACTGGTCCTTCGGATGAGACCGTATAAACCGAAGTCCCGTGTTGCAGTAGGTGCTGGCACGAAAAAGATCCCTCACTACTCAATTGCCTTGAGTGCCGATAATATAGGTAAAAATTTGTAGCCCTCCATCGGCAAGTGGTGGCGTCTCCATATGAGTAAAAAATTCTCGAAAGGGTCGTTAAACAACAAACAATCAATCATGCCCACTGAAATCACGTGATCACGTGTTTCCGCGGATTAAATGTATGAATAAAATTGGCAAAAATATATATGCCTGTTCATGTATATATTTCTTTTGTCCACTACGTCTGTAGTACATGTGTTCCCGTCCGTATGGAAATTTAAATTAGATTACCAGGACCATATTTAAGGAAATTCTTAAAATGCATTTCGAACGCGATGCTACTGGCGAACATAAAAGTGAGAGCCTATATTAGAAATACAACAGCTAAATTGTATACTTCACATGGACACGATCTGACAGTTCAACATTTGATATATTGATATATATTGTTTAATATCTTAGGAAAATCTACTGGAATTGTTACAACTTCTAGAATAACGCACGCCACGCCCGCTGCAGCTTACGCCAAAGTCCCACAGCGTTATTGGGAGACGGACGCAGACTTAATATGGTACAACGTGACGGGACGCTGTACAGATATAGCACGACAACTAATATACAACAACAATGAAATTGACGTAAGCCAAGATTTCAAAACAACTTTAGTCATTATTTTATAATCCAAAGTCACAGATACTTGAGGACAGCCCCCCTAACCCTAACCCCCCATCCGATAAAGACCCCGGACCTTTTCGATTTTTCTCATAAATTATCTTTCAATGACATATTTGTTTTTTGTTTTTGTTTTTGTTTTTTGGATAATTTTTCGAATTGATAGCATGGATTATATATCTCAAACATGTCATCGAAAGATAATTTATGAGAGAAAAAAATCAAAATGCCCAGGGGTCTTTATCGGGGGGTGGGGTGGGGGGTCCTGTCCTCAAGTACCTGTGGTCAAAGTACCATACTATCTAATTGTTCGATTCATTTCATGAATAAAAGAAAGTTGGCATCTTTGTTTAGGTGATATTTGGAGGCGGTAGACGAGCATTTTTCCCTAGTACAACGAAAGACCCAGAAACAAACTCTAGCAATCTGCGAAAAGACGGGATTAATTTAATTCGGGTATTTAGTATATTGATGCACTAGTGAGAATTATTATTGATGAAAATAAATAGTTACCTTAAAAGTAGATAAATCACATACATAAATCAAAATAACTTGAGTCTCCAGGAATGGAAGACCATTATGGAAGATACAGGGCAGAGTTATATGTATGTGGAGAACACAGAAGAGTTCCAGTCTATCGACCCTTCTGCCACAGATAAAGTTCTGGGTTTGTTATGTATTCATATTTGTGGGAGATATTGATATCATATCAGTATATTATTTAATTCAAGAGGGATTTCTCTTTACACAAAATGATCACTTCACATATGAACATGTACTTTTTCTTGCATGAATCACTGCATGGTAAAATGTACAATCTGCTCCCCTTTCTAAAGGGAGAACTGAGATGAATGGCTCGAAAAGGAATGTATTTTGTAGTGAATAAGGAACAAAGACTTCTTGTATATATAGAAATTTAATTTAAAACTAGTTAAAAGATGATTTCACACAGTAAAAATAATCATAAAAGAAAAAGAAAATGCACCTGTACAGTTTCCAAATTTCGTTCCACACAAGCGCTTTCTGGATTTAACAATCCATCTTCACCTGAATCCAGAAAGCGCTTATTTGGAATGAAATTTGGAAACTGCATTTTCTTTTATGATTATAGATATTTATATAGATATTTATTTATATAATGTATGAAATAGGATTGTTCGATAGAAGCAATTTGCCGTACGAACCAAACCGGAATAAAGGGCCGGATGGAGACCCCTCTCTTCCAGAAATGACGAAAAAGGCCATCGAAATCTTGCAGAAGAACGAGAATGGGTTCTTTTTATTAATTGAAAGTAAGTTTATCAAATTGTTTTGATTTTTTAGAATATAAGATACTTGGTTAAAGACATCATATAGTTATTTTGCGCATACAAAAGCGGCTAGATTGACTGTTTTTTGTTTCTATCCCATATTAATGTGGATTTTTTTTTATGTTCAGGTGCCAGAATCGATCATGGACATCATGATAACAAAGCTAAGCTTGCTCTTATGGAGACTCTTATGTTGGAAAAGTCTGTAAAAGTGGCAACGGAAATGACCAGTGTAGAGGACACACTTATCATTGTGACAGCCGACCACTCTCACGTGTTCAACATCGCGGGATATCCAAAACGAGGCAATGATATCCTAGGTAATAAAAAAAAAGAAATAAAATTCTTAATTATCTCTCAGGAATTTTAATTTATTTTCATTATTGCGAGTAGTAAATCGAAAACAGTGTGTATAATTCTGCAGGTGTTGTTGAGCCCATTCCGAGAGCTTGGTATCCTACAGACAACAAAGCCTTCACCACCCTAATGTATGCTAATGGACCTGGTGGTATCTTACCCAACAAATCAAGACATGACCCCAAAAAAGTTGACACAAGTTAGTTAAATTCATTTCAACTCAAGAAAAAAACAGAATTAATTTATACACAACCATTAACATTTTGTTAATGGTGTCTTTTGCATATACAAATTTAGACTTTTAATGATACTGAACGTCACCATTCAGAGCTTGGAGTTTTATTATGAGGAATACAGGATTTGTTATCAAATAAAAAGAAACTTTGATGATCTCTGACCGACCAGGATGATCTTTTCAAAGTGAGTTCATTCCAATTTAAAGTGAGTTGATCGGGGGGGGGGGGGGTGCAGTGGAAATTATGACCTTACAATAGAAATATTCTGTTCAGCCTAAAAACAAACGCTTATTAAAGTCATTATGGCCTTACTGTTCTTCATCGGCAGATTTTTTCGAATCCCAATATATTTGTATGAAAATTAGTATCACTTATTGTGGCCCAACCCTACTCCAGGGGCTCTTTATTTAAAAAAAAAAACTTGAATCTACACTTCCTTATGATGCTTCCATATGACTTATCTTGGCGTTTTTTTTTCTATGTAAAACTTTGATCATCCATTGTGGCCCCTCCCTACAAACGGGAGTCATGATCTGAAGAAAACTGAATCTTCACTATCTGAGGATGTTTCCATATATTTATGACTAATCATGACTTTGCTGCTCTTTAGAACAGATTTTTTTCTTTTCTGTACGTCAAAGTTTTGCGATTGTGGCTGCACTCTAGCCCCAGGGATTTGAGCAAATTTGAATCTACGCTACCTGAGGTTGTTTACATATGACTGCATGGTCATAGCTTTGCTGTTCATGAGAAGATTTTTCCTCTAGATTCCTATGTAAAATTTGGCCCCACCCTACCTCTGGCTCGGGGGTCATGATTTGCACAAATTTGAATATACACTGTTAGGGGCCCAGTGTTTCTTGAAAAGATTTTCTAAATGACCCACCCAATTTTCACTATTTCTAAATCATCTTTCCTTGAAAGAGGGTGTGGCACTTCATTTGAACTTTGAATCCCCTTCACTCAAAAATACTCTGTTCCAAGTTTAGTTGAAATTGGCCTAGTGGCTCTGGAGAAGAAGACGAAATTGTGAATTGTTTAAGACGACGACAACGGACAAATTTCGATCACAAAAGCTCACTTGAGCCTTTGGCTTAATCCTTAATTATTTAATCTATTGATTTTGGTTTGATCATTCAGGTATTGATTAACCTCAGAATATGTCGTAGTTTTTGTTGTTTATTTTCAATCTTGTAAAAACTCTTGATTTACAATATTATAAAACTTGGTATATTTTACAGCTGCTGATAACTACGTTCAGACAAGCGCCGTGCATTTGAAGGTGGAGACACACGGAGGCGAGGATGTCCCAGTCTATGCAAGCGGTCCCTGGTCCCACCTTATACACGGCGTGCACGAGCAACATTACATCTATCACGTGATGTCACTAGCTTCATGTGTGGGTACACAAAAGACAAAGTGTTCAAAATCTATAAATGCTGGAAAGACTTACAAAACGAATTCCACCAAAATATTGAGTATAGTGACAGTTTTATTTATGTTTTTAACTCATTATGATATGATCGTAGAATGAAAAGACGTTTAATTTTACATGTATATGATGACCTAAAATCTTTTTATGTTTAAATGTAATGAATTTACAAGTATAAAATGCGGTGCATTTCTTTTCTTTTTATTTGGAAAGGGGGGAGTTACAGGATACGTTAAGGGTTCAGCAGTTTCATAGATTCACTAATACTAAGACCGCTAAAAAAATAAGAAAGAAAGAAAAAAGAAAAAAAATCAATGAAATATATCTCAAAAGTCTTTTTTTATTTGAGATTTCAAGCTTGTCAGAGCTCCTTGATCATTAGTATGCATGTGCTGGTAACTCATAGTCACTTGTGTAAAGAAGCTGTCGTCGGTCTTATCCCCCTTTTTTGAATTTGATTTTTTCCTTGCATATATTTTCTCATAAATTAATAGATTTGCACTGGTTTATTGCTAAAATAGTGGCAGACAGTGAATTCAAGATTTACAAAACATGTTATATGTTATTTACATGTACATGTATATCAAATCGTGTAGTTTATGATACTCTCTTTACATTCGTGTTTAGCTTAATGTGGCTATTTTGTACAAAAGGTATTCTAAAAGGGATACCATGTTTTAGCATAAGATTTGTAATTTTGTAACGAGATCATTTCATTTTATAAGAATTTTATATAAGAATTGATGAATAAATTTCAATATAGCGAAAATATGCGAATGTTTTTTTCTTAGGAAGTTACGTCAGTAGTGTGTGACTGACTTCGTTTACAAATTGTCCGACGTTTGGTAATGTAGACAATTGGGCGTGTCTAAAATAGTTCTAATTAATGCAGCACGTAGATACAATTTTTAGCGTAAGGATGAATTACCTTTGAGTGTTGAAGAAACTGTCAAAATGGACCTTTTACTGTATCTGTGTCTTGTTTTAGTGAGTTTGCAGGTTTCAGACGGAACACATCGTCAAGGTATGTGTATTATTAACACAACCTTCATAATACAGGTATTTAAAACAGAGAATTAGATATTCGTCTCTTTAGATTCAATCAAAATGATATATGCTGGTTTTAAAATTTAGATTATATAATCATTATATTTGTCGTGACTAAAAATTATTACTACGTAGACAAGTTTATAAATAAAGGCATGTGTAAGCTTGAGAATTATCAATTTAAACCCGTTCATTTGTACAGTTTTAATTGTAAAATTTCCTGTAGTCAATCCAATCTGAAAACAAAAAACATTGAATGTACTGTATTGCAAATTGTGATCAAAATATTTAATAAGAGTTCTTAAAAAATTGTAAAGGTGTTAGGGAGCAGGGGAAATATGACAAGTCGATATGGTATGATACACTCTAAATTAATGACAGCGAATTTATGCCCAACAGCGCCATGTAACTAGAACAATAAGAAAAGTATTTCATTAATAAAACAAATGCCACATTGTGTTGCTGACATTCACATAAATCTGTTAACCTCGCTTTTCCCGTTTTTGCACATTGAAGCAGTCACTATACCAATATAATATTAAAACATAAACTCAGTATATATCAATTATAACAAAACATTGAATATTTATATATCTACTTAAATGTACTAAAATGTAATTGTACTTCCAATTTTTTTTATTGCCTATTTTGTTTTTAATAAGTACACGTTTCACGCACTGTTTAAAATAGACACATAACTGCTTATTTTTATTTGATGAAGAACGCAGTGTATGTTTGTGAAATATAATGATTAAAATGCACATGATTATAAACGTGAGACTATGTTCTTTAAAAAGAAAATTTGCTGCATTTTTTATTAGATTCGGTTCCTGTTGAAAGACGTACTGTCCCTCGTAATCAAAATCTGCAATAAAACTATACTGTGAACAGGTGCAAGTCCAGTATATGATGATTAATTAACAGAAATGTCTAAGAAAGACGGCAATCTGCAAATAAAGGGGATAGGGTCTCATGCGGTAATTTTGGTCTTAATTAATTAGATGCTAGTATATACGCACAATGGGACGGGAATCCGGGAGCGAATCAAGGAGTCAATTTGTGTGTTGGGGGGTGGGGGGGGTGGGGGGGGGGTTAGAAAAGTTAAATTATAACAAAAGAAACTAACAATAGTTATGGTATATATGAGTTTGAAAACATAAGTTTTATCAAGGCTTTTTACAATTTTTTCTTCGTCACTCGGTTGTATCAGATTTTCACATATGATTCCTAATATTAAATCGTAGCCTTGAAATCATATTCATAATCATTACGAACATTAAAAAAAAATACCAAAAACAAACAAACAAAACAAAACAAACGAAACAAGACCACAGCAATAAAAATATGAAAATTCTCCTGATAAAGAAAAATGAAAATTTATTGAATTCTAAATACACCTGGCCTCAAGACCATAAAATGAGAACAGAATAAAGTCAAAATTTTGATTTTGAATATCGAGTTTTATTTAACATATATGCTTAAAAATGTGCAGATTTATATTATATTCAAGTTTAAATATGAGATAAAAATTTTGTTTCATTATCAAAATTATTTCAAAAGTTATACTGATTTGAAATTTTGACTTTAGTCAGTTCTCAGTTTATGGTCTTGGGGCCTGAGATGTACTTTACAAAAGTACACCAATGTTCCCAAATTAAGTAGTTCTCAAAAAAAAAAATGCACTGTCTCTGTTCTGAAATAAAAGAAAAAAAACATGTTCTCTATCATAATTACCTTTTTTAAATTACGGTATATTGTTTGGAACGCTCTCAGTGCTTTTGTGCATTTTTCAGTGTAAACTGTTTGGAAAGACATCAGGTGGTGTCTGTGAATCGGCACACAATTAATGAAAAGGCATCAAAACTAGTCTTCTCCCAGCATGGCATGTCAAACGTTGCAATATTCCATCTTTTCCATTTGCATTGTATTATTTTCCATTTGTATTGTATAACTTTTATTTGTATTGTATAATTTTCCATGTGTGTTGTATAATTTTCCAATTTTCCATTTGTATTCTATAATTTGTCATTTGTATTGTAATTTTTTTATTTGTATTCTATAATTCTCTATTTGTATTGTATAATTTTTATTTGAATTGTATACTTTTTACCTATATTGTATAATTTTTGTTTGTATTCTATAATTTTCCATATGTATTATATAGTTTTCCATTTGTATTGTATAATTTTCCATTTGTATAATTTCTCTTTTGTATTGTATACTTTTCCATTTGTATTGTAAAATTATACAATACAAATGGAAATTTATAGAATACAAATGGAAAATTAAACAATACAGATGAAAAATTATATAATACAAACAAAAATTATACAAATGGAAAATTATACAATACAAATGAAAAAATATACAATTCAAATGAAAAATTATAGAATACAAATAAAAATTATACAATACAAATGAAAATTATACAATACAAATAAACATTATACAATACAAATGGAAAATTATACAATGCAAATGGAAAATTATACAATATAAATGGAAAATTATACAATATAAATGGAAAAGATCGAATATTGCTATGTTTGACATGCCATATCCCAGGATTCCTTGCACTATGCGAAAAATACAAATCCACGGATAATTTACGATTTAGCGTTTTGCACATTTGCACTTATTTTGTGATTCTGTAACCTATTTCTTTTCTATTGTTAAAGTGGCAGTAGAATCAAATTGCAATTCAAAAAACCTTGTAGGATACTATATGTTACACAATGTACCAATCAAATTGCAATTAAATGGAAAAAAAACTTGTAAGATACTATATGTTACACAATGTACCAATCAAATTGCAATTAAAAAAAAACCTTATAGGATACTAGATGTTACCCAATGCACCAATCAAATTGCAATTAAAAAAAACTTGTAGGATACTATATGTTACACAATGTACCAATGAGTCAGTCCAACTTAATGTTCCTTGTGATGATTCTACAAGTCATTTGCCACCTTATTGAGGAACATTTTCCCCCTCGGAAATTTAGATCAGATATCGACTGTGTTGTAAATCTTGAACCATGGAAGGGGGGGAGGGGGTCGTAAAAATTTTTCGTTCTTTTAAAAGCTGTAGAAATACAACGATATACGCGTACTGACAGGTACACGTAGCTAAATTCTGAAATAATTTTGAATTTCAAAGTAGCACTTAAAACTCCAACGTTACGCTGGAAGAGAACAGCGGATTCTTGGGCTATATGTTTTTGACAAACATTTGTGTTAATTAAATAGTACAGATTAAATACAGCATTGTTAGATACTAAAGACTTAAAGACAGTAATTGTTAGATACTTACTATTTGTAAATACATGTATTTTCATGATGGGGAGAAACAAATTCAGAAATACATCAAGTTGATCAATCTTATAAACGGCTCAGCTTTGTCTTGTCTTCTATTATGCGATTGAAGAATCTGATATATTTCTATAGTCGTTCAGCTACGTACATGTACGTAAGAAGTAATAATAGATCGATTAACTAGTATAATTTTCATTTTTTTTTGTAACAACACCCCTCCTCCCAAATTTTATTTCTAAACCTTTGAAATTGTAGGAAAACCTGATTGGTTTGGACATGCGCAACGGGAGCTCCATGAAGCGCTTATTCGTAATTATAACACCAACAAGGCCAAAAATGTCATCCTTTTTATCGGGGACGGTATGGGTATGTCCACGGTTACAGCGGCGCGGATTCTGAGGGGACAGTTAAATGGCAGTCCCGGCGAAGAAAATCTTCTGGAGTTTGAAAAGTTCCCCCATGTTGGTCTAGCAAAGGTATTCAGTGTAATTGCAGGATTTTTCTTCATCTGCAAGAAGTAACATTTTGTTTTGCTTTATGTTTGCCTGATTTTTGTAAGGTTCATCGTCCCTCTCAGTCATACAAAATTTCGCTTTCACACTAATGATTTTCCAAAAGAAACCTAATTTATAATTAAAGTGCACAGAATTTCAACACACCTTGCGGGTCAAAATTTGAATTTAAATGGCCTTTTAACTTGACATTTTTATAAAGGAATAATACTGAGAGTTATCTTTCTTATCAGAGGGTCGATGGACCTTAAATCCATGATTTTAGGTACATGGTACATGTATATCGAAAATATAAAATCACTGCATGTATTTTTCTCCGCCATAAATATGGCTGGGGCATAAAGTGTTTGTCCTGTTTATCTTCAGTTCTTCGTCTGTCTGTCCGTCACTCTTGGCGTTGATCTCAGGTTTAAAGAGACTGTTGACAATCTTTTTATTAAAGTATGTACACTGACCATGATCTTCCGTAATACGTTCTATTTCCACTATGGAAGAGTTATACTTCTTAGTGCGCTCTTTTGTGAAAAAGTCGGAAAATGTACAAATCTCGCGGGATTTCTGGGACAAACGTAACATAAAAATGTAAACAATATGTTGAATGTCGATGAACAAATCCTAAGAAAATGCAAATGAAATATTTTATTGTTGTGAACTTTATATACATCAAGAGTAGGAATGACAACGATATCAAATTATATCTATTGTTGATCGTATGTATCTATTCATCGTATGGTACCTCTAAATACAACACACATGCCTCGGAAATGTCGTATTTTTTAATTAATGGATGATAAATTTAGGGTTGTCCCTTTCTTACATATGTCTTTTAGTTCTTCTATTCTTTAATTGGAATGACAAATACATTTAACATTTAGAATTGGATTGAGATTGGCATGTTTTGTATTATCCGCAACGCCATGCTGTCCCAGTCAGACGACCAAACGCGCCTCTAATTTTGAAGAGTTCACTAATGGAAATAGAACGTATTCGTATAGCCTTCACCACTCTATTCCTTATTTTGCACCTGGTTCATTTTTAAAGAAACTATTCATGAATATCAAATTTCGTACACTGACACATACTGTTGAAAGCTACTCAACTATATTTTTTTTTTAATTTTTTGACATTGACCTTTGTATAATTTTGGTCTTACTATTCCTCATTATACATTTAGCTTAGTTTTTAAGAAACTAAGAAATTTTTGTTATACCCCATTTTGAATATATACGGAGATATACTAGTAGTGTTTTTAGGTCTGTCTTCCGTCTGTCCATCCTTCCGTCCGTCCGTCACACTTTGCGATTAGCTCAGTTTCAAAGAAACTTCTCAAGATATTTTTAATTCAGATTCATACACTAATACATAGTGGTAAGAGGTAGGCAACTTTGGCATAAGTTTCTACTGTGGAATCATTTAAATTCGTGGGGGTCAATGTTCGTGGGCAAGCAACATTTTATTTGTTCGTGGGGATGTAATTTCGTGGGCAGCTCGTTTATTTGGTAGATTTCATTAATCAGTACGTTGACAAAAAAATTGTTCTTGGGGATGTAAATTCGTGGATAAGGGTGACCCACGAAATCCACGAACATTGATCCCCACGAACAATGATGATTCCACAGTAACCTTGACCTTCCCAACCACCTTGACCCCACTATTCCTCAGTTTGCATTTATCTTAGTTTCAAAGAAATTGTTTATGATATTTTCATCAAATTTCATACAAAGATACAAATTGATGAAAGCTGTTCAGCTGCTCAACAAGAGAGAAAATTTGAAACCACTTAAACTTAAAAGCTTCATTCAATTGTTATACTGCATACTATGCTATAAAACACAATTGCTGTATTTAAGGCATTGATTCTGTTTATGAAAAAAAAACCCCGAAATTATTCCTCCGTTCAACACATTTAACAATAAGACGAGAGAAGCAAGGGAAACTTCATTTTATATTGCAATACAAGTGTGCCTTGGACGTGGCATTCATGTCCTATGGATATATTTTTAGTGGTTGGTATTTCATTTTAGAACTATTCAAGCAAATTTCGGTGATTTGTCAATAAACAGAAAATGGAATTAACTTCACTTACTTTACACAAGGTATATTCCAGCGACAGACAGACGCCAGATTCAGCAGCCACTGCAACTGCGCTACTATGTGGGGTCAAGACAAACTCTCAGCTGATTGGATTAGACGATTCGGCAGTAGTCGGAAACTGCACTAGTCAATTTGGCGCCGAAATCAATTGCATGAATGATTGGTTTGAAGAACAAGGTATATTTTCATGTAATTACAGTTTTTTTCGTTTTATTTCACAATGTTGATCCTTGATTGCCAAAAAACCCCATTCTCCAACCAATTTATTGTTTAGGTAGATCCATGGGTATTGTCACCAATACAAAGTTAACACATGCTACTCCTGCGGCTGGATATGCGCACGCAGCCAGTCGTGTTTGGGAAGGCGATGTTCATATGCAAGGAGTTCCTGGTGGCTGCAAGGATATTGCTCACCAACTGGTCTACAACAACTCAAATATACAAGTTAGCTTCTGTTGTCAAATGAATGCAAAACAAAAATCTTTATTACCTAGAAAATTGTAGGAATTGTACATTAAAGTGGACATGGTAGATTTAATTCTATTTGTTTAGGTCCTATTTGGTAGAACCTCTGGAATATTTCATTAAAGTAGACGTTTCTGTTTAGGTGTTGTTCGGCGGAGGAAGACAATATTTTATTAGAAACAGACAACAAGACCCCCAGTATGGTGACGCATTTATTTCATTTCAAAGACAAGACGATCTGGATCTCATTGAGGTATAAATAGGAATGCTCTTTGTATCAGTTACCTGTAGATTGACTGGAAAACAGATGATTGGTAGAAAATAATGCGCTGATGAGAAGTGCAAACTTAAGGTGCCAATGATCTGTCAAAATAGCAGAAATATATATATATATATCTTTCGTTCGCTTTTGTGAGATCAGTATGAAACTATAGATACCGAGACGGTGACAGACGACATAAGGGTAAAGGGCAGTTGTTATTGACTGTAATCGGAGAGCATTTTACACAGAAACCTGTTTTGACCTTGACCTTTTACCTGGAAACTTTCATTAAGGTCATTGCACATCCATTACCTACGGTCACTCTATCGGAGAAAAATAAGCCGGAATATGTCAAGGAGAAAGAAGATATAAGCCGTTCAAGTTATATCGGAAGGGCAGACATACGGACAGACAGAATGATCACTATTGGATCCCTTAGAAAGAGCTTACTAACGGGTAACTCATAGAATCATAAAAGCTTTTTAGATTTGTGAAGTGAATACCGAGAACTTCCATGTACGTAATTTCTTTTTTCTTTTAAAGTTTTATGTGTTGAAAAAAAATGTTTACAAGGCTGTGCTTACCATGCTTAGAGACAAACTAAATTAAATAAATTTTAGATCATATATGTTCATCTATATCTGACGTTGACGAATTTGTATATTACGCAGCTATGTTAAGGCTGTCCGAAGGCTTAATATGCATTAGATATATACTATTTTATTTTGAGTCATGTTTTGATTTCAATTTGTAATCTATGTATACATACACAGTTAAGTTGTAAAGAGAGTTGAATAAGGTATTATAAAAAAGGAATTCTGTGATGTCACATGACTGTTTTGATCACGTGACGGACACATACATTTTCTTAAATATTGCTCAAAAATCGCATCGGCACAAGTGAAAAACAAAATTATTGTGAACGGCTTGTTACATAAATCAATTAAACGTATTCTTACGTATATATAAAGTGCTGGGGGCAAGTCTGAATTTTATTTCTTAAGAAAGTATTTCACGAGAAATTCAACTTACCCACATACAAGGGGTCATTTTCCACTCTTCATCGCAATTTATACAAAATGGGATAAATTACATACAATCCCCCAGCAAAATTCAGTTAGAGGTCATATTTTTCTAGTAGATTCACACAGAATATCTTCAATTAATCCTTATTATTCACTTGTGCCAGTCTAATATATACACGATTTATAAATTCTCACTCTGTCTACAGACGCGTAAGGGGGAGCGTTTCACATTTTTTTTTTTGTAATTGTTTGAATACGAACATGTTAGACAAGAAAAAAGAATAACGATATTATACTGCAAATAATCACCATCATAACAGCCTTAAAACAACAATCCAGATACATGAACTAAACATCAAGGTAAAAAAATTCTACATGTGATGTGAAAGGGATGTAAAAGTTATGACACTTTCCCCGTCATGTCTGCTCAAATTTGCAGTGACTTGACGTCATATGCCATTATGACGTCATATCTAGGTAGTTCAGAGAAGTTACTGCGGTTGGTACATTGTGACATTCTTCGGACAGCCTTATCCTAGCCGCGTAGGCTTTTCCGTGTAAACCAGGAATGGGATAGCAAAGCTTTGTTTCCAATATTTTTATTTATATTTCCATCAATACTTTTCAGATCTGGGGAAGAGACAAAAAGTGGAGAAGATACACTCCTAAATACGCCTGGAACAAGCAGCAGTTTGACGCCATTGACCCAGACCAAACAGACTTCGCGTTAGGTATAGAGGACAGGCACTTGTTTCTGTAATAAAAGTAATATTATTATAAACTTTTATTACAAAAACAAGTACCTGTGGTACAGTGAATGAAGTTCTATATGATTAAAAAAAAAAAGAACTACAATACGTAATAAAGAAAAGAAAAAAAGAAAGCCAGAAAAAGAATTCATTCTACCGGGTTTCAAGGAAACATTGGAGTACCCGGTAAACTCAGTATATGTCTGTACTGAAGACGACGTTATTGGGAAAAGGGAATCTTTCCAGGTTACTGAAAAGTCCTCATGAACTGTATATTCACCTACAGCTTGAATAAGACAACTCTTTTCTGCTTAATTATGAGGTGAAACGTAAAAATGTATGAGACCATAAAATTTCAGGTTTATTTAATCCACAACATATGCAGTATGAACTGGAGAGAGACAAGGGCCCAAATGGTGAACCCTCACTGGCCGAAATGACGGACAAAGCTATCAAAATACTACGTCATAATGACAGGGGTTTCTTTCTTATGGTGGAAGGTATGCTAAAAAAATAATTTTGCCAGTGTACTTTTACAGGTTAAAGAGCTTTAATTAGTTTTGGCTGCTGTGATAGAAAATTTTCGTGAAAATAAATCGTGAAATCCCCTCCCCCTCCCCCAAGTGAACAGATCCCACTATTATTCAACGATACAATCAAGGATATTTACCAAAATAAATGAAAGTGGTCATCATTGCATGGAAAGAAATACGATTGCAAGACGACCACCACGTTCATTTGGCCAGTCGTAATATTCATCTGGCTGTATCGGTGTTTTACAGTGACGTGAACTGAGCCCTCCCCCTCCCCCGAAAGACTGCGTGGTTTTATATATAGTCTCCCTTACCTCCAAACAACAATAGTGAGGCTTTCCCCTTATATGTTGGGATTTTATTTATATGGTTGATTTATATCTTTGCATCATTAGCCATTCTATTACATAGTTGCCTTACTAATATCAAAATTTGTTTACTTATTTATTCATTTGCAACCCACAACGACAGACGTAATATCCGCTCACGCTTGTTCTGTCGAAATCATTTGTTTTTGTGGTAGAACTCAATGTTTAATCAATAGAAAGAAAAATAAAAAATGATCTAAAAAACAACACATTTCCATCACACTAAAATATACATTTTGATTTTGAATTTGGATTTTGAATAATGAAAATAAAGAAATTTTATGCTTACTTGGAAAATTTATTTCTGAAAATGGTAAAAGAACCAATGTATAAATACATCTGTCACCATGTACATGCATGCTTTTTCTCTAATTTTACTTTTTCCCTGAAATATATTACAATTTTAAAGGGAAAAAAACCCCATACAAATGTATAAATACATGTATGAACATGTTGTAGCATAACAAATTTGTATTGTCTTGGGATCAATGACAATAATTTGGACACTTGACACTGGTATTGTCTATGATTATTAACGCTGAATACAATGTTATATAACTGTTTATGTAACTGTTTATATATATATTTATTTATGTATTGTGCATTTATATATGTGGAAATGCCTCTCGGGGCCCTTGATTGGTAAATAAAATATCTTGTATCTTGTATACAAACATTAACTACATTTTTTTCTGCAGAAATTGAAAAAGTCTGTCAAATTTCGCTCTAAATTATCTCCATTTGAAAAGCAGTTATGCATTCTTTGGTAATTTCGCACTTTAAAATGTTTACAACTGACAGAGAGGAGAGAGATAGAGAGAGATGGCATGTATAGGAAAGCCTGAGTTGACATGCATCTGTTTCTTTTAAAAATATCATTATTGACATAATTACTTTCTTTGCTTTGTATCATACTAATCTTTATTCGGTATTTTTCTTAGTTCTTGCTAAGTTTTGTCTTTTGTCACTTTAAGGAGGGCGGATAGATCATGGACACCACAATAATACAGCAAAAAGAGCTCTCTATGAAACCTTGGCATTTGAGGATGCAGTGAAAACAGCATTAAAATTGACAAATTCTAGTGAAACCCTTATAGTTGTAACCGCTGACCATTCTCATGTATTTAATATTGGAGGGCATTCATATCGTGGAAATGATATACTTGGTAAGAGAGTTGGTGTGTAAATTTGTGAAAGCATAGTTTCTTAGAACATTAATTGAGCAAGTTATTTCATGTAAACGTCTCAAGGACTTAATGATTCTTAATTTAATAATTAATAATTCAATTTTTGGCCAGGTGTCGTAAACCCTATCGCTCCTGAAGAGCTGCCCGTGGATGGCAATGCCTGGACAACACTAAGTTATGGTAATGGACCCGGGTATGACTGGGGCTTCCGAAAAGACCCAAATTCCATTGATACAAGTAAGAAATATCTCATTCTCGAAAAACAAAAGATAAGAATCAGTGAAGAGTAGCATACTCAAGTCAAAATATATACATTTGAAGACCGATTCGTTTTTGCAAAAGCGGGGAACAATAAAAATTTATATACTACTATAGTTTCTCAGTATATTTGAAGACCGATTTACGCAAGATACCCAATGCTGATGTTACTCATCTAGAATTATATAAGTGATTAAATGACATTAAATCTCATTTCACAAAAACTTTAACCTTGGTCATAGCGTTTGCAAGAGAAAAGATAGGGCTTTCATATTTCACGTGTACATTGTGACCTTTCCAATTATACTATGATTTTTGACCCTATGACCTTGAAGTTTGACCTTCTTTTAAAACAATTAAACATAACTTCAACCTTGGTCAGAACTTTTGAATGAGAAGAGAAAGGGCTTTCATATTTCACATGTACATTGCCTGTGACAAGACCTTATCAAATATACTATGATTTTTGACCCCATGACTTAAAGTTTGACCTAATGTTCAAAAATGGTATCATTGCTGCTAACTTTTAAAGAAGAGAAGATAGGGCATTCATATTTGAAATGTGCACTACTGTGAAAAGACATTTCCAAACGTACTATGGTTTTTAGCACCTTGACATTAAAGTTTGACATAATTTTCAAAAATTTTAATATTGTTGATAACTTTTGAATGAGAGAAGATTGGGGCATTTGTATTTGACATGTACATTACCTGTGCCAAGACCTTTTCAATTTACTATGAATTTTAAACCCTTTGACCCTGAAGCTTGACCTAATTTTCAAAAAATCTAACATTGCTGATTACTTTTGAATGAGAGATTATGTTTTATACTTGACATGTGCATTATTTCCAAATGTACTCTGGTTTTTAACCTTATGACTTTGACCTTATAGTTTAACCTAGTCTTTTATTAATTCAAAAATTTATATCTTTATTGTACGATTGACAGACAAGACAGGGCACGCAAACATTTACACAATATGCCATGAGTAATTGTATCCCAACCACTAAGACACTGAAAGGGAGGACCACAATTCTTTGAATTTGCTTGTTGGCCTTACATCAAAAGTTTAAAAAACTGTCTTCATTTAACCTATGATTTTTATCAAGGATGAAGCTAAGCAAACAAACTAAAAATATATTCATAATCTTGCCTGAATAATATCTCAACTTTCATGTATACATATCAATGCCTACATGGAGTTCTTGTCATGTATATTTTATATTACAGCACACAATGACTACAGACAAGTAAGTGCTGTTCCCTTGTTGTACGAGACACATAGTGGTGAAGATGTCCCAGTATATGCAAATGGACCAATGGCACACCTGTTTGATGGCGTCCATGAACAACACTTTCTTGCTCACGCCATGGCATATGCAGCCTGTGTTGGCATTAATAAACAACACTGCATACAACATGCTCAAACCAAACCAGTTTTTACCCCAATGACATAAATTTCATGTCTGCATAAAAAAAATTAAATCCTGGTGATGTGTCCATCCACTGCTGTTTTTATATTCAAGACTGTTGCAAAGATTTTATACCATCTATCTAATAATTATGATTAATAATTATACATCTGCATTTTTCTGTTTGTACAAAATCATCCAAACACAAGTTAAGAAATACTCTGATCAACTAGTTGTCTTGATTCAACCACATAAATCAATGAGATTGAAGATTATCTAAAGAAGGGCCCTTTTGAAAGGGAAATGATAATGACATCATGTTTATTCATGGACTAAAAAAAGACATTGTTCTTTCTAGAGTCATGAGTTTGAGGGTAACCAAATAAATGTGATATCCTCTATAAAGAGCAGTAACAAATTGCTCAAATGACCACACTGAATAACAGAAGCAGGTATTCCTCTTTGGTCTATGATACTTCGGTAATTCATATGCCAATAACGAAATAAAGATGAGATATGAGGTGACCATTTCAAAGTTGCTACAATAATATGTAAAGTCTTCAGTTTGTTTAAAATTTTAATGTTATATATTGAATTTATCAGAAATATTGTATACATGAAAATTACAACTACGTAATTATATAATTAATGTAAAATGTGTACAATAGTAACAAAACAAAAAAATATTCATATATAATGATTACAAAAATAAAGTCAACACTTAGAATTCAAAACATTGAATTTGAAGACATCAGATTTGGTGTATCATTTTTAACATTTTAAATTTGCATAATGCTAGTTACCCATACTGTTTTTGTTAAATTTGTTTTATACTTGTATGTAATTTCACGTCAAACTTATACATGTTTCACACAATGAAGAACTCTAAGTGTATAAATAATACATGTATGTAAATAAATTACTTTGAAACACACTCATTAACATTTTGTTACATTTCAGCTTTTATATTTTTTTGTGGGATGTTTACAATGTTTTGAAGTACAATGTATTGGTCAACTCTGTTTGTTTACAGTTTATTACTATTCACAACACTTTCAGTTTATACCAGACAAAACCCACTAAACTATATGCTAACAAGTACACCACCATTTCTTTTATCACAGCTCTGTTTTCAATAATTAGGAAAAATATTTCAAACAGCATATAACAAACACGTACTGTGAAATCACTACCGGTTATTTTTGAAAGGGGTAAATTTTTGTTGTTTTTTTTGGTATGAACAGACCCACGATCATTTAAAGTACAGTCAGAACTCAAAATCTTAAACATGGAAGTACAAGAAAAATATACAGTTCATAAAAAACACACTATATCCATTCAGTTCACATTTTAAAACTACAGGGAAAGAAAATCACTTTGCTGTAAGTGTAAATTCACTGTAAGTGTGTTTGCAATAACTGTTTTACTGCAGATATCAGAGGATTCATATAATTCATAATGTTGGGACCAGCAACTCTCTTCAACACATGTCTGGTATTAGAAGTGTGCAAGATATTGAGATTTGACTGTATCAATATTCCAATGGGAATCTTTTGAATTAGTTGCAGTATGTATCTTTGAAAAGAAAATTATTAGTTTTCAGCAAAAAACATGAAAAAAGGAAATATCAGACATTTAATATTGCACAAATGCCATTACTTCAGCAGACCCCATTACCTACATAAAAAGCTCTTGCTATAGGATTCTTGTCACATATATAATTTTTTTTATATCAAGCAAAATTGTGAAGCCTCTAGACCTACACGGTGAATGACTAATGTGGCTGTAATAGCAAGCACTAGGAAGACATTAAGTTTCTCAAAACCCAAAACATGTATCCCCAAACTTCTTTTTCATTATCATAATATTCTTTATCACTTTTCTATATTTCCCCTAAGTAAATGTTGTATAAACACAAGAAAAACAGAAACTTCTGATTTCTAACTAATATTTTAACATTGTATTGATCGAGTGATTCTGTTAACTTTAATATGATATGACAGAATGTTTCCCTATAATTTTTACCTTTAATTACAATCCTTCATATATTTTGAAATCATATTTACTGGAAATGTCACCTCTTCATGATATCACTAACACTGAATAAAATATAACTTGTAATGTGAAATAGAAATACATTATTCTTTATAAAAGATACACATGAAAAATAGTCTATAAAGCTTTGAACATGATCAGAAAAACTTCAAGAAGTGTAGAAATTGAGAGGAACTGCCATGATGTAAGTGGAACATCACAAAGAGATAGTCACTTACGACTACATCATATTTTGTAGCTATGCTGTTATTTGCATTTTTTTTCTCTATTCATTTTTGGCCACCTATTTGGTCCCGAATATGCTTCAAAATATGTTCTTTGTTAATATTCTTTCTTTTTACTGCTGCTTGCAGTTTCCCTTCACTTTGTCGTGTTTAGCATTACCAGTAGATGCTCTCTTCTGTTTATCTAAAGTTGACCTTTTCTGACCTTGCACTGGTTGCCATGGTGATATAACTGATCCTTCTTGTGAAAAGTTGTCATCTCTCGATACTCCAGTGTCTGAAAAGCATATATACATTATGGTATGAATATTTTTTTATATATACGGTTAAAATGTCTTCATAAAACAAGGACGGTGCTTTGTACCCCCTATGGTTGGCTTTGACTGATAATAAGATATACATGTATTTTATGTCTGTTCCTGCTTTCTTTTCAGTGAAAAAGCAAAAAAATATACCACAAAAAATCTTCATAAAATTATGAATTCCATGATTTCTTTTCCATTAAAAGAAAATTCCTCTTTAGGAGGATTTTTTATTCATGTGACTTTAAATCAGTTCAAGATTGACAAGAATTGGTTATTTTCTGATGAATAAAGACACATAGAATGGATGAAAGTGATGCAACAAGTAGTTAACAATTTTCAGTGAACGGATATTTGTGCATTGAACATTCAAACAGAGATGAGAAAAGTCATGCATACACCTATATGTAAATCTATATTTTGGTGCTATCATAAATATATACTGTTATTATGGAACAAAAGAATAATCTATCTACCTTCTATCTAGGAATCTATTCTATAAACAGTTAGTAAAACCATATTAATTTCAAAACAAATATTAGATTCAAACTTTCCATTCTGGGATTCTTATTTGATTTTCTTAAAAACTTGAAATCTTGTTTCATGTTTTTCTTTGACTCAGTTTACTCAAGAGTTGTCATCTACATGTAAATCATTTAAACTGTACCCCTTGTGATAAATGTTCAATCACAAACAAACATTATTCTCATTTATTCCCTTAAAGTCTGTTTAAAAATTTAAACCATGATGCAAAACTAAATTAATTAAATATATTGTAATACGAACTCAGATTATAAAATCATCATTCACAAAACAACAATTATGTAGTAAATGCTATGTTTGTTTACATTTTCATTCATTGAACCTTCATACCCCCAATAAATCCTCGCTGAAAGGCCATTTGATTCCATGTTCCCTTTGGTCGCCTAAGGCTCCCACGTAGCGAGGGGTCCCATTCTAGTTCTGTTTCTGTGTCAAAGGTCAAACTGGTTAGTGCATTCACACCAAACTTCTCTCAGGTAATTAATAGCAGAAAACAGACAAAGACACAAAGACAAATTTGTTTTGACTACAGGTCCACTACACCCAATGGACTGTGCTGATTGAAATGGTATACAGAAATGATGTCACAATAAATCTACAGGAAATGTACAGTACAAGTTTCATGCATTTTTATGTACAAATTATTTCCAAATTTAGACTGTATTTTATAAATGTCAAGGAAATGATTTGAAAGAGTGTTTAAGAGACACATTTTAAGTAGAGATCTCTGCTTATATCAAAAGAATGTATTTTTTTTCTTTATTCTATATTTCACATGGATTTCTTTCAGATCTATGAGGTATCTGATTTCCTTTAATATCAATGAAGATTTAACATCTTGAATATTTATTTAACTGTTTGTCAGATAATGGTGGATCTATGCTATGGCAAAAATTGTCAGTTTTATCCCCAAAAAAGGTTTGATAGGTTTGAGAATATTCAAAGGAATTCCTCTACATGTTACTCTAAGACAAAGGTAATATGGAGAGCTCAGTGATCCAAGTAGATTCCAAGCCCAGGCACAACAGACAAACTTATACCTCTGACAGGCAGGGAACTGGCCAGGGTTACTGGGACTTTAGCCTCCGTCTCATCTTGTTGGAATTCATGAGCTCGACGATGGTAGGTAGGGTCAATGGCTGCTGCTATGTTGAACGGCATAGGGTTGCTGACTGCATAGTGATTTTCTTCTGGGGGTCTTGAGGAGACTCTCGACTGTTGTGGTGGTGGTCTGAGAAAGAAAAAAGCTTGAAATAATTTCAATATACTGATTTCATATCCAAAAGACTTGGTATTGTTCCCATTACAAATGGCTTGTTTAAATTAATATACCTGTAAGGTATTTCCTCATCACTATGGTAACTACCAGGTGGGGAGAGGGAAGGAACATGGTCACTCAAGTCAGATCTGTCCGAGTGTATCCTCCCTCTGGGTGGGGGACCCTGAGATTCCATCACTGAGTTTTCCAGCCATCTTTCCACATTCTGGACACTACTGGCTGAGCTATCTCCACGAGAGGGCAGTCTTTGATCCATTCTTGGAGCTCTTTGGGAAATGTTAGATCTTTGGGAGGAGTTGTAAGCACCGTGGGATTGGGAGGAATGTGCACTGGAATTGTAATTTTCTGGACTTCTCTGACTTCCAGAGTTATCTGCTGGTCCATTGTTCAGAGACTGAAGGAAACTGTCCCTCCGAAGCCTGTGGTGATCATGTGATCTTTGAACTGGAATATCTGACCTTTGACCTGGTAAATCTGGAAGTGGCCGTGTTGCAGGGTTTGTAACCTGCTAAATTAAGAAATATTAAATGGAGATTACAAATCAGAGCTATCAGGACTTAGTCAAAATGATCTACCGGTAGTCTACATGCAAGTAATGGCATAGGTATTCAATATACATGTATTTATTTTGCAGACAAAATGTTTTTTTTTTTTTTTTTAAAAATTACTATTTGATATGAAAACTAATGAATGACATTTACAGTGTATCTTTTCTTTATTACATAGCTAGTAAATAGTCTATGATAAAAAAGTACTAAAAGTCTAGAAAATTTTAGTGTTCGATATCTTAGCTTTATTGAACACTGAATTTGCAATGCGTATACCAGTATACCCCGAAACATTCCGAATGCAAGCATTCAATATTGAACGCCCTATTGTAAACAAAAAATGTTGTCTGGTCAAACGCTCAACGACAATATTTATGATGGATAGTGGCAGCTAGGTAAGATGCATCTATTTTCACAAAAAATTGAAATTATTGATTAATAATTTAGTACCTATAAGCCTCAATAAAAACCTCAATAAGCAAATCACGGTTGGTAGGGACATAAGAATGATGTGATATTGAACACTTTGAGGTAACTGATCTCAAACTGATCTCAAGCTTGGGCACTTGTACAGCCAACTCGTGCCAATATTCAATAATCTAAGTTCAATAACCCTATAATAATTACATACAGTACATGCACTATGCATTTTGAACCAAAAAAACTTATCGACAATAAGTACAGCTATGCCTGCTACATTTAGTCTGTATCAGTACTGTATACACCAAAAGGGCTAGATGGAGACAGTACAATTTGCAGTCAGTCTGGCAGATAGCAATAAGATAAGTAGCATTACAATACCTGATGCTTGCTTTTCTCTTCTTGTTCTTTTTTCTTTTTCTGTTTGGCTTTCTTTAATTTAATTTTTTCCTGTTCTTGAATGATCTTAGCAAGTCTTTCATCTTGTTCTTCTATCTCTCTTAGTTTATTGCGATCCACTTCAGCTTTGCTTCTCTGCAAAACATACAAGTATGAAGCAACTTATAAAAGTCCTACCTTGTAAATAAAATGATAGAAAAAATCTGGCACATGTTTAAATGATTAAGACAAAGGTTCTCCGGAGTCAATATTCTCTTAATGACATATAGATACATGTAAATACAAGAGGCCCATGGGCCATATCGCTCACCTGAGCACATTGGCTAGGAAAAAAGCAAAAATCAATTCATTATTGAAAAGCTTAAATGCATAAGTGGTACCAACCCACCCCTAATACAGGAGGGGGGGGGGGGGGCATGATTTAAACAAAACTGAATCTACACTAACTAAGGATGCTTACATATTTCTTCGACTAACTGTGGCTTTTTTTTCCTACAAGTTTGAACTTTCACTGTGGCCCCACCCTACCCCTGGGGGTCATGATTTGAACAAACTTGAATCTACACTACCTGAGGATACTTCCATATAGATATGACCATTCATGGCTTTGCTGTTCTTGAGAAGAAAATTTTTAAAGTTTTTATCCCATAAACTCCTATGTAAAACTTTGATCATCTATTGTGGCCCCACCCTACCTCGGGGATTATGAATTGAACAAACTTGAATCTACACCACCTGAGGATGTTTTCATAGAATATGACCAATCATGGCTTTGCTGTTCTTGAGAAGATGATTTTTAAAGATTTTATCCTATGAACTACTATGTAAAACTTTGATCGTCCATTGTGGCCATACCCTAGCCCCGGGGGTCATGATTTGAACAAACTTGAATCTACACCACCTGAGGATGCTTCCATATAAATATGACCAATCATAGCTTTGCTGTTCTTGAGAAGAAGATTTTTGAAAATTTTTCCTATATATTCCTATGTAAAACTTTGATCGTCCATTGTGCCTTCGCCTCATGTGAGCTAAAAACATTAATCATTATCTCCAATTTAAAATTCATGATTTCAACAATTTCAATTTAATTCAAAAGTATTTTGAAGACTGAAGTCAACTATAAAATTAAAGTTTTCTTGTTCCTATGGATGTCTATATATTCTTATTAAAAAAATGTGTTCCAATTGATGCCCAAACCTAGTCCCTAAGGCTATGCTTTGAACAAACTTGAAACTCCCTAAAATGGGGGATGTTTGGAGGGCTTTCAAAAAGATTTAGAAGCAAGCGGTACTTGTACAAAATTGGGAGGTACCTTATGGAAGTGATTTAAATTAAATATGATATCGAATTTTTCTTCATCAAATATTTTGGCCAGTATAATCATGAATTCAGCTGGGTAAAAGTACTGGTTACCGGCAGATTTTGAAAGGCCTATCAATATGATCATACTGTTGTCCTGTTGTTTTGAGAAGAAATTTAAAGATTTTTCCTAAATAAAACTTTGATCCCTTACTGCAGTTACACTCTAGCCACCAGGGACCTTTATTTGACCAAATTTCAATCAACACTCATCAAGAAAGCCTTCCCTTAAATTTTGGCTTTTCTGGCCCATGGGGTTCTACAGAGAAAGATTTTTAAATGATCCCACCCTATTTTCTATACTTCTTAATTTTCTCCCCTTGACAAAGGATGTGGCTCTGTATTTGAACAAACTGGAATACTGTCTGTCCAAGGATGCTTTTGCCAAGTCTGGTTTAAATTAGCAAAATGATTCTAGATAAGATGAACAAGGAACATACATTTGAGAAGCAACACTTGATCTACAAGAAAAGACAGAATAAACATCCTTTTTTTCCTACCTTGTGTTCCTGCTCTTGTAATAAACGAGCCAATTCCTGATCCAGACAAAAAAAAATTAATAATAAAAAACAATTAGTACATAATGACAAGTGCTTAGAATTCAATGTTATTTTTCAAATTGTATAGTATATACCAAGAAATATCCAAGATAATTTTTATTATTGCATTATCTGGAAACTATTCTTATGAACACACCTCATCTGCAGTTTCTTGGATAAATCTTCTCTGGTTTTCATCTACATGATCTGGTAGATGTGGATAAAAGTCCGAAAAATCCCCGTCATCTTCAATCCTTCCTGTGTGTGTCACTCTGTAGAATATAGGGTTTTCAGTAGTATCTTCTCACATATAAAGCATGTAAACCTCAAGTAAATTTAAGTTCTATACTGTGATGACAATGAATTCTTAAGTGTATGCGAAACCAGCCGGCTTGGTGAACTTTGAGTAATGAACACTTAATAATAGGAATCCATGCTAAATAAATTTCCTTTCTCAGATAAATTTACACTAACATATGAATAAACCAATTGTTTGCTATAATCATTTTATTTCTGTCTTAATGAAGAAAAGCCATTTTCTTTTAAAAAGTCATGGAATATTCTTTGATCAACTTTAAAATCTTTGAAATCATATTTATGACTGATAACAATGACATGCAAAACACAGTCTTTTTCCTTCATAATTTTACTTGTTTTGTAATAATGTCAGCAACATCTTTAATAGCTAGATCAATGATGAAATGAATGATGTTTCCTTATTATTGTCACTTTTGAAGAGATAAATAAAAAAAAAAATTACAAGGAAGAAAGAGGCTTATATGGCACAATGCTCACCTGAGTCATTTTATTGAATGAAACAATCTATTGATCCACAGCTTGGTTAAAGACCATAATTCTAAAAATTTTGATCTAAGCTAATTGTTTACCTGTTTAAATTAGTACTTGTATCTATATTCACAAGATATTTCTTTTTTATGTTCAACATACATGTATATTGTATGAAACAGGATGCTGTGAAATCATTTTAATTCAATTTCAATTCTAAAGAAAGACATTGCCTGAAAAATTCAAATTATTCACTAAACATGTAAGAATTTCTTGTGACCAAGTTTCTCAACCATTAAGAAGACTGTGTAAGCTATGCAAAATTTAACCCCCCTAGTTGTGGCCCCATTCAGGCCATGATTATAAATATGTCATCAAACAAGTTGCATATATATCTGTTAAACTGAAGTCTACTAGTCCTCCTATTAAGATCTTCCCATGTGTATTTATGATAAATTCTTAACTTCAATAGTATTGTGGTTACATACCTGATCATTGGAAGAAGGAATTGAATACACTCTGATAATAAACTTGATTCTCCACTATACAGGAAGCTTATGACTATACTTTTTTTTTCATATCTGACAAAAAGGTACTTTTGCTACCTTAGACCCCCCACAGAGATAATACCCTTTAAATTTCCTTTTTTAATGAATACTTGGTGGCAAGTAAGCTTAAAATTAATCTGATAATGCTGAACAAGTCTAAAAGTGAAAAGAAACATTACAGCAACAACAGGTGATGGACAAAATCTGATAAGAAAGGAGTCCCTTAATTCTCTGGCTTTGGTAACATATGTAAATATAAAATAATAACATACATATTTATTCTTATACAAGCATCTGTACTATATTTGAAATCATGTCATTGTACAAAAAGCTCTTCAAATAAGATGGAAGATAATGAAACAAGACCAAATAATACCGGTACTGGTATGTTAGTAGACTCTCTAATCAGAATGACTGTTTACAACTGACATCACTTGTTAAAGAAATAAATTTAACTTACATTCTAGAAATCATACAAGCAAAATTCCAAATAAATTTCATTCTACTGGTAACAATGAAATACATGTACATACATATATGCAATCAAATTATATGAATAAAATACAAATATCTAGATATATACATTGTAGCATGCATTTGTTACAAGAAATCAGTCTTAGAACTGTCAAATTTCATGTCAGTCTCAAATTGAATGGCAATAGCAATATTGTAACCAAGCTGTATATTCTAACACTGTAGGACTCCAAGTACAGACTAACAGATGGTAGCAAAACTTCCACACTTCTTTTTAAAATTTACCTTATATTTCCAGTTCTATTCAAAATGTACATTATATGACACATTTGTTTTTATTTCTGAAATAAAAGTGCAATCTATCAAGAGTTTCTTCCAGTGGCAATTGCAGAGATTTTCCACTCTATTTTGGGAATGGGGCCCAGGCCCTTGTAATTGGGAATTAAACAACATTTTATCACTTACTGGGAAATTTTATTGCATGATGTTTTTCAGGAAATAAACACTTATGGTGAATAAAATTGATCTTTTACTTAATTATTCTGAACTGTAAATCAGAGAATAGATCAACTAAAATGAAGTTTTAGTCAAGTTTCTTAAAATTTTCTTCATTTCATTCAGACTTCCAAACCTGGCAATATTTTTTGGCCAGAAATTTGATCAGGTTAACTTTGTGGGTTCACTTTTGGGAAAAAGGGAGGGATTTTGCAATTGGGAATGGGGCCCACAATCAGCCCTACATGGGGCAGTGGAAAATCCCTGAATTGTGAAATGAAAGTAACAGGGCCCAAGAGTCACAAACCTCACCCGAGTCATCATTGTACATGTAAGCAAACCTGGCCTCAGTGACCATTTCAGGAACACAACTCAATTATTTTTACACAAAGTAAATTCAGAATGAGATGATTAATCAGAATGCTTTTGTTACTAAGATGAAGATATTATACTTTTATAATGTTTTCTCTTATTTTATGTGCATTATTGTATTTGGGAGAGGGGGAGGGGGGTTATTATGAAACTGTATCCTATCTAATGAAACTTGAAAATAAGTAAGACAATTTGTAACCATATAGTTTTTAAAACTAAAGAGATTTTAAAAGACTTATTCTAAATACACTGTACATATAAATGCTGATGTAAAAAGCTATGCCTATTAACTGTAAAGATTATACCTCAGTTTTGTTCAGACAGGTCTACAGACGAAAAAACCCCATAAATTCTGATCGGAAAAGTTCACTTGAGTCTCATGCTTGGATAAACTCAAATAAACCCAGTCAAAATATAAGACAAATACATGTACATAAAGTAAAAGTCTTGCAATCCTTATACCTTCTTCTGGGTACACTATCTATAAAACGACTATAGCATCTTTCTGGATATAACTTCACTAGAAAATTAATCAGTCATTAAGGGCCCTGCTAATGGAGATTATACCATACAAATCAAATGTTCTTCATGTCAATTCCATGTAAAATTCATGTGAAAAGACCACATTATGAGCATAACTAAAATAACTTGAGGTAATGTTAACTTGAGATAAAAATAACTTGCAAGTGAAATTCATTTGAAAATATTCTCATGAAGTATTCATGTGATATCATTGTGTATACACTACCAATAAAAGTTTAAATGAAGCAAATGAATGTTTAATAAAATGAAGAATCTTATTTCAATCATAATAGTGTTTTGTTGTTGTTTCTTTTTTATTTTTATTATAACTCTGGAAAATACAGCACCAGAAGTAAGACTAAGGTAATCCTTAATGCCTCATCATGTAAGTTTGCTAAAGGTGGGCTTATAGTGACATGGGAATGGACAGAGTGATTGCTTTCACACAGTATTTAAAAATATTCAATATTAAGTACATGTATGTAGGATGTATCTCGGACTACCTCCTAATAGAACTCTTTAGGAAGACTAAAAAACCATATGAACAAGTGCTTAATCTGCTTCTAATTTTCCAGCTGAATTAATAAACAAAAGATATCTGATCATCAGGAAGAGTTTGATTTACCTAGAATGTTGGTAGTTTTGAGTTTGTCTGTCTAAGGCTCCATTATTCAGTCTAACTTCCCTCATAGCTTCATTAGCACTCTCCACATCTATAACATACAGTATCATTTAATGGATTAAGTGATAACTTCATCAGAAAATCAAATTTAGTTCAATATCATGCTAAATTTTGAACATTTTCATGTACACACTCGAATCACTGAAATTTAAAAAAAAAAACAAAAAACACTTGAATCACTGTGGTATGAAATACATGTACTGGTATACAGTCAAATCTCGTTATCTCAAACTCGATGGGACTGTGAAAAAACTTCGAAATATCCGAGGATTCAAGATATCAAGGGTAAAATACTTAAAGAATAAGGGGTTGGGACTTCCAAATCACTTCGACATATCCATGGTATTCGAGATATCAGTGTTCGAGATACCGAAGTTCAAATGTATATTTTTTTAATTTTACTATATCAGGTACCAATATACAAAGATTGAATAGTAATTATCATACATCCGGTTCACAGATTTACAGAGGAAAATAATTTAAGTTCAATATTCTAGACTTTCTGCTATAGCTGAATTTTTTGCACGCTGTGTTCATGGTAACAATCAGAGAACATAATACATGTATGTTTTGTAATTTTACATGAAGAAGTCGAACCATTTCTACCATTCATTTTATGCAGTGACCATGGTTTAAGATGGAGAATGAATAAGGGGAGGGTGATTCAGTAACTCTGACAAGGGGAAGGTAAATCTATTGAGCTCAGACAAGAGAAGAGCAAATCTATTAAGCTCAGACAAGGGAAGAGTCAATCTAATGAACTCAGACAAGGGGAAGGTGAATCTATTGAGCTCAGACAAAAGGAAGGTGAATCTATTGAGCTCAGACAAGGGGAAGATGAATCTACTGAGCTCAGATAGAGAGAAAGTGAATCTATAGAGCTCAGACAAAGGGAAAGTAAATTAGTTGAGCTCAGACAATGGAAGGTTAATTTATTGAGCTAATACAAGGAAAGCTGAATCTATTGATGTTGGACAAGGGGAGGATGAATCTATTGAGTTTATTTAATGACTTTAGACAAGGGAGGATGAATCCATTGAGATCAGACAAGAGAAGATTAAATCTATTGAGCTCAGACAAGGGAAGTGTGAATATATTGAGCTCAGAAAGGGAAGAGTGAATCTGTTGAGTGCAAACATACTGAGCTCAGACAAAGTAAGAGCTAATCTATTGAGTTCAGACAAGGGAAGAGTGAATCTATGAGCCCAGAAAAGGAGAGGGTGAATCTAATGAGCTTAGACAAAGAAAGTGTGAATCTACTGACCTCAGACAAGGGAAAGATTAATCTTTAAACTCCAGACAAGGGAAGGATGAATCTATTGAGCTCACACAAGTGAGTGTTTACAAATTTATTAAGCCTAGGTAAGGGGAATGTGAATTTATTGAGCCTAGACATGAAGAGGATGAATCTCTTAAGTTCAGACAAGGGCAAGGTGAATCTATTGAGCTCAGGCATGGGGAGGGTGAATTTATTGAGCTCAGACAATGTAAACGTGAATCTTTTTTTCAGACAAGGAAAGGATGAATCTCTTGAGCTCAAGGGGAATGTGAATCTACTGAGCTCAGACAAGGGTATGGTGAATCTCTTGAGCCCAGACAGAAGGCAAATAAACTGAGCTCACACACAGGGAGGGTGTATCAACTTATTTCAGATGAGGGTTAGTCAAACCAACTGAGTCCAGGCCATGGAATAGTAATTCTAATCTGTTTGATTATGGGTAGATTGGATCAACTGAGTATGTACCTGGAGGCAGAGATCTGGCAACCAGCCCCGCAACCTCTGAATTGTGCTGAAGTTGCTGCTCCAATATCTCCCTCTCCCTCTTCAGCTCTTTAATCCTTTTCTTTTCCATGTATTTTTCATACCTTTGTTGTTCTTTTTCAAAAGCTTTTCTTGCAATTTCCTAGAAAAAAGCATAAATCCCTCATTGGCTGTTAACTGCTTTTGTCCTTAACAAAAGGCACAATTGCTACAATGTTCATCTGAGTACAGTTAAGCAATATTCATGTAACCCTACTTATTAACAAATACATATAGAAGCTTTTCAACAAATGTACTAATCTATTTTTATGCTAATCAACTGACGAGGAAGATTTTGAGTGCACTAATTTATATACTTTTACAGCATAACAACCCTGTAATCTGTGAAAAAAAAAAATCACCAAGATATACTCAGAGCCTCTGGTGTCCTACTTAATAGCTGTAAAACATACACTGTAGTTAGGTACCCTTGATCTTTATATATAATTTGAATTATGATAATTGACATTTAACCTCATCCTGTTGTTCTCTCTGCCTTCTCTGAGCTGCCTCCTCTCCCATCAGATCTTGTTCTATCCTTCTAGCTATTTCAGCATCTTCTTCAGCTCTGTTCAAGCATACAATGACATGGAATGGAATAAAGCAAAGATTTTGCAGTTAAAGAATACTACATTTATTGTGGTTCAGGTAAATATATATGTACGGGTAAGAGAACATTACGGTACACATGAAAATATGCTTCAATTGTATGCAAATTCTAATTGTTTCAAGTGGATTTTATTTTTGCATTTTCAACACTTCAATTTCTTTTTTTTTTCTTAAAAATGAATAAGCCTTTTTTTCTTTTCTTTTTTTTTGTTGCTGTTCTTATCATTCTTATTCCTATAATTATTAACCTTAAATAATATACCTGCCACATACAGGAAATATTTTGTGAAGATTTTGAGAAATGATCTTTTATTTGATAATGTGACTCACTGCACATTCAGGGCCTGCAACTCTTGGTAGCGTTCTTCTTGTTGTCTACATTCTTCCTCAGTCTGTACAATTCGGGCCACGGGGATGTCCTCCCGCACGGTTCTCCTATGGAATCTATTCAGGCCATAGTGTCTCTCAACTTAAACAATAACCAATATATAATCACAGCACTTAAAAGGAACAGTCAACATAAATTAACAGCATCTAGTCATCATTATAGTATATATATACAGGAATGAATCATAAATGCTGTAATTCTCTTAAGACTCTTAAGATTGGAGAGATAGTGTTATGTTCCTTACTTTCTCACGCTACACGACTTTCACAAAAATGAATTGAAGTTCATATGAAAAACATGTACTTAATACTGAGTCATCTTGAAGAGGAAAAAAAACTGTGACTGACTATTTTCTATACCACTCCTTATAATTCAATTGATTTTATCTCCTCCATTATCTTGGTATTTTAATGATAAAAGATTTTTACTAATAAATATTGCAATATAATGGCAAAATGATTATGTGAACTTTAATTCACCCTGACACGAGCACAGGTAAATTTCAGAACAAATGATAACATCTAATGAAGTGCTAAACGGGAATGAACAATTTCCAATTATCCAGGAGCAAATTTACATGCACAGGATAAACATAGTGTTATACTATATTTCTGTTTTATCAGTACGACATTCTAAGGGCTTAATAGTGAAAATTGCAGATGAACAGGATTTCTAATAGGTATGCATAAACTATTATGAATATAACATACATGACCATATACTATAATGAATGTTACATATTACAATAATGTCCATATATATGCTATAATGAATGTTACATATTGTAATTATGACCATAAACTATTATGAATGTTACATGTATGTATTACAATCATGACCATAAACTATTATAAATGTTACGTATAACAATCATGACCAAGATCAGAAGTAAAATCCTGGTGTCAGAAGTGAGAGCTGCTGTTGTTTCTATATGACTTACATTCTTCATTTTGTTCCTGGTACGCCATGGCCCCATCTTCATGAACCATAAATTCTTGGCGGACTATCAAAATAAAATATACATATATCCATAATCATGAAAATATCCAAACTATAAAAAATTACACTAAAAATAATACTAAAATAAATATTAACTTAATAAATATTCATTCAAAAAGTTCTCTTCAAGTCTTTTCTAAGGAATAGGACTATTGTGAGATTTTTTTCTTTTGAATGAGCATGAATATAAATCTGTAATTTAACAACACATGAGAGAATGCCTGATAGTAACAAACTAGTAACCACAAGCATTTTTTAGCTTGTAAACCTCATCTACCCAGTATGTATTTTTAAATATGTATGAGGGGTTATCAAGCAGTTCATGGACTAGAGCCATAAAATTAAAATCGCTTTTGGTACATCAATGAATGTTTACACATTTAGTTAGCATCATCTTTTCTAACTATAGAATAAATCACAAATCATTATTTTTATTTTTTAAGGACACGCAACAGAGTTTGAATGTTATTGTCTGTTTCACTGCCTGACTGTGTGTATACTTGTCCCAAATTTAGTAACATGGAATAAGAATTCATTAATGTAATTGAGCTTCAGATCAGTAAAAACCATAAGGTTCATCATGCTTCTGCTGGAAATTGGCTGCTTCAAAAAAGAATTGCTCAGAAAATCTGAAACACTTTCAGGACTCTAGCTAGGACACAAAATGTTTCATCATAAGAATGAATGAAAAAGAATGTATGAAAAGTAATTTTTGAACCCTTTAAATTATTAATACATGTAGTTTGATTATATTTTTACTTAAGTAAAGGACATATTTTGCAGGAATATGTTTTTGTGAGAAAATAGCATAATACATGTACAGTTAAACTTCGTTTTCTCAAATTTTGATATCTTGAATACCATGGATATGTTGAATTGAGATTGAATTCCCAACTACCTTTTCTTTATATATTTTCAACCTTGTTATCTTGAATCCTCAGATATCTCAAACCTTTTTCTTGGGCCCATAGTCCTACAGAATTTGAAAAAATGAGGTTTGACTGTACTTATTAGCAGGTAGTGTATCATCCTCAGATTATAGTCTATTTCCATTATAATAAATTTTTTTTTTGGATTTAGTGAAATGCAATATACAATTTATCTTAAACTATTTAATAAAAGCAATAATAATGTTTTGACTACTTTCATGATTTTTTTGCTTTGAGGCATTATGATAATGTGATCTGCAGTAAAAAGCATTAGAATAAGCAAGTTTCCATGCAGAGATTGACCCACTTAGATGAACTTTTCTCTTTTTTAACATCAATGGTAAACCGAGTCACAAATGAATGAATTAAATAATACCAATATGTTTCCTGCTGCCAGCTGGTCTCACTCTCCACAATTTATACATGTAGTGGACATAATGTTCATGTTTGTCTGAAATATGGTCAACAGCAAGTACATTTGTACTTAGGTTTTCAACATTCAAAGATGTTATAATCCACTTGTGACATTAGTCTTCTGTTTGAGTGCTTCAATATTTTTCAGGAATGGAGAACTGCAAACAATTGGAGAACACACATTTTTCTATTATGTTTAAGTTCTCCCTTCCACAACTTATACCTCTTCTTGTTGTTAAGCTTGTTAGAACTCAGTATATACTGTTATAAATTTAATCAAACCCGATACCCTTTTTATCTGAGACTGGTGCTCTCCACACTGAGCTACTACGGCTGATGTTGTCGAAATGGGATTTAACTTCACATTTTCTTTGCAGTTCTAGAACTTACAAATATTACAAATTATTTAAATGTTTACTCATCTCTTATTAAAACAAGTCTACATCATAAATAGACAAAAAATAATTATGAGCATTTAAAACAGCGGATTTTAAATGGGTCTATATCCTCATACCCCTCAATTTCTTGAAAGGAATCAGCATCCTCAAGGCCTTGGCTCCATTGCTTTTAAGAGACAAAGAGGTATTTGGATATTTAACCCATACATATTGAAGAGGCATTTGTGAACTACAAGTCTCTGGTGCTTTGGACCTTTGAAATTTGCCCCCTTTTTCAGCACTTACCCTTGCTTTAATGAGAAATGTAAAGCTGAAATGTCACTTTTTCACGCTGAGAAGGTAATAATACAATGAATTATGTGTTTCAGCATGTCACTACCTACTTTTAATAAAGTTCAAACAGACAAATCATTCCAAAAATTGCTTTTTTAGAGCTAATTTTAATTTAAGACAGACAAGAAAAATACATTAGTGAAATCAAGTTTTGAAAAAATGGAGTTTATTAAAGTGAGATTTTTTATTACTATTAGTACATGTATCATGCAGGTAATTTCATGTCATACAGCAAAAATTCACATTATAAAATTCCAGTAGTAATTGGATTTACCACCATATAATGGCATCAGATGATTGAGATGAATGACAGAGGTTGTGCACAATAATTCTAAATAAATGAGAGGGCACAAAAAAATTGTACTTCTTCTAAAAGTGGGATTGGACATTTGGTACTATTGGTTGTGCTTCAGACACATTACATTGATGTCACAGCCATCAGTACTAGTTTAAGTACTCTGGACAAATATCATAATGAAACATACTGAAAGAAATAATGTACAGTATTACTTAATACCAAATTCAACAACTTTCGTGATGTTACTTGCTTTAGTATGGTGTCCCAATAGGGCCATTTGAAAAAGTGTAACAGCGCATTAGGAACAACGCCCTAGCGCAAAGTGACAACGGGCTAGTGTGTTGTTTACAACACACCATCATGCTAACACATAACACGCCATCACACTAATGCAACAACACAACAAGCCGTCCACTCCTGCTAACACACCACCCCATCCCGCTGACCCAACTTAACAAAACATGCTGTCACGCTAACCCAACTTTACACAACACGCCGTCGCACTAGCACAAAACATGCTGTCATGCTAACACAACTTAACAATGTATTGTGTGTTAGCGCGACGGCGTGTTGTGTATTTCAAAATTATGGATAATCTTGCAATTACTTCATAATACTATAGCACTGAATTAGAGGTGTAACAATACAGTGAACTTAGATCATATTGATTGCAAGGGCTCACAATACACATATCATATCATCAAGTATGTATCATGATACAGTACAAGTTAATTTTCAATACATACGTATTCACATTTCAAAGGTGAATCTAGAAATTTGTGAAAGTGGACCATATCCTTCATTGCATTAACAAAAGTGGGGAATTATCCCACCAGGGTTTTCTCACTTTAGTTTTTTTGTCCCCCATTTTCACTGAATTTTAGTTAACAACTCCATATGGCCTAAAGAAGATCTCTATTGAATTTGAGGCCGAAAGGTCAATGGTCATGGTCAGAAATTCATATATTTTTTCTGTGTGTAGCACATTTTAGGCAATATCTTAAAAAGCCATTGAAATTTTATATCACAACTCCCTATGGCCCAGAAAAGACCACTATTTGACTTTGAGGTTAAAAGGTCAAAGGTCAAGGTCAGAGATTCATTCATAGCAAATAATTTCAAGGTGATAAATTCATTTTTCTCTTAGCTTTTTATAATGAAATTTAATACCACAACTCCCCATGGCCTTTAAAAGATGCCTACTGATTTTGAGATCAAAAGGTCAAAGGTAAAAAATTCATAAAGATTCCAGATGAAGAGTCCTCTTTAAGTTTTTTCAATGATGTTATGTATCATAACTCCTTGAGACTTAAAAGGGCCCCCTTTTATTTTTAGGTGAAAAAGTCAAAGGTCAAGGTCAGAAATTCATACCAAAAAATGGTTTCAGGATGATAACTTTTGTTTTCCTTGAGCTTTTTCTATGAACTTTTATATAATAACTTGGGATGACCCCTTTTTGATTTTTAGGTCAAAAGGTCAAGGTCAAAACATCATATCTTGCATAAAATTTCTCTGTGATAATTTTAGTTCTCTTTAGGGGTTTGCGATGAAATACCTTTAGTCAATATGCCATAAAAACTCCTAATGATTTTGCAGTCAAAAGGTCAAAGACCAAGGTCAGAAATTTATATATATTGCATGCATATCAGTGATGATTCTCTGAAGTAGCCAAAATATCTGAAATTGGTTGGGGGTAGTGGGGCTGACAAATTATGAGCTTTAGGAAGGTCTAAAATAGGTTTGATTGAGTGACAAAAATTGAAATGTGACAGTTTGTTCAACAACTTTTACATTCTGACCTGAGTGGCTGAATGAACCACCACACCATTGTCTGAAGTCTGAATCATCCCTACATTTGTGTTTATCTACTTGGAGATAAAAGTATACGTTTGAATGATGCAGATTAGATCCATGCTAGATCCAGACTACGATTTATGCAATGTGAATTTTTTAACTGGACAAAAACAAAAATGGATCACTGCAAAAATAGAAAGTACCAAATTATGGATTCAAATTAGCAGAATTCCGCTTAATATCGGAACAGAATCATCACTGATAGTTTGAGATGATAACTTTAGTTCTCTGTAAGCTTTTGCAACGAAACTTCAGGTTATGAATTTCTTGAACCGAAAAAAGACCCCCTCTGACTTTTTATAAACATTATTGTTATTGGTCAGGGCTCGACATTAACTTTTTTTCCTACTTGTCCATTCGGACAAGTGACCAAGACATTTACTTGTCCGAACCTCAACTTCACTTGTCCGAAAAATTTTCAATAAAGATCTAATACTGTTAACTGAAAAACTAAAAATAAAGTCCATTATATGTGCATGATATTATTTATAAATACAACAAACACACAAAACAAAATTTTATCTAGACTTTCTGTCCTGACAACATAAATGCTGTCAACATAAAACAGAATCCAAACTTTGTCAGTTCCATGCCTTTGCAGTAGTATGCAATTAGTGAACTTCGATCCCCATCGAGTGTACTCAATTACATAGCGATCTATATCGGGATCGAAGTTCGGTTTTTATGTACTGTTTCCGTCTTAAAGTACCGGTGAACTTTCAACAGTCGTTCTTTATTAAATATTTAGAGACTTCTTTACATAAAAATGCACTTGTCCAATCGGACAAGTGCCAATCAATATTCACTTGTCCGTATTTTTTTTTCACTGGTACCGGACAAGTGTTAATGTCAAGCCCTGTTGGTGTGTAAATCACACAAACTTTCACATATAGGCATATTTTTCATGAAGTGCTAGAAGGCTTCCTAAAATGTGTCTGTGACTTGATTAAGCCTATGTGATTTACATTTTTGCAACTCAATAGCGCTCACAAAAAACATTTCTTAATTGTCTTGCTTGATGAATTTTCCTACAATCTTACAGATTTGCAAGATTTGCATATATATATATATATACATATATTTATATTTATATATATATATATATATATATATATAAAGGAAGCTCTAATCACTGCTCACTGAAGATTTCTAATTACATGGAAGTTTTATGCAGTTAGAGTGATCTGCCTTTTGATGAACAAAGGAATAAGTGGAAATCTACCGTAAATGACACAATTTGAAGTAGATTATTGCATTCTTAACATTATATTAGACCATGATAAAGTTATTAAAAACATTATTTGTATGTATTTTCCTGATGTAAGTAGACATGCAACAGTGATTTCTGTTTATTATTAAATACTTAATCGTCTTTGAACATTTTTCCTGGAGAAATATGACAGGTACCCTATATTGAAAATGAACTAGATAAACTTGGTATGTACACCTTTATATAATATAATTTCCTCAAAGTAAAAAAAAACAACTTTTTTCATAGAGCTTCCTTAATTTATATTTTCTATTAGTCTGGAGATAAGCAACAAAAAACTATGTTAAAATATCCCTTTATTTAATTGTTGACAGTTTTATGGTGTTGTATTGCATGACTGCAATGTGATACATATCATATTGTTAGGTAACTTGCGATACTCAGGCCTATTGAAAATAGTCCAGGTGAGGTAAAGGATGAGAGGATGATAATAAAAAGTTTACCACTATATCTCTAATCGGAAATTTGTAGATCTTCCTAAAATCTTGATTGTGTACTACAAGTCTATAACATGAAGCAAAAGGCAAAACTTAAGAAACTGATAAATAAAATGAGGGAATTACAATTATTCAGTTTGTTGGCATGAATATTGTTGTCCAACTTTCATCTCACCTTTTCACTGCAGGCCAAATATGACTCAGAATAAACAGGTAAACAACGTTCCAGAATCTCCCACCCTTGTGTATGCACAGGCATTTGAAATATGAATTAAACAGTGGCCTTCAATGATAAACTACTATTGAATAACCAATCTATCTAATAATTTAGGGAAAGGCTCCCCCCTCCCAGGACAATATAGACTGAATATAACCATAGAAAAACAAAACACTGGACAGTTAATTCATATTATTTGCTCTTCAAGAGCAATGACCTTCTTTCTTATACCTTAGCATGAAAATTTCTGACACTTCTCAAAACATCAATATTCAAAGTGTACGACCCAATTAAAGACTATACTTAATTAAATTAATATGCCAGAAAACCCTACAGTACCTTTTGCCACTTTTCCCCTCTGAGGCATTGTCCCTCTGTCTTGGCGATCCGATTCCGACATGTTTCCAGAATACATTGTGCAAACAAAATAATTTCACATCAGTTCGCATTCTCTGTCATCATATATATACTTGACATAAGTGGATGTTTCCTTACATCAATTTCTAGTTACTCCATTCACAAACCGGAAATACAAACTCAACCGGATGTAATGAAATGGTTTAACTATTAACCGAAAGTACACGATTTATTTGGGGAAATGGGTAAAAATTCATGCATCAGTGTTTTATATTTGTTAATTTTACTTTTTGTTTAGACAAACATAGGTAAACAAAGCTTCATTTCGTATTGTTACAGATACTGTTATAAACATTATCTTTTTTATCAGTCTGTCTCTATCATTTATTGTGTCATCATCTAAAAATAGATGCTGAATGAAAAAAAAAAGAAGAAGAAATATTTCCTCAATGACTAACTACGGCACCGACTTTAAAAATTAATATTTAGTAGCATCAAAATCATCCTCTTCAACTTCAACCTCGTCAGGCTGAAAGAATCAATATGAGTCCTAATCATGTTTCTTATATTTCTTCCACAGCTTAAATGAATCAAAACATCTCGGTTTCAGCCAACCTTTATGTTTTCATATATATATACAGTTAAACCTCGGTGTCTCAAACACTGATATCTCAAATACCATGGATATGTTGAAGTGACTTGGAAGTCCCAACCCCTTTTTCTTTAAATATTTTACCCTGGATATCTCGAATCCACGCGGATATATATATCTGGAAGTTTTTTTCTTGGTCCCATTGAGTTCAAGAAAACGGGGTTTATATATGTAGTCTTTTACTGATTAGTATAACTTTACCTTTACATGTTCATACATATATCTAATTTGAATCCGCTGCATATTATGCTTCAGTTGGTGGTGGTGGTGGTGGGGGGGGGGGGGGGGGGGGTAGGGAAATAGGGAATTTTTCTGTGAAAAGTCGGAGATAATGACATTACTACAGGCATGAATACTGCAAAACATGCAGATTACTCAGTGTTCAAATTGAGTCATTTCCCTTAATAAATGCTAATCATATTTACTTGTATTAAATTTTATTTCGGTACACTTTCTCTCTCTCTCTTTTAAAGAGAAGCTCAATACCAGGAAGGATACATCAGCATTATAAAAAATGCACTGAATTATTATGTATATAGGCACTTGTATATTGGAATTAGTGCTTTACATTATTATAACATGACCTTTCAACATGTTCCCTTTCAAAGAAATACTTCGTTCACTCCACAGTAATTACTGGTATCTTACTTCATAAAATTACAATAATTTGAAACTATATCACAACAAGAAGAATCAATATTTTACAACACAGGAATTTTATTTACCTGAGACAAATATATCTTACATTCAATGTACATTCAAAACCTGTGCACTTAATTTGATAGTTGTCAAACCCTGGAGGCATACAAATTATTAAGGTTCTTAAGTGAAAACAAATTTCATTGGAATTGCAGATCTTTAATTCTTCAACATTTGATCGGAAAATGTCACTTTATTTCTTTACAGTTATGTACATAAGGAAGAATATACAAGTAACTTATCTTTTGTATGCCAAATTAGAATAATTCATCAATATTGTAAGCTTCTAAGGCAGAATAGCAACAAATAAGAGGCTATTATAGTATTAATAAATATCAGGTGAACAAATAAAACTCATACGTACATAGCACAAGTAATATTGAAGGGGAAAAAGCAATTCATTTGTACACAAAAAAGAAAAATCCCTTGCAGGTTCATGAACTAAGAAAATATATTTACTTTGGAATTAATGAATTTCAGATTCTAAATAAAAAACAGATATGTTTTCATAAATGCAACACAAGATTCTTATAGACAACAACTAAAAAACATAAAACTGAAGGTCTTACTGTGCTACAAAGACAGTCATTCTCAAAATAAAGCACTATTTCAAGATATAATCACAGGTTTGCTTCTTAGTTGTTACATTTATATTCAGTGATCCTAAGTATATTTAAAAACATCATTAGTTTCAACATCTCAATTTTCACCTTTATTATTTCAGAAAGAAAAAAAAGGAAAAAAAAATAAAAAATTTCACACTTCTTTTTTTTTCTACATATTGTACAATGTTTGATTCTTAAAACAAATACATCAAGATTAAATGCTACCACTGCATTCAGCATATTGTGTTTAATTTCTTGGGACACGAGAAGGGGTTAGTTAAGCCCTTTACTTGTATCATGGTAGCTACTCTTAAAATGAATACAAATAGATACATACGTATAATAAATCTTTCAAGCATTTCTATACATTTGAGTCTATTACTTGCAGAATCTCTCACTCAAAATAATAACATATAAAGTTTGTGCACAATTACGATGCTCCTATCATATTTAATACAAACAGGTGCATTGAATCAGAGAGAAAGATTGATCTTAATGTTGTTTTCAAATAATAAAATTGTAGATTTATTCTGTACACATTTTTATTTTAAACTTTAAAATTCAATAGTTAAAGTAACATAAATTGCTGTAAATTTACATGTAATATACAGGGTATAATTTAAATAATTTTGTAAACAGTACACTTTGGACACTGCATACTAGAATAGTTTGTACTTTTCTGCTTTATCAAATCTCAAAAAAAGTCTTAAGTTTAACTTTACATGTACAAAGCATGTGAGACACTCCAAATAATTTTAGAAATCAGAACTTCCACACTATGAAAAATGCCAACATGTTTGAATATAATGATTTGCATATAAAAATGGTATTGAAACTCTGTATGAAATTAAACCAACAACTCTCCCAAAGTCTTCATGAGATAGGAAATGATCACAGGGATGTAAAAAGTTTGATGAAATGCTGAAATAAAAAAAAAAATAAAAACACTACAATATATAGCTATTAATTAAACAACTTTATAGTATCAAAATGAACATTTCTAACAAATTCGGGATCAAAATAGATAGAAAGTAAAACTTTGAACTATTATATTTCTCATTGTAGTCTACCTCTAAAAAATATTGTTTCATCAAATACTTATCAAAAATTTTCTTTATTCTGTTTGCAAATAATGCAAAAGATGAACTGCTGACTTTATTTTGCTTTTTTAAGCTCTAGTTTCTATAGTTTTATAACACAGGTAATCAGAGATTACAGAGCTCACCTCAACGAATGTTGTCTTTAAGTAAGGCAAAGTCCCAAACTAATAATCTAGTAGCGTGCATCCCTAGATGTAACATTTGTGCAATTTTGGTCCGATAGGGCTTGCAGTTACTTGGGAATGGACTTACCTAAAAACTTTAAACTAGTCACTCATCCAGAAAATGTAAGTCATATCCAGCATCTGAAGCAAGTTTGAGAGTGTTCATCCCATGATGCATCATCCATGCAATTTTGGTTCAGAGAGCCCTTATAGTTTACTTTAACCTGGTCACTCATCTGGAAAATGTAGGCCAGATCCAGCATCTGGCGCAAGCCTGCTAGTGTGCATCTTTAGATGTATCATCCATACAAGTTTAGTCAACATATGGCTTAAAGTTATTTGGAAATGAGACCTGCTCCAAAAACTTTAACCTGGTCACTGAACCGGAAAATGTAGGTCAGATCCAGCATCCGAAGCAAGTCCAGTAGTGTGCATCTGTGCATCCTTAGGTGTATCATCCATGCAAGTTTGGTCAATATAGGGCTTATAGTTACTTGGAAATGAGACCTGCTCCAAGAACTTTAACCTGCTCCAAGAACTTTAACGGTAAACCTGCTCCAAAAACATTAACCTGGTCATTCTTCAGCTGAAATTGCAGCATCTGAAACCTTGACTGGTACAATGAAACATACTAGAAGCATCCTCCCCCCCTCCCCCCCCCCACCTCCATCATACATTATAGGGCGCACAAGCCTTTATTATGGGCAGTATACATTAAAGGGAATGTACATTGAAATGAAATTGACCTTTTAACTTAAGATCAATAGGGGTCATATACTGGTACTATCTGAGATGCATCAACCTATCAAAAATGAAGTGTCTAAGCTAAAAAGTTTTTGAATTATAGGTTGCATAAACCTTGGTTGACATATAGACCATTAGACAAGTTTGACTGTACTTCTAAATATCTGTAAAAAATTGCTAGATCGTACCCAAAACAGAACTTAACCTTGATATTCTTATGATAAATCTGTATACCAAATTTCATTTCAGTATGTGCAACCTCTGCAAAGAAAATGAACGGAAACTGCAAATACATGTAATTGGATTTTTTTCTAAGTCCAAGGGGCATAACTCTGTCAAAAATTGCTCCATTGTACTCAAAACAGAACCTGACCTAGATGTTCTTATGATAAATCTGTATACCAAATTCCATTTCAGTGTGAGCAACCTCTGCAAAGAAAACGAACAGAAACTGTTGGTGGACCAACAGACAGACAGACCGACAGACAGCAGCAAAGCAATACCCCCCCCCCCCCCCGCTTTGAAGGGGGGGGCATAAAAAATAAACAAAAGTAGTAAAAATTTTCTATGAGTGATTACTGTCTTCCATGTCTTACATGGCTTCCTCAATGCTCAGATAGGGGAAAAGTTTAAAGTGTCGCTCAACTTAAAAAATGACACGGATACTTGTAACATAGCATTCAATCTAACCTGAATGTTTTCTATGAAAATTCATCTTGACTTTTTCTGACACACCGTGCCACACGTTTTTTGAAATCTTCTGGTTGTTCTCTCCACATTTTCTACAAAACACCAAGTAAAAATTGAAAACAAGGACAACAAAGTCTAACCAATAAAGAAAAACATTATTTGGGTTTAGATTTTAAAAAAAAATGATATGCTCTTCAAAATATTGAAATGCAGAACTTTGGTACATTTATTCTAAGACTTGACAACTAACTACTGAAAACAAGTTGGAATCTAATGATTTTAAAAATACAGAATGCATGATAATTTTTAAATGACAATTTTAGACCATATTGTGTCATTGGTTTATTTTAATACCATTATCCTGTTTGTTCACAACCCATCATACTTACAGCTGCATCCACATTGGCTGGTGATTCATCATTAGGATCAGAAATCATGGATATAACACTGACTAAAATAGTTTCCACAGTATGTACAGGTAACCAACGTTCTGAGGCTGTTTCATAGCCATATTTATCATCACCTGGCTCATGAAGGATAGAAATGCACACCACTCCATCAGGACCAACTGTAAAAACATAATCCTTGACTGAAAATGTATACTTTAGAAAAAAATCAAAACAATATATGAAATAAAAAGATTTCAAACTGGATACACACTTCTATGGATTTGCAACTACCGGTATTTAAAATTTCAAGACAGCATGTTCCATACTGAAACACAAGTGGCTGGGGGGGGGGGGGGGGGGCAACAATGCTCACCTTTGTCACCTTTTTTAAAGTTTTTTTTTAGTTCCTTCAAAAGATGATCTGAAAATGGTATATAGGCAAAGATCGCCAAAATCTGATATCAAATTGAACCTCACATGTTACATATCAGTTAGAATATTTTCTACTATTAACTCATAAATAAAAACACTGAAAAGGAGGGATAATGAAAGTAAATAGAGGACAGGAAATATTTGGGACTCCATCTATAATAAGTGGAATACGAGCAGAGACTGCAGCCTATTGAGGTGTTTTGAACTACATTTATATTTATATTCAAAATGTACTAGACGTAAAAAATCTATTTAAGGAAATATTTCATCCTTCCTCTCTCTCTTCCTCTCTCTCTGTCTGTCTCTCTCTCTATTCACTTGGCAAAAAATAAGAGGGGGGGTCCAATGACCAGACATATGGAAGGACACACAGACACCTTAAAATGGATGATCAGAAAAGCTCTCGAGTTTATAGCTCAGGTGGGCTAAAACAATATAAAAGGTACTTCACCACAGGCCTACTTCTTAACTAAATTAGAATTTTCTTACCTTGTTCTCTCATTAGTTCCTTATTTAATATTGCTTGATAATTACTGTACACTTTTTGTTAATAGGTATTCACATTCAAAATAAAAATATTTTCATCACAAATTGAATTAACAATTAACAGTAATTAACTTCTCAGTCCTTCTTGTAACACTGTGCTCCAAAAGTTCATATACAGTGGCGCCTCGTTAATCCGGACACCTCCGTCCCCAACGAAATCGTCCGGATAAATGAATCGTCCGGATAAGTGAATCACTTCTTAAAAGACGTACCATCTCAAAGCATGTACATATGAACATAGTGGTGTCAAATGTGAAGGCAAAGAAAACACCTTTATTTTACCTTGACATATTGATTTTATTCTTATAGTTTTAAAAGAAATAATTAATATTTAAAAAAGAAAAAAATTAAAATGTAATTTACACGATGAAAAATGGATAGGCAGTTTTATGTTGAGACTTCCTCTTCTAACACAGGAAACTTTTAATTACTCGCCTTCTATTACATGGGCTGACCAAATTTTGATCTGCTACTGTTTTATTTCGGCACATTTTTTTATTTATTCAAGCTCATATTAAGCAGAACTGTTCATTATCACCATTGAGAATGTTCAAATGATTAACCGCGTATATTCACTACATAGGGAAGTAAGTAACTAAATACTGTAATCAGTGTACGTATTGCAAACATTCAACGTAAACACAAGCCATATTCAGGATTATCAATACTTTTTCTATAAACTCTAAGTTATATACCTTGAAAAAATGTGATCGGTATTTATAACTAATGCCAGTTACGTATTTCTTAGTGCATTAAATAGAAATATATTTTCTTGAATTTTGTATCATAGTGAATTGTCTTATGAAAAGAAAAAAAAACCGTTTCAAATAATGTACGTTTTGAGAATTGGAAAATCGTATTTTGATAAACTTACGCAACTCATTACCACAACGAAATCTCGTGATTTATTATTCAGTAAAAAAAATTATTTACAACTCTCCAAAATTCTCATAAATTTATATACCGTTATCAATTTATTCTATTCTGAACGGATTTATATTTAATTAATGCACAGTATATAAGATAAATTCTTCGGGCTTTATAATATAAAAAACGTGTGTTTTATCTGAGGTAAACACCCGCTAATTATAGACGCTATTGTTTAGAGGTCACAGGTAACCGCCTTCAAACTGACTCCACGGACAATGTTTTTACAATAATTATCACTACTGCAAGAAAGGTGTGAAAAGTCGTTCCTCGAAAAATTACCGTCCGGATAAACGAGTCATTTTTCAATGAAATATTACGTTTTGTAGTAGAAATTGACCGTCCGGATCCGGAACGCGAATTTCCGGATTAATGAGACAGAATAACGTGGAAAAAATCGGTTCCCAGAAAATATCGTCCGGAAGGTGAAGCGTCCGGATTATTGGCGTCCGGATTACCGCGGCGCCACTGTACTGGGGATTTTCAATGAGATCTAAATAAATGTCAGATCTTGGTTAATTCTAATTATATTCAATGTCCGAAATTTTAGTCCACAAATTAGATACTAGTTTCTTTTACAACAGGTTTGAAATTTTTTTAAAAAAGAATTTAAGTAAATGCAGTATTCATTCTTTAACACTGCAGTTCTGGGTCGGAATTTTTTTCCTAAATTTGGTTATCATACACTGTTTGATTGTGTTCCTAAACTACCAGGAAACTTACTGTTTGGATGCCAAATATCAGACTTGAAGACCATTTTTGGAGGTCTATGAGGGTATTCCTTTGGGAACAGAAGGTGGGCTTTAAAGAATCCTCCTTCACTGAAAATTGGAAAAAGATGTTATTTACCCCATGCCATGGTATCATTTCTGATTCTGAACTTCCATTCTGTTGAATTATAAAATGCAGGTTATCTCATCCAACAAGAATTTATACGAGACTACACCAGATTTCTTCAGTACTATTCAATCTCTCAGTATGTATTTGATTGATATGTATATCCCTGCATTATTGCTTTTAGATTTTGTCATGAACTTAAAAAAGGTCAAATGGAATACAGCCAAATAAACTCAATTTAAGAGTCTATATCAGCTTTATCATTTATATTGTCCATATATTAAGATGAAAAATGTTAATGAAGTATTTCAATCCAGATACTTTTGTACTCTTTAGTACTCTGATGCACAGAACTACTTACTATGGGGTATCCTGAGGCCCAATAATGACTACCTCCCATTTGTATAAGTCTTCATCATCTATCAGGCCTGCTGAAAATCCTTCTACTGGATTTTTGTTCAAATCTTAGAAGACAAAGTTAAAAAAAATTAAGTCATATTACCAAGAATATAAACTCTCAATGAATATTTACAACTAAGGGCGTAACAATATATCAGTGTATTGTGATGCAGAGGGGGTTGATTTGAAACATCAATACATCAAATTAAATAGAAGTTTTCAACTGATTAGGGTTAGTTTCGCATCCATCCAAGAGATTAAGGTTATAGTCCTCGCACATGGGTTAGTCTAGCATCTGCCCGGGAGATTTGGGTTAGTGTCTTGTTCTTTTAGACTAATTAAGAAATACAGTTGCATCTGTATTTTTTGCAAGACCTTTATTCAGCTTCAATGACATCTCGGTTCGTTTACATAAAAAAAAAAATGGCAACCGCTATGTACAATAGAAATGGCACTAAGCATGCGCCCCACATTCTTCATTGACAATTATTTTTTGTCTCTTTTTCACTGAATAAACAATATTTATTACTTTTTTAAAGAGAATGAGGTTTAAAACTTCGTTTAAAAGCAAAGTTTAAAACTAAATTTTTAACTGTAGAATTCGATTTTGGGGTAAAAAAGGCTTATATTAACCTCATACTTTTTATTTTTTTTGATCGCTCAAGCGATCTCGTATATATAATTGAAATTGCCTATGGCGAAACTATATTTTAGCACGTTTTTCTGGGGACTGGTAAAGTAAAGTTGATCCTTTTGTTTTAATCTTGGTTTTAGAAGTTTAAAAGACTATTAGAACAAGATTTTTTGTAAAATAAATGCTGAAATCTGCATTTCACTATTCAAAATATAAAAGTTAATTATGGCAAAAACAACAAAAGTAAAAAAAGAAAGAAAGAAAGAAAGATATGCCATGATATATTGTGATTTTTTTTCTGAAATATTATGATCCATCTTGACACTTTTTACTTTTTTTTTTACTGGTTACTGGTTAAAACACTCTACTACATAGATACAAGGTCAAGGATGGAAATTTATATATATGTAAATGATATTTGAAGACCAGCATGCTTGTAAAACTACGACATGTGCAATATCTTTCACTAATAATCATATACAACTCTAAGAATATTATTCTGAAGCATTATCTTTGTAATATGGAACCATTCTTTTATGTAAACTTATCTTCTTTTATGTAAACTACTTTTATTATTCACACTCCCCCATGATTCTGAAAATGTATCTAAATTGACTAAACTTAAAACATTAAACATAAAGCATTAAAACATTAATTAAATGCATTTCTTATGCAAATAGACATATGTATTTATATATACATATATAATACATGGCCTTGCACAGTACAACCAGTAAATCGTCCAACACAACAACCTAAGGACATGTTAATCTGTATCCCACTTTTTATTTTCGTGAAACATTCCTTGTAATATTGGATAATCCATGTAATAAAGCCTAAAACATGATTAAAAGTCATAATTTCAATTCAAAATAATAAATATGCTTGTTTTCTTCAAGACTGGTTATTCATGTATGACGAAGTACATGAAGTATCGAGTTGTTGTGAGCAGTCGATAAAGGAAGGGGGGTGATTAACTTTCAGCTTTAGTGTAATGACCAATATTTCTGTACAGTTAGAAATATTTAGGGAAAAATATATTCTTACCAGCCAATTGTTTTCTTAAAAGAAGAGCTGATTGTTCGCTAGCCATGAAAGAATGTTGATGAACAAAACTTTCACGTTCAACGATGAATGCCTGGAAGTATATTTGGCGCAAGCGCAGTAATAGAAGTTAATGCACTCAGCTGAGAGACAAGGGCAGATAAGTCAGTAGAAAGTTCAAGGATAATATTTTTACAGTCTCAAAAGGCAGCTGCCTTAATGCTTTTATAGTTTTTGCACATTCTATTTTGGAGGTCTTTGTGGGAGGAAAAAAAGGTTTATCTTCATTTACTTAGATTCTATTTGATTTGTTAACAACAGATTGCATAAACACACAAATTGTTCGGTTTATGTTCTATCTTGTCTTAAATATACTTATTAAATTCCCTATTTAAAATTTGCAATTAATCATTGATAGAAAAATTGAAAAAACGGTGTATAATAATCACAAGACACGTCAACACAATTTTTTAAAATTTTAATTAGAAAAATTCCGGAACACTAAGGAACAACTGAAACGCACCTAAATTTACATACATTCTGTCAATATCCGGTGAAGACTACAATGAGTTCATCTGTCTCATCATCAATCATCATTTTTATAAAGAAATTCATCACACTGTGACAACTAGAATCTCTCATTTTTTGAAAGATGTTCATAAATAGAAACTTTGTTATCATAAGGTAATAAGGAACTATTCAAATTTGATTTGCTATGTACAAAATTGACTTAGAAAGTAGCAGTATTTTCAAGAAGACCAATTTAGCTTAATTAAATAATTTGTCTCATATGTTCTGGGGCTGTTTGAAGCAAATAAGCTGTTTGAACAGTTACTCCAGGACGGAGACACAATGAAATCTAATAATTATCAATAATACTCAATGACAACACTTACTAATGATTTGGAACAATACAGTTATACATGAATGTTGATATGTCAGACAGCGAAACTGTTGGGGTGGTTGCAGTTCCCTTTCATGTAATAGGGAGCGACGTGAAGCCCTGCTCGCACTGCAAGCTCTAACGAAAACACCTGGGGGAAGAGAAAATTTGAACTTTACACACTATTCCAATGGAATTTTTTCCACAGCTACCTCAAGACGCACAATGCAATGTGAAAGACTTGTTCTCACTTTAACAACAATTAAAAATTCACAAAAAAATAACTGTCTCACCTTTATTTATGGATATTGCATACAGATAGTAGATTAATTAAATGTTCTAATCTTTGTTAAAATTATGACTTTTCAAACTTCATTTATGGAAATGCAGCTAACATTTGATGTCATGTAGATAGAATTCTCTATCGTTAAAATGGTAAATGTCCTACGGATCCAGTTTAACGATAGAATGCATTCCGTATATTGTCAATGTAGCAAAAAAAATACAGGAGATAACTATAACTCAGTGCATTTACTAAGAAAAATCCCGAGAGTTCCGAATGTCAATATGGTGTGTAAATTTGAAACGAGTAAAAAAAATTGGTGAAAAAGTGTTGAATTCTTCCATTATATGGATTAAATTTTTAGATGAAAGGTATTTACAGTCTCAAAAAGGTTTGTTATGATTAATTTGACTGTCATTTTCAATGCAACTTCATTAATTTTCTCCAAAATTGTTTCGGAATGATTCTGCAATTTTCTGCTACATTACGGGTATATGGGAGGCATTCTAACTGTGGTGAGGGCCTGTCCCGAGACACAGTTAGATTATTCTAACTAGATGTCATGTGACACCACAGTCTAGATGTTCCAAATATATTGTGGTTTGAAGAGGTGGGTCTTAGTTAAAAGTGAATATCCAGTAAGGGTATAACCATTTGAGGGGGGGGGGGGTGCCAGTAAATTTTTACGAGTCAAATCTTTTACTTTCATGTTGGTGAAGGACAGACTATTTATTTCCAAGATAACTGAGGACAGATTATTTATTTTCTTCTTCACTGACAAAAGTCTGACAAGCAAGTAGAAAAAAGAGGGGGGAGTGGGAGAATTGCCAATCTCACAACAAACTTCTATTTGCTTTGGGGGGGGGGGGGGGGAGGGTTAGTACTAGTCGAGGACAGATGATTTATTTTCTTGCCATTGAGGACGGATTATTTATTTCTAACATTTTTGAGGACAGATTATTTATTTCAAATCTTCTCCCCCCCCCCTTCAGAATCAAATGGTCTTCCCCTTAATACACAACTTCACTCACCCTAACGGTCACACTGTCAACATATTAATAAATTCTACACCTCTCAAATGGAAGATCCATCATTTTTTTTTTACATACTGCAGATGATGTCATAATTTTCAGTAAGCTCCTGTGACCTGCATTTATTACATTTTGTAACTTCTTTTTTTCACACGATTTTTATGATTCATAAAAAAAAATAAAATTTAGATTTATTACTCCCAATACCTCAGGACTGAGATTTCTGAACTTTTCAGATGGTTCTTGAACACTTCCCATAAGATCAGAAAAAACTGAGATGTTTTTCTTTACAAAAAACATGACAACATACATATATAAAGTCTTGTTTACCGTATTTGGAAAACATATGTTAGTTTGTGGCAGAAAGATTTCATAAATTCTTTTGTAAATCTTTTCAAGCAACTTGTTGCTATGCTTTAGCCACCATATTTGCTATGCACTCAAAGAGGATTGGGAATTGAGGAATTTTTTCTCAATATAAACTTATAAAAATTTCTTGAATGGTTAGATTTCAAACTGAATTTCCTCCCTTCATACACATTGTCTATAGAGCTTGCTAGTCACAATGCTCATGGCACTCACTGTTATTTGAATGAAGATAAAGAGCCATAGCTGGCTTGCAGACAACATGGTCAACTAAATGATTAAAAAAGGAAATTGCCTGTTTCTCTGAATAAACATACCTTGCAATTCAGTTCAAGCTTCAAGGCCAATGTTTTGATTTTTTTTTTGGCAGTTTGCAACTGTTTTATTTTCATTGATTTTCTAAATCTTATTTTGTTGGGAATTAGACTAATAACCATACATGATAAATATTATATGATATACTTGCACCTGTAAAAGTATTATGCTCATCCATGAATCATAATTATAGCTGTACCTTTGCTGTGATACTTTCAAAGTCTTAATTGTATATCAGGAGTGTTAGAAACTATGTTTATTATAAAACAAAAAATATGACATGAAATGAAAGGAAAATGTTAAAACTCTGAATCATAGAATTTAAAGACCAACAGTTTTACTGCTGCACCACAAAAACTTTAATTCAAGGCTTACCAGGTAATTTTAAGACAGATTGGTAAATTTTTAGGTAAAATTAGAAGGAAAATTGATTATATATTTTCTGTATGAAGGCCACCTTTAAAATAAAATGATTTGAATGTTGTTTTTCTGGTTAAGAGTGGTCTTTGGCAACAATATGTCATTGTTTAGGCATATACATGTATTCACCTAATTTTTTAATATTGCTGAAAATTCACCATAGGGGGCTCAATACAGGTATAATCAGGTCAAAATCACTCAGAGATATCAGAATTGAGACATATACAGAATAAATTACCTAAATGTAACCTTTGTAATCTGTGTATCCAAATATTAACATGGAATATGAGGAATGATGCCAAGTTTTAATCTTATGTAAATTAACCTTTGTTACTGGATAGTGGTTACAAATGAAAAGTTTTGAAAGGGAAAGTTTTTAACACATTCTTTGCCATATAAATGCACAAATGAAGATGATTGTTAAAAGCTATAATGCATTTGATAGACATTTTTGCTTAAATGAGTAGTGATTTCTTAAATACAATTTTTTTTAAACTTTCATCCTAATTTTCCTTGCTAAAAGCAGGGCCCTTTGAGATGGTCACCATCTCAACAATTTCTAGTTGCAGCCAGTCTCTTCATAAGTATACATCCAATTAAATAATCTTTGTGAAGTTCCGTATTTGAGCCTAATGTCTCATCTGTTTAGATGAATGTTACAAATATTATAATCAAGTTTCTTAATAGAGTGTTCCTAGGAACACATGTGTTGCCTGCTTTATAGCATCATTAAAGATCAAAATAAATCTAAGGATATTTTCTACTAGCATTATAGTTCAGGCATTTGGCTGCAAAGAAAAATTAACATCTATGAATAGTAAGACCAAGTAAAATAGCATTTATCATTTAAGATCTGACAATCAAATCTTCTTCTCCAGAAGCATTGGGCCAATTTCAACCAAACTTGGCACAGAGTATCCTTGGGTAAAGAGATAAAAGTTTGCTCAAATGAAGGGCCACACCCTTTTCCAAGGGGAGATAATTAAGAAATAGTAAAAATCTTCTTTTCAAGAATCACTGGGCCAGAAAAGATGAAACTTATATGGGAGCATCCTCAGGTAGTTTACCGGTAGATTCAAATTTGCTCAAATCATGAGCCCTGGAGGTAGGGTGGGGCCAATATGGGCAAACAAAGTTTTACATGGATATATATAGGAAAAAATACTTAAAAATGAACATTAATGAGAAAAAAATACTAAATCCACATTATCTAGCTATAGTTTCTGATATATTTCTTTGGAATATGGGGTTTTGAAAACTGTATTTTTTTGCCCTGGTAATGGAAGACTTAGGGGCATGTATAGATAAATTAGATATATAGTTTTTGGTCTGTCCCTCTGTCTGTCTGTCTTTTTGTTAATCTGTTTGTCTGCAAAAACTTTAACCCTGCCAATAACTTTTGAATGGTTGGTGCTAGGGCTTTCATCTTTCACATGTGTATTCCTTGTGACAAGACATTTCTCTGAGTACCAACATATTTGACCTCATGACCTTGGAGTATGACCTTGGAGTTTGACCTACATTTGAAAATCTTTAGCCTTGGCCTTTAGCTGCCATACGGGGGTATGTGTTTCAGAAACACATCTTGTTTCAAGATGACTTCAACCTTGAGTCAAACACTTGAGCACAGGTATTCAAAAATACAATGGTCAAGTTTCAGATTGAAATGACAGGGAGGTGGTTGAAGTGTGGATAAAATGAATATGTTATTGCTCTATGTACATTTCTCATTTTCAGTAATGCAGTTAATTCATATTGCCACAAACTGACATGGGGAAAATGCATAAAATTAAAAGGAGTGTCGAAATCTGTTTTTGAGAAACGTCATGTTACTACAATTGTTGCAGGTAAGTATATAATTGTTACAGTATTAGAAATATAGGATCTCCCATGATTTGTAGTTGGATATGATTTTTATCCAACGAGTTGTGTGTTTTTTTATCCCCGAGCCTTGGCGAGAGGATAAAAACACACAACGAGTTGGATAAAAGTCATATCCAACTACAAATCATGGGAGATTCTTTTTATCCCATGTTTAATACTTCACAACTAATGTTTTACACTGTTTTATATAGGACTCCACTTTATTTTACTTCATCGCGCTAACGCAAAAACCATTGTGACGTCACAACTGTGGATTATGAAAAATTTATCCAATGAGTCATATCCACGGGATAAAGGGGTAGACATGGGATAAAATACAATACTACAATTACTAACTTCGAATTAATTATGTTAATTTAGGTAATATTTGGAATTGTGTATATACAAACTAAAATTCCAGAGCTATGTTTTATTGTGAATACATATACATGTATATATATTAGAGATGTTAATTGAATACGGATTTGCCAATTGGTTAACTGCAAGACATTTTAACTGATTAGTCGGTTAATTGTAACATTAAATAAAGATTTTCTTTTATTCATTTTCAAGTATGCCCTATTCATATGCACAAGAAGACAAAAAAAATGTTAGAATATTTTGTCTATGTTTGATCAGAACACATATTTTTTTTCAATTTCAAAGGCATGAAAAAAAAATAGAAAAAAATCAGACATACCTAAGATATCAGAGGCATTTATCATAGATTAATAAAATATCACCTCTTTGAATATACAGTGCCTGATTAAATGGTACACACTGCACTTGTATAGCTAGATTGAGGGAGCACCTGTTACTGTTCAACATGAGCATGGATTTTGATTTTTTGCTTACGATATGTTGCACTTTTATGGCATTTAGAGTTTGTGATGTCAAAATAAAAATAGATACCTTTAACCTTTGACCTTCCCTACATGTTATTGTGTTATGAATACCAAAGCTTTCAAGACACATTATAAGAAATATACATATGGAATGAAAATATTTTTAATTCAAGTTTTACATGGGAATACAGGTGTATAGGAAATATAAAAAATGTCATGAGAATTTTTATTATGGACTCTTGAGTTAGGGTTTGGCTAAAATTGGCGATAAATTTGATAATGTGTGTTTTTTTTTTTTAATTTGAGCAAGGCCTTGTTAGTCATATCAACAATAATGCATTCCTATGTTATGTAGATTTAAGTTCAATATCAAGTCATGACCTATGGGGCAAGGATGGGGCCACAGTATGGGAAAAAAATCCTTGAAAAATCTGATGAGGAACAGCATGGCCCAAGTGACTTAAGGAGCATTGTGGCCTATGGGCATCTACTTTCATTCTGTATATGTTCTTTTATATTTTAGCAAGAGAGTCTTTGAAAGATTTGGTTGGAGGAACAAAGAAGTTAATTGGGTAAAGTATTTTAACAAATGCTATATTACAAATACATGTCTTGTAAAATCATGGTTTGATAAAAACCAGAACATGTAGCAATGTTTTACATATTGCTGATATGTAAACTGACAGGTACCTCCCATGTATTTTGAAATGGTTCATTTTTTGGAAAGTTTTTTTTTTTCAGTTTCTATAGATAATTTTGTCTTTCAAGCAGGGAAAAAGATATATGTGCTAAAGTTGTACATATATGCCTGTCGCAAATCTTGTCAAATATATGTTATAGATCCCATATTGTAAAAGATATGAACTGTAGATTATTTGTGGTCTTGACCCCAAGGCATGTTATGCCAAGAATTCTATATCTCAAGTTCAAGGTCACTGTGAAATGGGACATACCCTAGCTGTGCAATAATTTTGTAATTCTGAATTGAATGAATTATAACTGTGAGATTTGTTTCATTATACCTGAGATAGCATTAATCATAATGTCTTCATAAGCTCAGGCCTTCAAGGACACAGGACATGTAGTTAGATTTTGAATTCATTTCAGTTCAAATTAAGTAGTTTCTCTTTATGTTCAGTTAGTAGAGCATCTCAATAGCGATTCAGAGAGCCCTGGGATCGAATCTTGGTCTAGCTCATTGCAATTTTCTCCCTAGCCAGTTACGTTTGGTGCTGTGCCATGCCCTGGGAGTGACAGGTGAAAAGCCTGTCATGAGAGAGCCTGGTTTGGTGTCTTGGACCTTATTGGAGGGAGGTATGTTGTGGTCAGCAGGTTTGATTGCCAGATAGCTCAGTTGGTAGAGCATCTAACTAGTGATTCAGGGGGCCTGGATCTGAATCCTGGTCTGGTCTGTCGCAATTTCTCCCTCACAGGTTACATGTTCATGTCCATGGCCTAGATATGTGTTGAGATATTGATTCAAGATCATTGTGTCAGAAGGGTCACAGATGGGAATGAAGGGGATGGAAAGATATTCTTATCTATCTAACATTTAGCATGTATTCAATGTTGTTTATATTAATAATTTTAGGCATATCAGAAAAACATTTAATGTTAGTACCTACAGAGATATTCATATTATAAATTTTAGGATATTATTGTGGATTAATATGTGAAATGGTCCTCACACATGTAGATGTTTTCAACATTTCAACTTTTGAAATTTCAATTTGAATTTGTTGGCAATGTAGAGTGAGTGATGAGTCGAGTAAAATTGAGATGGCACCGGTGGCAGAGTCTCAGGCTGAACTTCCTGTCCGGAGTATGTCTGACAGCTATTCCGAGTTGATTATTCCATTATCCAATGTTGTTGCAAGGCAAAAGTACCTCAATCCAAGCTTAAAAGGAGTACGATTTGGAAGAATTCTTGAAGATTTAGATACATTTGCAGGTGATTACACATTCAGATAACCATTTGACTATAACAACTTTTTTTTTTTACCTTTTGTATGAAAGCTCAGGGCAGTGGTTCATGTTGTATTATCTGGGTTTTTTTATGTTTAGTAGTATATCAAATTTTGATGGAAGTAAATCAGGCTTGCCATATGAGAGTACATGTATTCTCCATATATACAATAAAGGTAATTTTGTACTTTCAGTGTACATGGGGTAATTTTGTACTTTCAGTTTACATAAGTTATAAGCATACTGTGGTGGACAGGTCTAAGAAAGCAGCAATATCCATAGTTACAGCTCTAGTGGATAGGATAGGTAAATATTTACAGTATACAAAATATCCAAAAATATTAGGATGTTGGTTTTTTTTTTTTGGGGGGGGGGGGGGGTAAAGTATTGGCATAGTTTATGTCAGTTTATGAGTTGCTGTAGGATTAAAAGTACTGTGAGTTAAAACTTAAAACCTTTACACACTTTAACGTTCAGAATTTTACTAAACCAAAAATTTAGAAACAGTGTATAAAAGCAGACTAAAGTAATTTCTGAGAGAATTGATAAAATGATTGATGTAAGCCAAATATGTCCAGAGAAACAGACAGACATCGTGCCTGATATGGATGTCAAGATGACGGGGAATGTCACATGGGTCGGAAAATCCTCAATGGAAGTTACAATGAAACTACAACAGGTAATTTGTTTGTGTGTTGTTTTTTTTTTCCTAGCATGTTCAGGTAAAAGTTTCATAATACAGCAAATAGGTATTTAAAATGTCGCTTTTACAGATCTTAAATGTTAGTCTTATTTTTTTCACAGGTTGGCCATAAGCCCATTGAACTATTATTTGCATTCCTTTAAAAGTTTAAAGCCTGCTGAACAAGAAATTAATTTGAGTTGGCGATATTTTCAGCAAATCAATTTTTTTAACATCATTTCATAACACTACAGTACCTCAATTTTTTGAGCAACTGTTGTAATCTAAAATTAGATCCTTTGATCCACTCATAGATGATTGTAGGTGTGCAGGTCAAAGGATCTAATTTCAATTAGATTGGTAAGTGTTGTAAAAAAAGTTATGAAAACACTGAAACACAACTTTGGTATAATTTATATTCTGTGATGGGAAAGCCAAGTATGATCTTCCTTGATCTTACTACTGTCATAAATAGAAAAGTGTCAGTACATATTGTTGGTAGGGTGAGTAGATTTAACAGCTAGTGTTTGTATCTTACAGGAAGTGAATTCTGCCATACAGACCATACTTATAGCCAAATTTCTTATGGTATCAAGAAACCCAGCAACTAAAAAGTAGGTTATGTGCTGCTGGACAAAAAATGTTATGAATGCAGATAAAATGAATTTGGCACTCTGATTTAATTTACATATTCCTTAATTACCAGAATTTATGACTAAGAAACTTTTCCACCAACATATTTTGAAGGAGGGAAGTAACTTGATCTACCCAAAGTATTAGAAATTTGTTTTGAAAAAATAAAATTGATAAATAAACTTGATTAATGTATGTGAAAGATGGAAAATGAGTTAATTTTTTTTAAAATGAATTTTTATTCAAATACCAGTATAAGTGAGCTTTTTTCCCCTTCACAGAGCAGCAGTTGTATGTCCATTGAAACCCGAAACACCCAAGGAAGAAAAAATATTTCAGCTCGGAGAAGGTACTTAATATAAATGCTAGTAAGAAAGAACATTCAAATATAAAATCCCACTGTGATATGAGAATTTGAAATTGTTCATGCAACATAAACAAAACTAATGAAATTGCAATACTCAAGGAATCAACAGGTTACAAAGGACAAGTGTATGCAATGTTTGGTGTAGCTATAAATTTAGGTAGCAGTCAATCTTTTTTAGACTGTAACTTACAGCAAGTCAGAAGATACTTGTAAGAACATTCATCATATTTTTTTAGTAAATAAGTTGGTGAGACAAGGAGAAGCAAAGAGAAATCTTCTTAAAACCCACCCCAGCGAGGAGGAGAGAGAAATGATCCACCAATTGTTTCTTCAGACACTGGATCCTAAGTAAGACTCCCTGTGACTGGTATTTACAGATATACTTAGTCTAGTAAATACACAACTATGAATTTTAAACAGTTATGGTTGTATTTTCTTAAATCATGTTAAAAAATAATCCCCTGCATTATTTACAGTTAGAAATAGAAATAATTTTTAGCTCAAGAGGAGTAAAAGAAAGTATGGTTCGTCATTGTATACTTCATTAAGCATAATACAGTCAAACCTTGTTATTTTGGACTCAATGGAACTGAGAAAAAACTTCGAGATATCCGATAGTTCAAGATATTGAGGGTAAAACACATCTAGGAAAAGTGGTCAGGACTTCCAAATGATTTTGATATATCCATGGTATTCGAGATATCGGTGTTTGAGATAATGAAGTTCAACTGTATATTTGTAGCTTCCAAACATTTCGTCATCGTGTGAAGCCAGAAAATAGCGTGTGGATGGAGGACACAATCTTAAAAAATCTCCACATTTGTTTTCCAGAGGTAAATTCCTATTACAATTTATTTAGCAGGAATTCAAAAAGGAAGAACCATTTTAGAGGTTTTTTACACCTCCAAGAAACACATTGAGGAGTTATAATCACAGTGTAAAACATGTATGCATTTTCTTCCTTTTGTTACTGTCAACATGTATTTCTAGTAATCACTGCTTTAATTCATGCTGACCAGGCCAGGAATCTTTACAACAAGATATTTGGTGGATACCTGATGAGGATAGCTTATGAATTAGCCTGGGCTAATGCTGCTCTGCATTGGTAAGTTCAACCCAATTCTGTTATTACTGAAAAGCAAAAAAAAAATTGCTTGATTGACTTGACATCTTGGCAGGTCTTTATCCGTTGTGATTTTTTCCCAATATTTTGTAGTAAGCTTTTCACAAGCATATCTCCAAGGTCAAATTCAATTTTGATTTTTCTAATCCTGTGCATTAAAAAAATTAAACCTTGTTTCTTACCAAAAAAAAAAAACATAGGTAATCAGAGATTACAGAGCTCACCTCAACGAATGTTGTCTTTAAGTAAGGCAAAGTCCCACACTAAACTAATAATCTAGGAGTGTGCATCCCTAGAGGCAACATTTATGCAATTTTGTTCTGATAGGGCTTGCAGTTACTTGGGAATAGACTAATCTGAAAACTTAAAACTAGTCACTCATCCAGAAAATGTAAGTCAAATCCAGCATCTGAAGCAAGTTTTGAGATTGTTTGTCACTTGATGCATCATCCATGCAAGTTTGGTTCAGATAGGCCTTATAGTTACTTGGAAATGAGATCTGCTCCAAAAACTTTAACCTGGTTACTCATCCAGAAAATGTAGGTCAAATCCAGCATCTGAAGCAAGTCCAGTAGTGTGAATCCTTAGATGTATCATCCATGCAAGTTTGGTCAATATAGGGTTTACAGTTACTTGGAAATGACATCTGCTCCAAAAACTTTAACCTGGTCACTCATACGGAAAATGTAAGTCAAATCCAGCATCTGAAGCAAGTCCAGTAGTGTACATCCTTAGATGTATCATCCATGCAAGTTTAGTCAATATAGGGCTTATAGATACTTGGAAATGACATCTGCTCCAAAAACTTTAACCTAGTCACTCATCCGGAAAATGTAGGTCAGATCCAGCATCCAAAGCAAGTCCAGTAGTGTACATCCTTAGATGTATCATCCATGCAAGTTTGGTCAATATAGGGTTTATAGATACTTGGAAATGACATCTGCTCCAAAAACTTTAACCTGGTTACTCATCCATAAAATATAGGTCAGATTCAGTATCCGAAGCAAGTCCAGTAGTGTGCATCCTTAGATGTATCATCCATGCAAGTTTGGTCAGTATAGGGCTTATAGTTACTTTGAAATGAGATCTGCTCCAAAAACCTTAACCTGGTCACTCATCCGGAAAATATAAGTCAGATCCAGCATCTGAAGCAAGTCCAGTAGTGTGCATCCTTAGATGTATCATCCATGCAAGTTTGGTCAATATAGGGCTTATAGTTACTTGGAAATGAGATCTACTTCAAAAACTTTAACCTAGTCACTCATCCGGAAAATGTAGGTCAGATCCAGAATCCGAAGCAAGTCCAGTAGTGTGCATCCTTAGATGTATCATCCATGCAAGTTTGGTCAATATAGGGTTTATAGATACTTGGAGATGAAATCTGCTCCAAAAACTTTAACCTGGCCACTCATCCGTAAAATATAGGTCAGATTCAGCATCCGAAGCAAGTCCAGTAGTGTGCATCCTTAGATGTATCATCCATGCAAGTTTGGTCAATATAGGGCTTATAGTTACTTGGAAATGAGATCTTCTTCAAAAACTTTAACCTGGTCACTCATCCGGAAAATGTAGGTCAGATCCAGCATCTGAAGCAAGTCCAGTAGTGTGCATCCTTAGATGTATCATCCATGCAAGTTTGGTCAATATAGGGTTTATAGATACTTGGAGATGACATCTGCTCCAAAAACTTTAACCTGGCCACTCATCCGTAAAATATAGGTCAGATTCAGCATCTGAAGCAAGTCCAGTAGTGTGCATCCTTAGATGTATCATCCATGCAAGTTTGGTCAATATAGGGCTTATAGTTACTTGGAAATGAGATCTACCCCAAAAACTTCAACCTAGTCACTCATCCAGAAAATGTAGGTCAGATCCAGCATCCGAAGCAAGTTCAGTAGTGTGCATCCTTAGATGTATCATCCATGCAGGTTTGGTCAATATAGGGTTTATAGTTACTTGGAAATGAGACCTGCTCCAAAAACTTTAACCTGCTCCAAAAACTTTAATCTGCTCCAAAAACATTAACTTGGTCATTCTTTAGCTGAAATTGCAGCATCTGAAACCTTGACTGGTACAATAAAACACACTAGAAGCATCCTCCATGCATCTCTGACTAATATAGGCCATAGAAATACTTGAAAAGAAAACTGCTCCAAAAACCTTAACCTGGGACGCCAACGCCAACACCGATGCCGAAGCCGAGGGTATTACATAAGCTCCCCCAACTTCGTTGAGGTGAGCTAAAAAAACAATCATGGTTCTTACCTTCTTATTTCATACTCCAGGGATTTATTTTAGATCTGTGTGTCCTATGTGCCAAGGTCAATACATTCCTCTTGTTCATTGTTCAGTGTGCCAGGTGTCAGTGACCTTGTAAAAGCATGTATTTAGAATTAATGTAACAAATTATTAAATATTTCTTCTGCAGAAAACCACAATTTTACATATCTTGACTTCTGAAGTGCAATTAGAGCTGGAGACTTAGACAATTTTATGAATTTTCTGCTTAGTTTTACTCTAGTAGGGAACAACAATATGTCTACATGATAAAGATTTGTGAACCATTCTTTCAGTTCCTCAAGAAACTTTAGTCTGATGATAGTGGATGATATTGCCTTTTTGAAGTCTGTAGAAATCAGGTCTCTTCTGCTGATGTCTTCCCAGGTATGACCTAATTCAATCATTTATGGACTACCAGTTGTTTAAATCTTTAATGGCATTTTCCTAAGTTTTCTGAAACACTGCAAACTGCATGTAAAAAATGGAAAAGTTCCATGATTCAGAATATGCAAGAAAATGGTAATATGAATATTTCACACTGTTGCTGTAAGAGAAAAATTCCACAAAAGTTAGAAAGTAGAAATTAACCCATTATACAGTTTTTACTATTTGTTTACTGTAAACCAACTATTATTTCTATCACTTTTATTAAAAATTTGTTAGATGGAAAATAATTCGTCTATTAATTTTCGCAACTGAGGAAAAATTCTACACAAATACTCTACTAAATAAATGATTTGTAACAAGAGAATGAAAGTAGTGAAACTGGCAATTGCATGTGAATAAAAATTGGCCTACAATACATACAACTTAAAATTTGTGTTAAAAAATCACTGATTGAAAATCAAGCAATATATTTTGTTTAACATGATGCAATTGTTGCCATAGATTTGGAAAAAATTATAATGTTGTGGCTGTATTCTTCCTTTTAATAGGATTTATGTATAAATTAGGATACATTACAGGTTAAAATTAAGAATATCGTAGAAAACCAACGACATGCTCCCTCTCCAGAAAAATGTTTTTCTTATTTCTTTTTCAGGTTGTATTTACACAGGACACAAGTTTACAGATCCATGTCCATGCTGAGGTGATCGACCCTGATGATGGATCTCGATCTACAAGCAATAATTTTCATTTCACTTTCCGATGCCATGAGCCAACCATACCAACTGTCATGCCTAAAACATATGCAGGTGTGTTGTATAGCATTTGCAGTCTTAATCATGTATTTAGAATTTTCTTTCTCAAAATTTTATCAGGTGTTACATGTGTACATATGGACGTCATTTTCTTATCTTAAATTTTCATCCTCACACTGTAAGAGTATGTATTTCAGGAGAAAAAGTAAAAAGATGAAAAATTCAGGGTAAACAATATGTTGAAAGGGGAGACATAATTTCTCCCCATTTAGAGTAAGGAGGACTAATGGTCACTTATGTAACTACGCTGATCAGGTGACAGACATATGTGATGAAAATCCAGAAACTGTACTGCTAAAGTTAGGGCTATTCCAGGAAAAATTGTATGGGGGGGTTGGAAGGCACTTTTATTTTTACCCCACCACCCATACATTTTTTAATTACCTTCTACCCCCCCCCCCCCATATCAATTTAAAATTGCTTTTGATACAACCATCCATCTAAATTAAAAAAAAAAAATTGTGTCACATATATATATGCAATAAAATTTTATGTACTTTTTTCAGGTATTGTAATTTATTGTAATAAATGAGTGTTGGGTTTTGACATCTATCCAACCAGGGCCCGTTTTACAAAAGAACTTATGACTAAGATCAAAATGTTATTATGCAAATAAATTTCTTTTTTGCATTACTTTAAAAATGTTTTAAATCTTTTTGAAAAAAATTGATTTTTTTTTTTTAAGTCTTGGCAATAGCTGGTTTTCTTAGTACATATTTTCCCTTGGAGTTATTTCCCTTGGTTGCCACCTTGGAAGTCAAACTAGTGAATTTTCCTCTTTGAGCAACCAAATTTAAACTTGTATGGCAGAAATATAAGGGCAAAAATCTTTAAAATTCTAAAATTATAAATTTAAAAGGAAGCTTTTGTAAACATACATTTGTAAGAAAAAAAGTGTTATCTTCACCTCATTGCCCAGTATGACAAGTCTAAATGAAGTAATCTGGGCTTGTTAACCTCCAATATGGTGACCTATGGGAAATAACTTTGCTACAATTGCATCTATCGAAAACTATATCTGTATCTATAATTAGTAACCATGTTCAAAATGTGCATTAAATTCCTTGTATATGACGTAATATGTTACCATTACATTAGAAAGATGTTCAAGGAATCACTTTCTAGTTTGTTGGGTATGCCAGAGCATCAACTACAGTTGGAAACATGGGATAATTTAGACATCAATTATTCATTATAGCAAGTGCAGTGAGCGGAGCGAAGCGCCGCTCGTCACTGTGAGCTCTTAAAGCAACACCTGGGCGAAGAGGAAATTCAGACTTTATACATTGATCCAAATGAATTTTTTTCCGCGGTTACCTGTGGTCCCATAATGCCTAGCGAATTGCATCTTGTCCCAAATTACATTCTCACAGTAGTAACAAAAATTCAACAAAAAAATAAAATAACCTTGATTTAATGGATAGCAGATAGATAGTAGATCAAATGTTCTTGATTAAAATTAGCACTGTTCAGACTTCGTTTTGGTAATGCAACATACATACGACGTCATATGATGTCAGAGTATAGACATAGCAAATGTAACGTGCAGTTTGTTGAGCCTGATCTAAATTAAAACTGAAAGGTACAGTATCTGCGCTTGCCCTCACAGTTGCACCGTCAACATATTATTTACTTTAATGTGTGAAATTAAAACGTAAATACACATGTATGAATCAAAAAAGGTGTCTAAAAGAATTGAAATAAACGAAGCATTCCATGTCACTATAGTCACTACCCACTGACACGAGACACAATGACAGCCTAGGAAATTGACATGCATATTTGGCACTTGACCTTTTACTTGGCGAAATTTACATTTATAGTTGTAAATTAACACACTTAACTTTCAAAAAGTTATCAAAGAGAAAACAGTTGGAAATGTAACTATATATTTACATTAATTCAAGAATATGTCATCAGGATTATGTACTCCCTTTCTCTATTACAATCATATCCAGTGCATAACATCTTTAAAAATCTTTACTGGCTTTCTATGAATTGAGATATGGGTGTGTTATCATACTGGACAATATATCTCGACTGACTCATTTGATCTTGACCTTAGTTTTTATACCCGCTGCAAACAAAGATACTTGGTACAAAGATTGTTTATGACCTGGGGATGTGCCATGACCTTAAACCAATGTTATTCAGGCAAGTTCAATGTCACTGACAGAAAAAATATCAGTCTATAACTTTCCAATGGAGACTAATTGGATATCGATTCTTGACATAAAGATTGCTTATGACTTGTCATGATCTCGTCCAAGGTCATTTTAGCAAGTTCAAGGTCACTGGATGAAAAAGTGTTAAATTCATGTTGGGTCTATATCTTTCTAATGTAGAAACACTGAAAGTTCATACTTCACACAAATGTTACCTATATAGGTGTGTGATGACATTGACACAAGGTCATTCTGGGAAGTAAAAGATCTGTGTTGAGTCCATAATTTTCTAATGGAGAAATATTGGATGTCCATATTTAACTCAAATATTACATTTACATAATATTATATTAGGACCAGGGGATATATTTTTTAATCAGTTCATTTTGGCAAGTTCAAGGTCACATTAACACATTTTCATAATAATGGTTAGAAAAAAGGAGGGCACCCCAACCCCCTCCCCCAATAGCAAATGCCTACTTTTTAACTCACAGTACCTCTAAGAACTGCAAATGATAGTATTGTTCTGCCGCTTATCTCAAAGTCAATTTTCAAAAGTTAACTTATTTGAATGATTTTTTCATATTTATATAGATATATGCGAATTTTCATAAACATAACGTATTTGGGAAAACAAAGAGAGATAATGCTTATAATTTTGGTAAAACATGTTTTTCACTATATAAATCAATGGACAACGGAAAATGTGGGGTTTTTTTTTAACTTCTCCCCCTCCCCCTTTCTGATGAAATAAAAATTCCCTTTTTAAAACAGTTATTATAAATTCGTAGCAAATGAGATTACAATTTTAAACAAGATGTGTTTTTGAAACATCGATGCCCCCGTATGGCAGCTTATGGCGAAGGTTAAAGTTTCTCAAATGCAAGTCAGACACCAGGACAAAAGATATAAAATGATGGTACCCAAAGAAAGGTCTCGTCTCGAGGAATATACTTGTGAAATATGAAAACCTAACACCAACCATTGAAATGTTATGAAAAAGGTTAAAGTAAGTAAATCATCAAGGTCAAGGTCAAATGGTGCCCAAGGGAAGGTCTTTTCACAAGTGATACACATGTACGTGAAAAATGAAAGCCCTAGAACCAAATGTTCAAATGTTATGGCTAAGGTTAAAGTTTTTTTTTAAAGTAAGTCAAACTCCAAGGTCAATGGGCCAAAACTGTTGGTATTCATAGGAAGGGCTTGTCACAAGGAATACACGTGTTGTATGAAAGCCCTAGTGCCAATTGTTCAAAAGTTATGACCAAGGTTAAAGTTTTCCTAAAGTAGGTCAAACTCCAAGGTTAAAGGGTCAAATTTCTTGGTATCCAGAGGAAGGTCTTGTCACAGGGTATACACATGTGAAGTTTGAAAGCCCTAGCACCAACTATTCAAAAGTTATGGCCAAGGTTTAAGTCTGATAAAATTTAGCAAAAGTGGGTCAAACTCCAAGGTCAAGGTCAAAAGGTCAAATTTGATGGTTTCCAAAGAAAGGTCTTGTCACAAGAATACACATGTGAAATATGAAAGCCATAGCTTCATCAAAAGTTATGGGCAAGGTAAAAGTTTTGGGGGACAAACAGACAGACAGATAGCTAGACAGATGGACAGGGCAAAAACTATATGCCCCCGAATCTTTGATTAGGGCATAAAAATATACTTTATCAATCTTATATGTTGAATTTTATAAAAGTTAAGCATTTGGAAAGATTTAAGGACAATTTATTCATTTCCTTGAGTATTTGAAAATCTGGCGATGTTTTAAAGCCTGATTTCAGTGGATAAAATTTTCTATCCCTCATATGAAAAAAGTTGTAAATAAGAGCATTTAACTTTTTGACACTGGTTTTAAAATTATTAATCAACTAATTAAGATAATGAACTCTTCTTTGCATTCAACCAAGTTTCAATGGCCAAATTGCAATTTATATTGAATTAAATGGGTGTAAAGTGTAGGCGGGAATTGAGAGTTAGCATTCATAGTTCTTTGCTAGCTTGTGGAGCAAGAAGGCCAGCATTTTTTTTTCTCTCTCTCTATTTTAATCTAGGCTTAAGGTATTTGGCTAGATAGTTTGTTGTCATAAGACAGTATGTCTTGATCCACAGAATGCCCTTGACCTGAACTGCCTTTATGTTAAGATGTGATGCTGTTGATGATTGTTCACTAAGAACTTTGGGAATTTTTTGTATGTTTTTATTCAGACTTATTATTTTTAGCCATGTGTGTGTTAATGTAGAAGGATGCTTCATCTCTTTGAATTCATTCAAGGGAATACTTACAAGCATGCTTTAAAAAATTTGTAAATTAAAACTTCTCTAGTTGTTAATTTTTATTTTTGTTTGTTTCAGAGTACATGTTATACCTGGATGGAAAGAGGCACTTTGAAAGCTGATCAACATTCTTTTTATTAGTTAGATACTTTCAATGCTTGGTTCATAAGGAATTTATATCAACCAATATTAGTTTACCAAATTTTTGGATTTAATACACGTATTTATTTCAAGATTGGTATTCAAATATGTAGAAATAAAAAAAGAAAAGGATCTATTAGTGTGAATTTAAGGAAATGAAATGCAATCCTTAAATTCAGTTGTGGAATTATTTTCATCTCTCTATTTCTCTGACCTATATGACATGCATGTTAACAGATAACTTTCTCTGTCTCATTTATCATAACCTGGAAAATGAAATGAATCATATATTCTCTATGAAGTTATTTTAAAGTAATTTATGAGTTCACAGAATTATTTTATACCAACTTTTTTCTCCAAAATTGGTGCGGGAGGGGTCCCACAAAGTATTTTTTCATCCTTTTGCTCCTACTTACCTGTATATAAAAAAATAAAGATAATTTATTGGGCATTTAAAAGACTAGCACAATTAATTCTTAATGTAATTATGCATATTCTTATTGAGTTGTTTTATGGTGAATTTTTAAGATGGCAATTCTTTTTGCAAACAATTGTATGTAGCTGGTATCATGAAATCAATGTGCTTTAATACTTAGCTAGACAACAATGCATTTTTTTTCCTATGGTTGTTTTGTTTACTTATATGATATTATTTTACCCAGTGATTTAATTATTATTTCAATGATTATATATTTTTTTCCTTATATTTTTGTAGTATTATAGTTACCTTTATAAAATTCATATTTTTTTTTTTCAAGAAGTACATTTTAGGAATGACTCTAATTCTTGGCCAAATTATTCGAGTATAACCTGGTTTGGGTCAGTTTACGCTTTATAATCCGCGAAGCGGATTATAAAACAGCGTAAACTGACCCAAACCAGGTTATACTCGAATAATTTGGCCAAGAATTAGGGTCATTCCTTATAATTTAATTTTAAAATCATTAAATAACTATGGGTGTAAAATTTCGTTGCTTTTTATTAGTTCAAATTTGCCGCTCAATAATACAACCATAGTAACGGAAGTAACGGATGTGATGGGAAGCGAGGGGAGGTAAAAACTAATACATAGGCCTAGCAGCCGTGTAGTTTGTTTACATGTGGTAAGATCAAATTATTGTTTGAAGTTAAAGGTACATTTATTAAATCTGGAATTTTCCCGAGGACTGGAAATGAGAGGATTGTATGGATACAGATGATTCAGCTGGTTGTCAGGGGTGTGTCCCCATTCCAACCCAGGTTATACAGAAATAATTTGTGTTCCTTTTTGGATATTAACCAATCAGAGGCTAGAATACAAATAAAATTAAATTATTTACATATATTTTAAGTTGTGATGCTTGTTGGACATTTGAACCAGATCCTGTGAAATCAGTAAAACTAGATTAAATCTACTTTCTTCTTTGTTTAGTATTTCTGAATGATAAAATGCTAACACTACAATTATATTACCTATATACCTGTTTTACTGAGTATGTATACATAATTTAGAGTATAAGTATGCATATTGCTTTTCTCAGTCTTGAATAAATGTTATTTGAATAAAACTACATGCATTGGAATTTGAATTACTTGAATAAAAGAATCACTGTCTAACCATACAGTATCTTCCTATTTATGATTTAATAAGATTTTTTCATATATCAGTAATAATGGGGAAATCCATATCAATTTTAATGGACATGACTCATAATTGCAGGTTATTATAGCAGAGTTGCAAACTTGGAAGTAGTGTAAAGTACACACATTGAAATTATTTCCTGGGGTACACATGTAACTAGTACAGTTATCCCATTTATCAGCATCAGATCATTTACTGGTGTACACATGTAACTAGAGAGTTATCCTATTCATTTACTGGTTTGCACATTAACTAGTACAGTTATCCTATTTATCAGTATCAGATCATTTACTGGTGTACACGTTACTAGTACAGTTATCCTATTTATCAGCATGGAATCACTAACTGCTGTACACATGTAACTTGTACAGTTATCTTATTTAACAGTATCAAATCATTTACTGGTGTACACATGTAACTAGAAAGTTATCCTATTCATCAGATTGGATCATGTATTGCTGTACACATGTAACTAGTACAGTTATCTTATTTAACAGTAACAAATCAAATCATTATCCACTTTATCAGCATTGAATCATTTACTGGGGAACCCATGTAACTAGTACAGTTATCCTATTTATCGGCATTTGATCATTTACTGGTGTACACATGTAACTGGTACAGTTATTCTATTTATCAGCTAGCATTGAATCATTTACTGGTGTACAGATGTATATGGTACAGTTATCCTATTTATCAGCATTGAATCATTTACTGGTGTACACATATAACGAGTACAGTTATCCCATTTATCAGCATTGAATCATTTACTGGTGTACATATGTAACTTGTACTATCATCCTATTTAATTGTATCAAATCATTTACTGGGGTACCCATGTAACTAGTACAGTTATCCTATTTATCAGCATTGAATCATTTACTGGTGTACACATGTACCTAGTAGTTATCCCATTTATCAGCATCAAATCATTTACTGGTGTACTCATGTAACTAGTACAGTTATCCCTTCATCTGCATCAGATATCTGGGTAATCATCTCAGGTTCTTCAGGAGACCTAACAAGCTTAACATGTTTTTCAGCAGGAAAAAAGAAGAATACATCATCCATTTTTATTATTACAATATAAACTGACAGATTAGACAAAGTCCTGTCAGTATAAATTAATTATAATAATTTAATCAACAATTGATAATACACTAAAAAGTGCTCTGTGTAAACTTACTGTACAAAAAAATTAAAATGAGGAACCCAAAATCATGTTAAAGTTAAAAGTGATCTAAAAACTTTACCTGCTAGTAAAAAAAAATCAACAACAAAACAGCTGAAAGGTGTCACAGTGAAACTTATCTAAACCACATTTACTTAGTATCAATTGTTTAGTTTCTAGGGTCCAAAATTGTCAATGAAACAAAACACTGAGGAAAAAAATCTGGATTGAACTAGTTACTCTGTACATGTAATTATTACCAGGAACCTATAAACAATACAATTATCCAAGTACATGTACATGTACTACAAATGTTTGTGTATAGATTTTCTTTAAGAAGGCACAAATACTTAGTTTGCAGATATTAATGTCTGAAAATTATAAGAAATCATTTTTTCCCATAGTACAAATAATGAATCCTGCAATATACTCTACTGAATTGCTCAGATGAATAATGAAGAGTTCTAACATCTTGTGAGTTTGGTCCTTCATAATCTAAATGGAATGGATTCACCAACAATAAATAATATAAGATGCAATAAAAAAAGGAATAAAATATATTGAAAACAATATACTGGACGGAAACAATAATGCATTTGTAAGCCAATAAGTATACAATTAAAATATGCATGTGTATAATTGATTTAAAACAAAATAGCTTTGATAACATAAAAATTAGGGAAAAAATATGCTCAGCCATGTTCAAAATTAAAATTTCACACATCATGTTTATATAAATAAGTACTCAATTTGAATTGACTCCGTTCTTGTTCCAACAGAGTAAAGGCAGTTTCAACCCTCTGTTGATGAAAGAAGATTACTTTTTTCTTCATATACTGTAAACATACTTTTTCTACATAGTCATAATTCCAAGGAATTGCAATTTTTGTTGAATCCGTGGGTAGAAGCTTACACAGATTTCTTGGATTGTTGTTGTATGTCTTAGATGTATTATAGGTTTGCTGGGACAAATTTCCGTGGAAAATCTATGACCACATACATAGCATTAATTAATACCATGCAGAAAAATGTACGTCTACAGTATCACAATACTACATGCCCTTCTTCAACCAATATAAAGGAATGGTAACATTATGGTATAACACACTGACAACCATACAGTTTAAATTATATCACAGTCAAGGTAATTGAAAAAGCAGTTGTAAATAAAATCAATTATTTGGATTGTAAAAGCAGGCAGTACAATAGAATAAATACAAGAACATTCAAGGAAAGTATCAAATGATGAATATCAACACGACTTTGATAAAAGTGTTTTACCATTTTTGAGAATTACAACAAAGGAAGAAATAATTACAGACAATATGATCATATGACAAAGTACACGTGCATGTCTTTCAAATCCAATAAAATTAAATGTTGATTGTCCTAAATTTTTTGCTCATTAAACAGAATTACTACAGGATTAGAGGAATGAATTAACCAAAGTTATGTTCAGGCATCACATACAGTGACTTTCAATTTCTTTTTAGAGATACAGTTAAACATTAAGGGGGAAAAAACCCACTTTCTCAAGATTTCAACAGAATCAAAAAATAGACTAGACCTCTGTGTCATATGATGATCTCTCAGGAATTTTTCCTAGCACCGCTCTGTACGTATCTGATGACCTTAGTGAACTAACAGGCTGATACGAATTACTCTCATGACTTTCCCTCAAAGCTCCTAAGTCTAATTTTGGCACTTCTACACGTCTACTTTCACTGGGATTCCCACTCTTCCTCAGTTGAACAGGTGTTAACGGAAGTTCTCGAAAACCATCCTTATAATTCAGACTACCATCTCTATTAAATTTGGCTGATCCATTTACTGTGAAAATCGTGGTTGAATTCAAGTCCTCATTTTCTTCTTCTTCTACATCCATGTTTTTGGGTTTACGGGGCTTTTTACGTCTTAATCGTTTACTTCTGCGAAGAGAATCCTGTGAATTGATTCCTGAGTCTGGGCTTATATCTTGAGTATAGTCTCCCTTTAAAACAGTTTTTGGCGGAGCCTCATTTTGGGAATCGTCTGTGTCAGAATGATAGCTTTTATTTTCATGAACACTAGGCATCAATTTCTGTGAATGCTTCTTTAAAGAAGCTTCCATTTGTGTTTTTAAAGATTTGGTGTAGTATAACGAAGAATTGTCTGAAATGAAAAGTTACAAATACTGCAGAAAATGATGAAATATTCAAAAGTACATGTAATATTTTTAAAACTTGGAAAGATATGAATATGACTCTTAAATAACAAAATGCTTTGGTTGATTTCAATACTGGGTGCAACATCTGAAAAATTGAATAGATAAAAAATACATGTTCCAATATTTATAACCCATTTTGTATATGGTAAAACAGTATCATTCAAAAATTTCAGAAAGTACATTGTAACTTTACCAATAGTGGATATTTTCTGATCTGTTTCCTGGGTGTCTCCGCCAGTGTTTTGCCTCGGATGACCTCGGAGGCTTTTTCTCTTCTTCCTCCTCAATCTCTTCACTGTATTGCTTCCATCACTATCATCAACACGGCTGTACTTATCAAAAGTCTAAAAAAAAAAAATTTTTTTTAAAAACACTCTTTTTTTAAAACAGAGCATTTATACAGGTCTCCCTATTGCTATAAGAAATACTGTGATCTGATTATTGTTCATAACATATTTTCTATTTTGGAAATCATTGACTGAAACTCATCACACAACAAGCATTATTAATGATGACTGAACTTTACTTCCACATTCAAATATTTAAGAACACTAGTTTGCATAATTTTTTATAGCATGCATCAGTTGTAGATTATTAAAAATATTTTCTAACATACAAGTAACAGCTGCTTTACAGTATTAAATGTATCTTGCATTTGGAACTGTCCCCAACCCCCCCAATTAAATGCATAATTTCTTATTTTTTCTGATCAATACTTGTATTTGTACATGAATTTCGATTGCAGTGACTTAGAACTTACCATATTATTGTTGTCTAGGTGATGTATGGGGGAGGTCAGGGGAGGAGGAGTTTCCCCATCTGTTCTCTGTCGCTCTGCCTCTTCTAACATTTTCTGATAATGTAGACCACTGTTTTCATTCATATCAGAGGATGATGACCTGCAAAATCATCATAAACTTAAATGCTGACTCTCAATAAGCCAAGCACTTGTTCAAGTAAAAGTATTAAAAAACAAATATTTTTTAAATACTATCTCATTCCATTAAATACGAAATACTTGTACATTCATTTTAAGTTCTTTTTTTAACTCCTACTTCCTTACTAAATACTATAATTTGGACCAAATTTCAAACCAATGGCTGTTTGTGTAATTTTGTATTTGAAAACTTTTTGACATACATGTATTACTTTTTGTATATACAGTCAAACCTCTTTTACAATACAAATCATGACATGTGCAACACTTTATATCTCTAACCTGATGGGACAGAGAAAAAAGTTGAGATATTGTCTGGATACTGAGGTTAAAATACATATAAAGTGGTTACTTCAAACTTACTTCTTACTACTTACATGTATTTATGGTATTCTAGATATTGAAGTTTAAGATACTGAAGTTAAACTGTATTTATGTGTAAATTTTTGTATATATACATGTATTAGCATGTAAACTTTTAGTATTTTCTATTTTTTTCTCTAAAATTAGTTTTTCTTATTATTTTATGGATTTGAGAAACTGTTTTTACTTTAAAGATTTAATAGAAATACATGCAAATAGAGCTTTTGGGTCTTTGACTGGATTAGCTAATTTTCATTTTTCTATGCAACAGTTGATAACCTCAGTTCAGTTAATACTACAGTATAAGAATGATACCAAATTTGGTGCAATGATTCTAAAGAAGTATTGATAGGTTAAGGAGTTGATAATGACTGCTGTACTGATTAATTATCAAAGAGAATACCTTAATGCTTAGTCTATAACCAACGGAACAAATATCTCAAGTAAACACTGTTTTTCATTAACCTCTTTGGAGTGTTTGAGCATATTTCATACCAATAGTTTACTCAACCACGATCTTTCAGTCATAACCCTCAAAAAACGATATCTTACATTTTGTCTTTTCCATTTCTCACATTGCTTGGCTCTACCCTATTTTTCATTTTTGACTGAAATGATAAAAATTAGGATACTTTAAGCTTTAAAAAATATTAATTCAATTGACACTCAATTGTATATTTAAAAATTCAGAAGATATTTGCCTTTACATTGGATAATACATATTGTACAATATTTTTTAATTCATCAGATCTAACTTTAAATAATACAAGTGACATTATGAATATTTTCAGGCTTTTACTTGTGCCTATATATCCTTTCCATCTATTTTTTCTACATTTACCTTTTTCTTCTCCCTGTGACTACTTGGGACGTCTGTATTGTAATCATTTTCTTCTCTCTCTCGCTGATGGACTATGTACTCATATGTTGTCATGTGGTTATACACTGTAAAACACATTCAGTTACATGTACTTCATTGTAAAAGGCATAGTTATATAATAAATTTCGTTTTTGCCATATATGTTAATTTGTCTGGCTCATTATTTTTGCAAGAGTTAAATGTATGAGTATCTGCAGTCTCAACTTTTGTGAAAGTTATATGTATTATTTTTGAACGGTATCAAAACAGCCCTGTTTGATATGCACGATAACTGTTCTCAAATGTATGAATACTCTTGACCAGTCAACCTTGTTTTCATTTTCAATGGTGTCTGACACATGTAGGGTTTATACAAAAATTTTTTTTTTCAAGCTTTCTACTGCACATGATTGTTTTGGAACCAAACTACTTACTTAAATAACAATGGAAGGCAAATAAGTGTATAAGTAGTCCCAGTGCCAGAAGTAAGAATACAGAAGTGACACCCACTATGGCTAGAAAGCCATTATCAGGAACTGGTGCATAGCAGATCCTAAACTCTGAAAAGTTAAAGGTAAGATTAAGCCACTTAAACTAAATTTAATATTGAGATTTTCTCAGTTTTGCTTCTAAGAAGGCACATTAGTTCAAATAAATTTCCATTAAAGAGAAGAACAAAACTTTATCAGTAAGACTGTAAGAGTGAAATTAACATTACTCAATTGATACTTCAAAATTTCCTTACATACCTGCAGTTTTATTGTCTGAAAAATGAAAATGAAGCAGATTTATGAAACATCAGGTTAATAATGTAAATCATGTATTTTTAAATTATTTCACAAAACAATAGTAACACATCCATCATGAGACATATTCTATCAAGTAACTTATACTATAGGACTTAATGAACTTTCCTTTATTATATTAAAAAAACTTTATTTTTGCATCAACAACATCTCAGAAAATAAAATGTAAATAAGATTCTTGTGAAGTAATTGTAGCAGCTAAAATGCCTTTAGTATTTGAATAAGAAACTGTCATTGTCAATAATAGAATACCTAATCACCCTCCTCTGTATACTTGATACACAAATTGTATTATTTTTGTAAGGGCTATGATTGTTGCATAATCTCCATCAGATACACTATTGATTTTGTATATCCACTTTGGAATACATGTTCAACTGTTCATTTCCTATATAACATATATAAATGTAAAAATTGTCATGTGCCATAGGATGTTTATACTGAGCAATAAATTTGAACCGATTTAGGCTTCTTTTGAAAACTGAATCTAACACCCACCCACACCCAAATAGACTTATCTGCAAAATTAGAAAATAAATAACAAGAATAGAAACCCTCTATATTTATGTAACTGTAAATACATGCACTTACCTTCTGTAAACATTGGATAAATTTTGTATAAACAATTCAAGTAAAAATTATACTTAAAGGTCTAGTGAGAATCATTAATCCATGAAATTTAACAGCTATCTTTATTAAATTTCTATTAAAAATTTGACATTTGATGTAAAAACCAAAAAAAATCCACTAGTATTTCTGATATCTTAAAATGATTTCTGGCCTCAGAAATTTAAATTCCTGATATCAAAAAATGATTTTCTGAAATCAGAAAATAGAACTTTTGATAATCATCCAAAAATTCCATTTACTTTCTTAAATCTAAAAATCTGTTTTCTGATATAAAAAATTCAAATTTTGGTATCAGAAAAATGATTTCTGATATCACAAAATACCTCAAAAGTACTAAAATGGTGCCTCATTAATTATATCAATCCTTTACTGAAGTATTCTAAACATAAATTTATCCAACACTTATTTACATACAGCTTCACATACACCACACCATATACTGGAAATACTTACTGGCTTTAAAATCTGTAAATAGAAAATGCATGTATGAAAAGTACATTTACATATATTTTTGACTTCTCTTTTATAAGCATTTTCTGTGTATTTCACATTAAAGTATTTTTTTTTTCTTCTTTTCTCTATTCAGTTTACCCTTAAAAACAAATTTTGAAAAATACACTGTTCAGAAAAAAATAACTGCATATATTTTATGTTAATGTTATACCTATATATGGTTGCAAAATTTTCCCTTCAGTTTTATCACTATAGTAAGACACAAACTCCAGCAAGGCCACAATTAGGACGAATAATACACCCAACATACCAGTCACCAGCACTGCAAGAAACCACCTGGAAAAAAATTATTATTTCCAACTTTATAAAATTCCTGTTTTTGGTGAGTAAGTGCAAGCCAGTTTGAAATTAAATGTAGATATACAAAGTATACACTGGTAGATGTTTAACTCTAGTACAGTAAAACAGTTTGTAGCAAGCATGGATATTGCCAGTTCATATGCTTCACAAAGAAACTAATATTTTTCCATTCTTATAACAGTGTTTTCTGTAGTGTAAATTTTTAAGGAGAATTAGATTTTTTTGTCAGGAATAGATTCTTCTGATTAAAATCCTGATGAACTTTGTGCACTGCCAATTGAAGCTAGACTCCATGCAGACTGTTAATTACTGTACCTGTAGTTCTTGCCTCCCACACAGTTGTTCAGCCATTTACAGTGATGGTCAAACTCGGCTACACACTTATTACAGGCACTACAATGCTTAGAGTTGGAGGCACTGAAAATAAAGATTTTATGACTCAACTTCATATTTTTATGACTACTGAATATTTTATCATTTATTTTTTCTGAAAATTGGTTGCTGTTTATTTGGAACAATAAACACAATTATTTACTTTTTTTTTTAAAGAAGTGTCAAAGGTCAACTGTTTATGGCTCTTTCATCCATGAAATGTAATATGGGCCAATAATACAATATTATACATGTCTATTATTACTTTCATCCATTTTATAAGAATGATTTAAAGAAAGTTATAAACAAAATGTATTTATTTGTTAATAAGGGGACTGATGGTCGCTCATGCATGTTACATAATTCTGCAATAATTCAACACTTAATCTCCAAAAACAAAGAAAGCACTTTATTATTTCAATACTTTTCAAAATATTTTCATATTCAAACATAACTGAATATAAAAATCATTCATTGTCAACTAAAGGTAAGAATCTAACTACTACTTTTTTTCAGTTGAGCAGTATATTTTCTCAAATAAAAAATATATAATTTTTTTTTTTTTTTTTTTTACTAGAGCATTTTAGCAGCACCATGCCCTTTTTGTTTTTCAAAATGAGAAAAAAATAATTAAAACCAGTAAAATTGGTGAAATACAATTTCAACCTCACCAAATATAATTTGTGCCTATTCAAAGATATAGCTGCAGAACTGTAGCTCTCTGGTTGAGAAAATGTGGACATACATGTACATTAATTTATAAAGAAAAACAACATTTCAGAGTGCTTTTGAGAATTGGTTGCGGCAAAAAATGACTTTTTGATTCTTGGATAATAATGTCCTTTTTAAGGTCTAGAAAAAACAATATACACATATATATGATTTTACCTATTTGTGTTACGTGAGTTTTATATGTAGATTTGGACTTACACATCTGTTTCACAGATATAGCAATGCATGTTTTCATCAATAACATGAGGATGTTTCTTTCTATCAAATGGCTTTCTTTTTTGACTGCCTTTCAGCACTGCAGGATCTGCTGGGTTTATGGTGCTGGCCACAATATGAGTAATAATATGGGAAAGCAATGCAATACCCGTGAGCTAACAGTATGTTAAGGATTTACATATCACAGTGGATAGACAAGAGAGGTGTACCTTATACTTTTTCCAAAGGTAACTCTTCTCCGAGATGTTCTTGTGTTGCCATTTATGTTAAATGTGTAAGATGCTCTTCACTGTCATTGCAGAGATCACCCAAGAAAATTAATTTTTTTCATGTTGTTCCCATGTATGTTTTCAGCATATACACTCTCAATACGAAAACTGAACAAGGGTTATTTTTGCCCATGTTAGTTCTGCCCCTTCACACTTGCAAATGATTTTGGCCCATTTTAAATTTGCCCAAACACAGTCAATTCAAAGAATCACTCTGTCTTCTTTTAATTTGCCCCATATTATAATTGCCCATTTGGGATGAGAACAAAAGGGTGGGAAACTTTGAATGCATTTAATACATAGAGTGGCAATGCAAGAAATTTTTACCCACTAATTAAGCTGAAATTGTTATTCCTTGGACATAAGACCCCCCTGAAAAAAGTATGTTTGCAGTATATAAATATATTTTTTTTGAAAATTGAATGATTTTTACAAACCTGAATGAAATAGTAAAATATAACTTAATTTTTAAAAACAGCATGAAAAGGATACTGCATAAACAGCTGGCTGAGAATCTGAGTGTAAATGTGGAACCAAAGTTGTGAAATTCACAAACGAAAAGTAAAGAACGAAAAACCAGGCCACACATTGCAGAGGATGAGGTGGACAGGTCCATCCATTCTTTCTGCTGATCTGTCGATACTGTGGGCGAAATAATTCTCTTGACATGTCTGCAAGGTTTCTGTTGAAATTACATTTGCATGACCTCACCTGCAAATTAAACAATTATTTTACATAAATGACCAGATTCATATTTGTCAACATTTTTACCCCACAATCTGACATTCATCTAGGTCATCATATATTATCTCTCATTCAAAGTTTTCACATTATTCTCAGCCCCCTCCCTTCACTTTGCTCTTTAAGACTTTCAAAACTAAACAGTATATATCACAATACTCCTAGGAATCTGACAATACTTCCAATCCTCTAAAATGTGTTCCTCTGTGTTTCACATTATGAAACAAGAGTACCAGTACATCACAAAGTCTAATCACCATGATCACATGCATGCAATGATGGTGTATTTCAACACATTAAGCCTAAAAGTACAATATAATGAAAATCATTATTGACTTAATTTCTAAACACATATTATTTACAAACCTAGCTACATCTATTTTAAAAACGTAAACCACATGTCTAGCTTGGAATGGATGAATCGCCACAAGTCTAGCAAAAGAAAGTTAACCTCATAAACACTCGGGTATTCTTTCAAGTAAAGTCTAAATATCACACTGTATACATGAATATAGCTCTATATAGTATCAGAGACATAAACTGTCTCTGATAGTATTTGATAGCAATCACATATTCCCTCTTCCAAATATGAACAAGTATTTATATTTCAAGAAAAAATAAACCTTGCATTTCTTAAAAGGCACCTTTTATCTAATCGACTTACATTTTTAATTCATTTTAAATAACAATCACGAAAAAACTGCAAATTTATGTACGTATACATTATCATTTTTTTCTCCATATAGCGGCCATTTTGGTTCCAAGGTGACAATATCAACTATATTCATCCGCCAGGGCGCCATAATGTCAAAATAACTTTCATTAGAAATTTATCAGATTATTCGTATAATTCAGTTTTAACCAACTTCCGAATAATAGAATGAAAGATTCTAAAAGCATCGATATACGTCTCTGTATATTTTCCTCCCTACTTTAATGAAGGACTATTTTCTCGCACTTGCACTTTTGGCATCTCGTACATAAAATGTTTCGTGTCAAATTATTTTTTTTTCGATGATTGGTATGTAATATTATTTTTAAATTAAAAAAAAAACTTTTGAATCAGTAAAATTTAAATTTTTATAAATACGTTAAAACATAAAAAAAAATGAAATATTTACACAAAAATTATACATTATTTGCACACCACACACACACACATTTTAAATATTTATACACATTCACCCCTGACTCAGATCATTCAACACTCTGTCTTTTTGATAAAAACAATAAAATGTACATCTTGAGATTATCAAATGTTTTTGATAAACCTGTAAGTGAACCTCTGTCTCAAAATGCATTTCAAAAAAAAAAAATAAATAAATAAATAAAAAATAAATAAATAAAAAATGCTATGACCTAAAATTCTCTAAATCAACTTTTCAATAAGAAAATTAAAAGTGATCCTTGAATTCAACTTCTTTTTGAAAAAAAATTTTGGAATTGTGATTCAATAACACATATTCATATTTCAATATGTATTTTTCTTATAAAGTATGTTGAAAGCTTTAACACTCAAACATCATAGCATTGATGGGGAGGTTAAAATGATTTTATTTTGACATGACAAACATTGAAAGCAATACAAGTGCCAACATCAGAAATGAAAATCAAAATTAACTTTCACCTTGAAACACCAATGGCTACCTCCTCAAGTTAGCCATTAAACAGGCATAAGTGTATATGTATGCACAAGTGATATATTTATCAATCTACAATGTACCATAAAATGTATGTAAATATAAGGATTGAATTGTAAATTTTGGACATTCAACATATCATAACACAGATGGCTGTGCAGACACATTATTCAATTTTGCAGCATGCCATCTGCATTATGAAACCATAACACATTGAAGGTCCAAAATTTACTATTCAATGTTAAATATTTCTTGCTATTTTACCTTGACAAAAACAGCAATGACACAAATTGGTGAATATACAAGTACCTTGTCTTTCCTAGTGACTTGATTGCTGATTACGAGAAGTCAAGAAAAGCAGACTCAATACACATAGCATTATGGCTTATTTCCATCTATACATTTACCCTGAAATTTTCTTCTAAAATCCTAAAATAATATCATTTTTTCCCCTCTAGATAAAGATATAATTGAACAATTACACTATACAAAGACATTAAACATAGGTAATCAAAGATTACGAAGCTCACCTCGACAAATATTATCAGTAAAAGTAATGCAAATCTCACATCATATTTTCTTTATAGTTAGTGTGCTTCCTGAAAACAATATTCATGCAAGTTCTGTGTAAGTAGGTCTTATAGTTCGTTGGGAATTGACCTGTTCCAAAAACTTTAACCTGTTCACTAATCAAGAAAATGTCTTTCATTTCCTACATCCGAAGCAAGTCTGGAATGCACCTTCTATGCAAGTTAAATCATAACAGGCCATATAAATAATTATAGAGCTACTCCAAACACATTGTCATGGTTACTCATTTGGAAAATATATGTCAGATCCAGAATCCGAAGCAAGTCTGGTAGTGCCCATCCCTAGATACATCATCCATGCAAGTTTGGTCCAGGTAGGGCTTATAGTTACTTGGGAATGGACCTGCTCTAAAAACTTTAACCTGGTCACTCATCTGGAAAATGTAGGTCAGATCCAGCATCTGAAGCAAATCTGGTAGTGTCCATCCCTAGATGCATCATCCATGAAAGTTTGGTCCAGGTAGGGCTTATAGTTACTTGGGAATGGACCTGCTCCAAAAACTTTAATCTGGTCACACATCTGGAAAATGTAGGTCAGATCCAGCATCCGAAGCAAGTGTGGTAGTGTCCATCCCTAGATGCATCATCCATGAAAGTTTGGTCCAGGTAGGGCTTATAGTTACTTGGGAATGGACCTGCTCCAAAAACTTTAATCTGGTCACACATCTGGAAAATGTAGGTCAGATCCAGCATCCGAAGCAAGTGTGGTAGTGTCCATCCCTAGATGCATCATCCATGAAAGTTTGGTCCAGGTAGGGCTTATAGTTACTTGGGAATGGACCTGCTCCAAAAACTTTAACCTGGTCACTCATCTGGAAAATGTAGGTCAGATCCAGCATCCGAAGCAAGTTTGGTAGTGTACATCCCTAGATGCATCATCCATACAAGTTTGGTCCAGGTTACTTGGGAATAGACTTGCTCCTAAAACTTTAACCGGGACGCCGACACTAACGACGATGCCAACGCCGGGGGTATAGCATAAGCTCATCTCGACTTCATCGAGGTGAGCTAAAAATGACATCTAAATACAACAATACTTATAGTTCAGAAATTCTTTTTTATTAGTATAACAAGCATATTGCTAAAGCAATACACATCCCTTGAGCTACTAACCATAAAAAAATCTTGACAATGCATTCACTGAAGCTGATACATGATCCTATGACAGAGAATTCAGAATGTGCTAGAACAGTTTGACAGCACAGTTGTAAGATATAATTAACATTAAATTAATAGCACCCCAAAATGCTGAAAATTTCAATTGAAGATCATAATACATGCACATGTAACTGTCAAAATCTACAGAATATTATGAACATTTTTTTATCAATATTATTGGTAAGGAACTGATTTCAGAATTTCAATGAAATGCATCAAAATTTTAAGACTCCTGAAGCAAAGATTTCAGTGGCCCTTAGTAATATTGGACTATAATTTAGACAGAAATAGAAGTCCACAACACACAGACAATCAGCAAATAGCAATGTACCAGTTTTTATGTAAATTCTAAAAGTTTTCTCTTTTTCTTATAACACAGGAGGCAGACCAATCAATAAAATCAAGACCTATTGTTTCTCATTTGATAGACAAATGATACGATACCAAGAGATATATGTACACATTTTTGGGGCTTTAATGTGTAAAGCAAATTTCACAGATTTTCAGTTAATGTTCATAACTCCAAGGTAATGGTCAAAGTCCAAAATTAGCTGAACCAAAATTTGATCTGACAATCTTCTATATACAAAAGTGTACCAAACATCAAAGATTAACAAAAAAATTCCTGAAAACAAGTAGCATACACAAAGTCTGACAGACAGATTGACGGAGAAACCCAGAATCCTCCTGTTTTCACTGACAGGGCATTTATAATAATGCTCTATCACGAGGAAAAACTGTAGCACTGACATAAATAATGATAAATCACAAGGTTTATCACAGAATTAGGAATGACACTGAGTCTGATTAGGTGATTTTCTTTATCTTCCTTAAGGACTGTTTTTTAATCCTTCGACAAGTCATTCCTCTCTCTGAACTGTCTTTCCACAGCTTTCCTCAAACCTTCGAGAAATTCCTCAAGAGATACACTGGAACTCTGCAAAAGAAAATGTTTACTCATAAAAGATGACATCAATAACTTCATAAAATGAAATATTTACTTTATTATCTTGGTTATTCTTAAACTTACTTGTATAAATTAGTTATAAAAAAATTGACATATATGTATATACTTGTTGAACAAAATAAAAACTTGCGTATTCTCTGATTTTCAACTTTTCTATGCACCCATCTTTTTTCTCTCAATTTAATTAGTTGAAATACCTGAACAAAGAGAGCATGTGCAATAAATGGGAGCTTCCTTAAAGTCCTTCCACTTAATCCCTGACTCTGTCTGCAAGTACAATCAAAAGATTAAAATTACTTGGAGAATTTGAAAACTCAAGACAAAACTCATTTTTATTGATATTTAAACTTGAAGACTTCATTCACCACAAAAATTGAAAATTGCTGTGAGATATCTATGGACTTTTATTTTTCTGAGCCACATGCTCATGCAAAGATCAAGGTCAAATGTACAGTATTGAGCCCAGTATGTAGAATCTGTAGTTGTCTCCTCTATAAACCATTTTTTAATCTATGTAATAAAAAGAAGCGTATAGGTTAAAAAATATCGAGATTGTTTGGATCATTTCCTTACATTGCTAAATCTCTCAGTTGCAAACTAAGCTTTGTGACATTTTTTTCAATGAATTTCATGACCTCCAATGTCCGTAAATCAAACAACTGCTGAGCAGGGGAGATGATTCCAACCTTCAAAAATAAATATTCACACAGTGTTATTCAGCTAAAACTTTTGTTAACTTAGACATTCAAAGATAACAAAAGCAAACACAAAAACATAATAAAGCAGTGTTTAATCTTGTTAAAACATTTCTACGCTTAAGGAGATGCAATGTTTTTCAATCAAAAGACCCCTCATATACGTACATGTTTTTCAATCAAAAGACCCCGCATATACAAACATTTATGAATCAAATTTCAACATTTTACATTACCAACAAATCAATGAATCACATGTTATACAGTAAAACAGGCTTATAACGAAGTGCCAGGGACGGAGGATTTTGCTACATTTTAAGGGTAATTCATTACATGTATATCCGTTAAGTTTACGATATACTTTTAGAGTCACATGGAATGAAAATCACTTCAGTGTAAACCTTAATTCATGGTAAACCTGTTTGCTGTAAGCATGTTTTACTGTATATGGATTTGAGGTTGATAGAGAAACATACCCTCATGAGTTCTGTGATACAGGAGTGGTAGATCTTGAATATGGCCGCAGGAGATGGAGGTCCAATATACTGCTTAATATCTGCCCTGTCCACAAAGGCCAGGTCGATAGCGCCGGTCACATTAGAGGTAGTCAGTATCATCACATTAGGGAATCTGTAAATCAGCTTCACTAAAACATATGTCTGTAAGCACTTGTACAAATATCACTAGCAATTCATGATAAAGTACAAATACCACTGCATGTACTTCAAGTTGTCATCAGCAATTATAACAAAATCAACATTGTCTAAAAATTCAATTTTCACAAGTTTATAAAGACTGGCATAATAAAACTCCCATGATTGGAATGGAGATATGTTATAAATCTACATGTATGTAGAAGTACAGTATCTGAACAATACTGTCCTTTGCAGTATGACAAATTGTAATATACACGTACATGTACCTGCATATGTTTTTCCACATCAAAGTTGTCAAAGGCAAGTTGAAAGTACAATTGGATAACAATTACCGTATATACTCGCCTATAAGTCGGTCCGCCTATAAGTCGGTTTTATTTTTAAAGCTTTAATTGAAGGGATTGACCCACTAAAATACCAGTCTTTTTATAACTCGCGTATAAGTCAGATAATGGGTTTTGGATCAAAGTTTAACTCCCAAAAAACCGACTTATAGGCGAGTATATACGGAGTCTGCAAGTGCACTTAGTATAATTTTTTACTCTTTCTCATTATTTTCATTTCATATCTGGAAGACAGTTTACCTTTTAATTTGATCTAGCTGGGTGAGCAGAGCATTCACCACTCTGATAGCATCAGATGGTTCACTCCCAGACATGGTGCTTTTCCTGGCAGCTGTCAAACTCTCCACCTAATCATGTAAAGGACAATGTTAACTTTATACATCGGTACATAATCCAAAGTCAACTGCATGTCTTTTTCATTCATTTTTTTTTTCACAGTATGCATCTATAAAAGATGAGCTTTTTGCATTGAATATCTGAAGAAAATATAACTCAAAGGTAAAGCTATGCAAGAAAATTTACCAACAGGATTTGTTTTGAATCTGACAAAGTTAAGTGTTGTGGTCACTTTTGGGTCATGATATACTTTCTCTTCTAAATGCAACAAATGAACAGGTTGGCTCTACAGGGTTGTGGATAACCACTCGCCCACTCGCAAATGCGAGTAAAATTTCCTGTGGGCGATTAGATATTAAAAATCTGGTCGCCCACATGGCGAACAATTTTTTTTCCAGAACATAATCACATTTCAGTTTTTGAATTGTACTTTCAGTTTTTGAACAAATGCTCTACTAACCTAGATTATTTGTATTGTGTGCAAGCATATGTACAATGTACCTGACTTAGATCAAACGTGGCAATTTATCGAAGTCGTTAATTTGCAATCTTGATGATAGGAGAGCAAACATTTGAGATTGTTCTTAAAGAAATATTGTAACAATCGGCTGTGAGGCACTCCATCAGGACTAGTTATTCAGAGAAAGAATTTGAATTATCGTGTCAAATACACAAAGATTTGAACCAAACTGCATTACAGGTTGTATGTAATTTAATATGTTCACCCATTAAACAATAGATGTGTCAGTTGTAGGATTACCGGTAAACGCTACAAAATGAAATGAATATATTATTGTATCAAACTTTTTTTAAAAAAAGGGAAAACCTGACAAAATTTCAAATACTGCTAGGGGCTGACAAATAGATTTTTTAGGCACTTGTCCAAGGGCAAGTGCATGGTCAAAATTCACTTGCCCTACCTGAATATTTGCTTGTCCCACCATAAACTATTATCATATTTTAAAATATATATCTAAAACAAAATGGAAGACAAATACTGAGTAGAAATGCAAACCCCTGTACAAAGCTTTAGATCTATGACTTACATATGGATTTTATTTTTTTCAAGTCACTTGCTCATGGGCAAGTGGTTGATAAAATTTCACCTGCCCACCCTTAAAATTCACTAGCCCTGGGCATCGGGCAATGGGATTTGTCAGCCCCTGACTGCGAACATATTGACACTAGGAATTTTAATAAAGAAATCAGTAAAAAAATTTAAGAATTTTAATTTTAATTAACATATAATGTGGGCCCCTGGGTCAATTGTGGGCCTGTAAAATTTGAAAAGTCAGGAGCCCACATGGCCCCTAAGTTTTCAAAAGTTAACCACAACCCTGCTCTAGGCCTTACAGGAGGTGAGGCACAGGATTCTGATACAGTTTGAGTATGCTTAGTTGTATGATTTCCAAATCAGAGTTTCTATGATTTATTTAGGGTTGCAACAGTCTCCCCTCATCCTAATCCCTCCCCCTCTAACTGACAAGTACTGATGATCCAAGACATAAAGTGAACTTTATGAGTGATAAAGCAAGTACGGTAAAGTATTGTTTAAAACACACACACACACACACATTCATCTTACCTCATCTATCAATACAAAAACTAAAGCATCCTGATCATCTATCAGTTCCTGAATTTTCTGAAACATTTTCATTACTAGTTTGCCACTCTGTAAACAAACAGAAAATAACAGTTACCATGCAATGGTGAAAAAAAGAAAATCTATTCAGTCCCTTTGTAATTGAAATGCATTCAATTAAAAAATCTTTGGTTGAATTAATAGCACAGAACTGTCTTTGCAATACCTCTGAGAACCACTTTGAGAATAGGCTGTGGCTGTTAATTTCAATCAGCTGACCATAGGAGTACCGGTCAGACATTCGTATGACCAGTTTCTGGGCTAGGGCTTTACACAGGGAGGTCTTCCCAGTCCCTGGAGGTCCTATGAAATACAAGAAAAAAAATATGAGCAGTGTGAAACAAAACAATATTATTTAAACCCTGTCAAAAAATATATGCTGTAGTGGTATTATCCAGTTACATTTCACATGCTATTTAACACATTTGCTGAATTGCAGCTAGATATAGTATTATGGCTTTTACTTGGTGTTGAAAAAAGTATTCATTTCATTCAAATTCAAAACAGAATATGATATTTTACAGTCAACAAACCATGAAGGAGGATAACTTTGTTCCAAGATATGACATTGTTGTCCACTGCTTTATCGGAAAACAATAATGTTGTGGATGCATAATTCAACAGCTACAAAGACATGATTTTAATAAATTCACATATGGTAAAAAAAAATTGTGTTTGATACTTCTGTGTTACACATGCATTTCCACATGTATCTTAAGTTGTATGATTAAAAAAGGTACAAACCCCTCTTTTGATATCCTCATCATAAACTAAACTATCCCACAATCCACTGAAATCGGAGGCAGGAAGCAACCAGTGATGAGCGGCTGCTAAGTCCTCCTCATCATCCAGCTCCTCTGTGCCTGGTCCATCTTCATTGAGGCGAAATACGTGTAACACCAAGTTATTAGATAATAGGCATATTTGCTACAAGGACAAGAATATATCATCAAATCTATTTGAAGATACAAGAGCATTTTCTCAAGCTAATCAATGATCATGAATTCTTAATTCATTTTTCATAGACACAACCATATTAAATGTTTCTTGCAATCTTCAAATCAAATGCTTTTTTTTTTTTTTAGGAAATTTGAAGCACAAAGTTCATAAATTTGCAATAAAAAATGCTTGTACCTTTTTCTCTGGACCATTTTCTGTGTCACAAAGTGAAACAGATTTCACATTCTCCTGTAAAAAGGCATCATCAAATGCTGTCAGGGTAAGGTCCCCATATGCTACTCTGTGTCGTTTCAATAGTGCTAACACATGTTCTTTTACTGCATGGCTTTCAGCTAAGCTAAAAACATGAACATATGAATAAAATATGATAGATAGTAATTATCATGATTATATATGAGAAATTAAGTCCACTAATGATCTCCATCAATGGCATTATACTAGTAGAAAACAATATACACTATATTGCCAAAATGTGACATAAAAGCCTGTTTGGGGATAAACATGTATCTCAAATGAAAATTAAGAAAAAATAATTTTGAAATAAATAATCTGTCCTTAATTTGCAAGTTAAATAAATAATCTGTTCCTGACTAGTGCTAATGGTCATCCCCTAAAAGTATATCTGATTGGAAAGTATTTAAAACATGCTGACTATCATATCCCGTTCCATTTGGGTAATGTATATTTTATATACCTATTAGTATATTGGGCGGTCCATGCTTTACATTACATGTAAACATGGTACATGATCAGGTTGGGCACAGTTCTTTTTTCGAGGAAGTATTACTATAAAATGGGATTATTCTTCTTTTCAGTAATAAAAAACATTACTGTATATGGGAATTTTCACTCGTTTACCCTCTATTCTCGTGTTTGCTTTGAATAAAAGATTAAGTGCAAGAATATTTTCACATCCTCTAAATATTTATAGTCTATTAAGTGTATGTATGCTCAAAATTACAATATTTATTGCTGCAAAATGCTGAAAAAGAGTGATGAAATATTTCTACGATATATATTTCTTACGGAAGCTTATCTGTGTTAAAATTGTAAGATTGTATACGTTCAGCACTTGCTAATTTGTTCATGAAATTATTCGTTCTAATTTAATTTTATATCATTTCTTTCAAAGACATCGTAAAAATAATTTTTTATACCACTGCTTCTTTTACAGATGAAAATAATTATTTGAAATATTAAATTGCAAAAGATAGTCTTTCAAAGATGGTTTTAGCATGAATGCCCTTATAAGATTCCATACTTTTCGTATCATTTATCAACAGGGAAAATTAAAGTAAAAGTCGTGGATTACTGCTGCACGTGAGTTTAAATTCCTATGCATGTTCAAAAGACGTCACCTCCACGAAACCAAGCTATGAAATTTTCCGTTTTTGAACAAATAATAATATAACTTACAAGGGAAATATTCATATCCGTTTGAAGAATACTCATGATGTTGTACGATTAAATCTCATCTTACTTCTGTCTGCAGCACTAAAGGACCGAATTTTTTTGTTAGCGATGTTGGTTTAATAAAGTTTAAACACATCACATCATATTTTTCATGCACTTTTTATTTAATAAACGGATTTGGGGCATTATTTTAAAAATATGACGAAAATTCCAGTATACAGTAATGTTTTTATTACTGAAAAGAGGAATAATCCCGTTTTATAGTAATACTTCCTCGAAAAAGGAACTGTGCCCAACCTCATGATGCATGATGTACGGTCCATGTGTACACATGGTACATGATGTACGGTGTACGGTCCATGTGTACACATGGTACGTCGTGATCAGTTTGATCACTGATGATGTAGTGACATATACATTGCAAAAATTTATAGGAATCTGAATGCTCAGGATTTTGCTATCGTGTTGAGACTTTATACAGATAAACTAAAGGACATTATAACTGTTCTTTTCTTTTTTTTAATTTATACTTTTATACATACCTGGTTGGTTTGAGACATATTTCAACATGGTATTTTTCATCTGTTTCACCCTTAGGCAAATCGTTCCCAAGTCCATTGACCGATATATCACCCATTTATGAAATTTACAATTCAAATTATCTGTCTTAACTTTCAAACTAACACAAATTTTACTCTGAAATACAGATTTCCATGAAATCTAGTTATCTACTTTTGCTATGCAACACAAGACTTCTTTGAACATGCCGCCATTTCTTATTAAACAACATTTAGAACCAAATGTCGCGCGCTGTAATATTCCGGAAAGTGCCAAAAGTGCAGGGAGATCTATTTTTAAATATTTCTAAATAATGTCTAAATACATCTCATTATCACATATAAATCGCCTAAAATCACAAGAATATCGCAAAATAAATCAAAAGATTATCGAATATGAATTGTTACAAGTTTTTGCATATGAATAACAAGTTTTCAATCTCATCAATTTCGCATATCAATTTCAAGATATAAATTTATCGCATCTAAAGATATCAAATATGAATATTAAGATCTTGCATATGAATATAACAAGTTTTCGAACATAAATATCAACTTTTGAAAACAAATCACAAGGTTTCGCATATAAATCACAAGTTTACGAATGTGAATAATAATTATCGATTTATGAATAACAAGATTTTGAATAGAAATCACAAGTTTTATCAAATAAAACACAAAATTTGCATACTAATGCAACGTTTCCCGTGTCATAATAAAGTAGAGTTTTTATTCACACTTAATGATTAAAAGCATATTTGAAATTCTGTAATTTTCTCTATTTAATATGACTAACTGTAATAATGGTTATCGCCACGAATGCCCCCGCAAGCAGCAAAAACTTGAAATGCAATATTTAGTTTTAAATTTGTATTCGAACTTGACCCGTATTTTCTGGTAAAATATACATATATCCCTACAAAAGTTAGAGAGCGGAAACTAAAAATTTCTTATTTTTTCTGAGAACTCTGTCAAAAATCATCGGATCATGACCAAATTCAAACTATGACGTATCCAATTTCAAGTTTGAGTTGAATGTGTGCAACTGTTGCAGAGATAAAGAACGGAAAGTGAATGATGACGGAATGACAGAATGACGGAACAGGGTAACACTTTATATGCCCTGCCATTTTATGGCGGGGCATAAAATTGCATGGGTAAATACACATTACTTTACGAAGTCAGTGAAATTTTTGTGTTTTTCCCCCAGTTATTTAACTTTTGATTTTCAGAAGACTGAATCTGAGGTATGGACAACTAAACTCCATCTGATATAATCAGATCCTTTCTCGAAATTCCGATAGTCGCTACACAGAGCATAACCTATAGGCCGTACCACATGAACGCGAACCACAAATCAATTAGCATTTTAAACAATATTTGATAAATTCTGACTTTTTTTCAAAGAAAATATCATTTAACATTATCATTATTACTTGACAGGTCCCAAACCGCTTAATTTTTTTTTCTGCTTTATTGTCCCCCGCTTTCGCGAAAGCGAGGAGACATTTAAATTTCATTCGTCTGTCAGTCTGTCTGTCACAAAAACTTTAACCTTGGTCATAACTTTTGAACGAGAAGAGTTAGGGCTTTCATATTTCATTGTACATGTACATTACCTGTGGCAAGACCTTTCCAAATATACTATGACCATAAAGTTTGACCTACTTTTCAAAAATTTTATCATAATTTTAAATTGATCATATCTTTTGAGTGAGAAAAGACAGGGCTTTCATATTACACATGTATATTACCTGTGACAAGACCTTTCCAAATATACTATGATTTTTGACTCATTGACCTTGAAGTTTGACCTACTTTTTGGGACTGTATCAAGACCTTTTGGACTGTATCATAACATTTGACTTCATTGATCCTGAAGTTTGATGTAGTTTTGAGAAGCTATATAATCTGTGCCATAACTATTATTAATTTATTTATTAATTAATTTATGTCTTAATTTTTTGTATGATGCACAGACAAGACAGGACACACAAACAAGACAGTCCAAAACCATCCAAAAAGACACCGAAAACGGGGGACCACAATTCTTTGAATTTGCTCGTTCAATTCAAAATCAGCAGAGCTAGAGCTAGATGTATTACAGCGTACATTATTATGCATCTTTAAAAATGTCTTTAGTCTAGATGTTTGCCCTCTACAACTAAGTGGTTCTAATCCTGTTGCAAAGTGAAAACGAAAAAAAAAATAAGGTGAAGATAACGAACAGTGATCGATCGAAAAAAAATCCAAACAATACAAATCTGTGAACGGGACATAAAACAAAGACCTCCGGAAATTCCAGAGGTGGGATCAGGTACCTAAGAGGAGTAAGCATCCCCTGTTGACCGGTCACACCAGCCGTGAGTCCTATGCATTGATCAGTTAGACGCAATATAGGGCCTAACAATTGGTATGAAAAGGTTATATTTGCTAACAAGGTTATTTTAACGATCATAGAATTTACGAAATGCTGAATTTAAGGAAAGATGATACCAAAAAAAAAAAATAATAATAATAAATAAATAAAAAAATTAAAAAAAAAATAGATGCCTGGATTGGTATATAATTTTGGGTCTATTTTTGTTGTAAATGATGCAAATAATAAATTTCTAAAATATAAAGAAATTGTAAACTTTCTATGATGTTCAAAATTCTACCTTTCTGCAACCATCCTTATTAATCTATACAAATTTTTGTCATTTCAAATCCCATTATTGTGAAACTTTCAATGAAAAATTAAAAACGATCCGGTTAAACTTGTTCATTTCACTTTTATAAACATGACTCAAGTAGTTATTATCAATTTTTTTTTTAAATAAAAGTTTATTTGTATCATCTGTCCTTAGATGAAGTTGTTAAAATACCTGTTATATCAACTTATCTGTCATTAGTATGCCTCGGATTAAAAACTGATCGTACCCAGAGCATGCTCTTGAGTATCGAATTAGTTGGGAGACGTAAACCATATGCAGATGATAAAGGAGCACAATTAGTGCTAATACCAACAGTTTGTTGAAAAACCTTGTCTCCTAGGACTATGTCAATGAGGAACACCAGCATCCTTTTAACATCGACTTCAGAGTACTTGTGTGTAGAATCAGAGTGATTTTTAAGTAATGTTTTGATCACCATTTGCAAGATATGAAAATTTCCAAATTTCGTCTTTATCGAAGAAGCAGTTGTCTATGATATCAAAAAACCCCAGTTTTAATTCATCTTAAGGAATGGTTGTCTAAGTATAGAAAAGTCGTACGTTTTGTTGTAACTTACTTTTGAAAATATGGTGATTTTTTTTATTTTATTTGGAGTTTTTGAGAATCCATATCTGAATTGTACACCACTTGAAGAATATGCTGTAACACAGTACATTTGAAGTTTTTCCTTTACAGCAATTAATATTTTTGTGAGGAGAAAAGATGTTTTCAATTATCAATCATGAAACTAGTTATTGGCTATCACAGCAATTGGAACGAGTTATTGAGAAAGACTTAATTGCATTTAGGAATACAAAAATCATCTATGAAACCTCTTAATTTCTAAAAGTAGTATATTCATGAACATAATCAAACAAAGTCATCTTTTTTATTATTATAAGAAATGTCATTGTCACCAAAAAATAAGATTTAGAGATACAGATTGATGCAGATCCATACTAGGCCTAAATATTTCAGAATGGAACCAGATTTTTTTCATAAGATTATCTCTAATAAAATCTTTACGTATAAATCAGCTTTCAAACTACTAGCATTATTTTGTCTACGATTACCATGTTTTAGTGTTATAATAAACTTTTTAACGGCATTTGAGAAAGAAGATAGAGCTGTAAGGTTTCTAATGTGAAATGGTTAATTATTATATATATCACTTCGTTAATATGAGACAATTTGGCCACACCAAATTTCTAATCTGTAAAAAAGTTCATCAATACAAGTAAGTACATGTATTTCTAATGAAAACAAGATCTAGATAACCTTTGAACTCGATCAGGGACACTTATATTTAAACGTACCTAAAAAGTGCACGCTGGTGAAACCGCTAAACTACAAATTAACAATGAAGAAATTGCTGATAATTCAGCATGTTAACTTTTACAATGTGGTTTTTATTGCTGGTGGTGACTTGGTTCGTTTTAAATTATATCAACAAACATGTTATTAAGACGAGTGAAAATTCGGTTTCCTCTTCCCGGAAGCAAGACATCTTTAATACAAATAAATGCCGGGTGTTTGGTCAATTTTCGTGTTACGAAAGTCAATAGGAACCAAACAACAGAATGTCATATGAATTAAAAAGAAACATATCACAAAAAAGGGCATTCTTCTCAAATCTTCGCCGATTGTGTATTTCTTCGGTAAATGTTTATACAGCTAGTTGATATCGCGTAAATTAACAGAAATGCACTTCAGATGACATCTTTCAGCACGCTACATATGTAGTAAAATGATCTTCCCAAAAGATGAAATGCTATTGGGAAATGTCATTTTTCAACTCATATTTTATCTATTGTTAATTTTTAATGTGGGTAAGTTGAAAGATAACTTCCTTCATTCAGTTCATCAAAATTATCTGAAAAAATGCACATGTAAAGAATTTGAATTATAACTCAGAGGAAAATTTTAAAAAACTCTAAAATCTAATGATCAGCTTAATGATTTTCTTCTATTTTCTTAAGAGTGTGGATGTAACTTCGGCGTGAATCCAAGCCAGAACAAGGACATCTCGGAGAACTGCACAAGTAAGGGAAATATTATTTATTAAAACTGGGGTATGTACATGTACAATATTCTCTCGATCGACCGACGTGTGTGTGATTAAAAGTCTCATATTACTACATGTAGTATACCCCAACGACCTTTCAAAAAAAATATTTGTATTCCAACTATCTTCTTACTTCTCTCGAATATGTACAAAGAAACTGTGAACAAAATCATCAGGTTTTTATTTACCCAAAATAAGATTAAAGCATTGCAATGTCATATTGTAAATTTTGAATCTATCGTTGGCAGTAAATACAAAATTTACAATATGACAACTTTTATATATACAACCACCCGGTAAATTCACAATATGACAACAGCCAATCTTTTATTTCTCTCCTTGTGACAAACATTTTATGTTCATATAAAAATGACCAACGGATTTATTTAAATGAATCTAATTCGAAAATT